GTGTACGATTCGTCTTTGGTAATATCCAGTTCAGTTTCTAGCCATTTGATCTTATTTCCCCATTGGCTGCTGGCTTCAAATAGCCCCTTCACTTCTGATGGCTGCAATTCTGTGCCTGGAGAGCACAGCTTTCTCTTCTGCTCCTCCCTCAACACCTCCGAGGCCTCCACCATCAGGATCTCCACCTGTTGTGGAGGAATACTCCCTGTGCTCGAGGCGAGTCTGTTGAAGGTTTTCATTGTGTCGAACATCAATGTTCCCTTTCCCGGTCCAAATTCGATAAAGCGCAGTTTCTGTGGAGCGCCCTGGGATCTCCATACCGCGAAGAACCATATCCCGATCATCTCACCAAATGTCTGTGAAATCTCGGGCGAGGTAACAAAGTCACCAGTAGCGCCCAAGGGGTCTCTTGTGGTATAATAGCCAAAATCCGGGTGTAATAAACATTGCTTCATATAAGAGGACAATGGAAGAGGGCCCGTGGATTTGATTGCCTCCTTCAGAATCTGCGTGAGGTCGAGCTTGGGTTTCTTCACCGCATTCAAAGCCACTTTGGAAGCACAAAAGTGTCTAACAGCATTAGAACTGCACAAACGAGGTATTTTACCCCAAACTTCAAGACCGATCATCCTCCCCCGTAAGGTTTCCATCAAGTGTGTTCAGCATAGAAAGCGTGAATTTTTCAGTGGAGCGATGAGGTGCATTTGAGACGTCCCAATCGGGTAACTATCTCGAATTGATTCAAAACCGTAGGATTGGGTCGATTAAAGGTTAAGTAAATGTCTGGGAAAAATATATATTTGAGGTGTAGATCTCGGATTAACAGTAGTATTGTTTGGAAACCAATATGTAACACCTGTATCTTTTTCAAAATGACTGAAAACACGCAGGTGAGGGTATTTGAATGCTCTACTGCTGTTCCACTAGGGCAGACTTCTAGGTCATACAGACACATCCTATTGCCTAACGGAGTGTTGACTCTGCTTATTTCAGATCCAACGGAGGATTTAGCTGCATGCTCGTTGACAGTTGCTACAGGATCTCATGCGGACCCAGATTCTGTTCCAGGGTTAGCCCATTTGTGTGAACACTTGCTCCCGTTGGCCTCAAAGCAGTTCCCCAAGCCTGGCCTTTTACATCAGACATTATCAAGACATGGTGGGAGATACAATGCGTCAACCTCAGGCGAACAAACCAGCTACTATTTTGAAATCCCAACCAATTCTCTGGTTACTGGCCAAGACAGTGCCAAAGATATATTTGGAGAACCCATTTTCAGTCATGTTCTACGTATGTTCTCTTCTTTCTTCCGATCTCCGCAATTTCCCGAAGATTTGGTCCAAAGAGAAATTCATGTTATCAATGATGAACATAACGAAAATAAAACCAACGAGGCCAAGTTAATGTTCCATGGATTGCGTCTGTTGGCCGCTGAAGGCCATCCTTTTCATAGGTTCTGCACTGGTAATATCTTTACCTTGGCCAAAACTGCTCACACTTCCGATATAAGTATGAGAAATGAGGTGAAAATGTTTTTCAGCAAAGAGTACACCAGTTCCAAAATGTCTTTGGTCCTCAGAGGACCGCAATCTCTGAACATGCTGCAGAAGATGGCCTTGCAGTTCTTTTCATTCTCTGCGTCTGAGAGAGCTCACACTCTAGAGAACAGTCCTCGCCCATATACAGATACAAGCTTGGAAGCTATTCCTACATTATTAAAGTGCTGGAAGTACAAAACAGATATTTTCTCTGGTGTCAGAGCCAAGGTGATTTTAATTGACTCCCCTTCTGCGCCCACCAGTCTCAGATTCAACTTTGCAATAAAGCATGACCCGGACTCAAAATTGAGACGCCAGTACGATCTTTTCTGTGATGCATGGTGCCAAATGTTAGGTAACGAAGGCATAGGAGGTCTCACTGATGGATACAAAGAACTTGGTCTTGCTAGCACGATAATCTCATCCAGATTAAACCCTACAAATGATATGACTTTTCTAACATTGAGCGTTAGACTTACGCAAAAAGGTGCCGAGAGTATCGAAAAGGTGATTTCAATGTTTTTCGAGTATCTGGAGGTGGTTCTATCCTCTCCGGATGGAGACTTGGGAAGTAATCTTTCCGACCTGTGTTCAATCGACCTCTTGAGATTCTTATACAGAGACAATGAATTATCGCCTATGGAAGAAGCTGTGCGTCTGTCAAAACTGCTGCAAACAAATCTTGTATCTTTGTCTCCAACCTGGTTGGTGAAAGGTTCTTCGTCCTGGTCAGATCTTGATCATGAATATTCCGGGGGTTTCTCTGAAGATAACGCGAACATTTGGTGGATTAAACGTGCAAGAGAATTCAAAGTGTTTCTGAGAAAGTTCTGCAGTCAAAACTCTTTAGCTTTGGTCATATATGGGTCTGGGATCTCTTTTGACAATCTGAAGAAAGTTATCCAAACAACCTCATCCAAGACGCAAGATAAAGCTTTTGGCTTTGATTACCAAACAGGGGTCTTCATACCCGGAAGTATCATCTGCCTCTCAAGGACATTTCCAACCTTCTTTATCAATCCTGTGAATAAGTTCATGCCTTCGATTGCGTATAAACATTCGGTAATTCTGCAAGCTCTCAGGTCGACAGCAGAACGGTCTCGAAATGCCAATCTCTCGTTTTTCGTCAAAACATCAGCCAGAAGCGAGATACCCAAGGTGATTGGTAGGGGTCATCAGTATACGCTCTGGCTTCAGCGAGAAATAAACCCAAATTATGCATCACGGTCCCTGCTCTCAGCAGAGATTGTATGCCATTCGCTTAGACCCAGTCCAATGCACACTATATGTATGGATGTTCTTTGTGAGCTGCTAAAGCTGCGGTTGGACAAACATTTGTACGATTTGGAGTTATTAGGATCAACATATAACTTCATTCCTTCCATTAAGGGAGATGTCAGACTGGGACTTCACATATCTGGATTTTCAGAAAACGCAGAGGCATTTCTATTGTTGGTGAAGAAACGTATCAAGCTGTTAGCAGAAGATTTCCAATATCAAGTGGATTCCAATTTGTTCAGAGATTCGAGAATTAGGGTAAGAACAAAGTACAACTTTCTTGAAACCGCTCCGTCTGTTGCTGTTGCATCTGCAGGTTTATTATTGCTTTTGGAGCAATACACCTGGTCCATTGAAGAAAGACTGGAGGCTCTAGAAGACATGACCAGGCATGACATGGAACAGTTTTTGCGGAGATTCTTTCTTGAGGGGCAAAATGAGGTCACCATGTTTCTTCATGGTGATTCGGATGAACTCTCTCTGAAGAAACTCTTTTCTGTGGTGGCCGACTTCGCCTTGCCATCTTATTATCATCAGCTGCGACCCCTGCCGGATCCCAGCACATATGTAATTCCTCAAGGTGTCTCATACAGCTGCTCAAGACCATCTTCTGAGCAAGATCCGACTAGCAGTATTGTTTATTTCTTGCAAACAGGCAGACGACACGATGTTGCTGCGTTCACGCTCACAAAGTTCACGGCCTTCATGATGGCCATTGATCTGGTACCGTCGTTGCGAAACTCAAAGGTAGCTTATCTAGTACTTGGTGGTCTTAGAATCTTGAGAGGTTCTATAGGGATCCACATAACCACTGTCAGCAGTCATCTTACAGCGGAGCAGCTGGAAAGGAAGATAGATGAACATCTCCATCAATGGGAAACAACATTGGGGAACATGTCAGAGGCCACTTTCCACTCCAATTTCGTGGTCCCTTTCTTGGAAGGACTGGAAAATAAAAGCCATAGACTTGAGAGTTCCGGTGGTCCAGCAAGTGTAACACTGAACGCATATGGTTCAAAAGAGAAAAACTCGTTCGCAGACAGAGGCACCACTGCTTCCATCAAAAAACATAGAAGCTCTTGGGAACAGATCACATCCAAAGATTACTCCTTTGATGCATCATATGAGAGCAAAATTGACATTGAAGTTGTTCGCGAGCTAACGCTCTCACGCTTGATGGAGTTCTTCCGAAGATATGTATCCATTGAGTCAAGGGCAAGATCTAAGCTCAGTATTATGGTACAATCGAGAAAGGAGAAATTGAAGGTTGAAAGTGAGTTGTTGATTGTCCACCTGTCGAAATTTTTGAAAATGAAAGGTCTGTACATTACTTCTGAGCAGCTCCATGAGATTGTAGAAGGCGCAAATGGCAGTCAAGGCGTTATGTTCAAAGACCTGTTCAAGTTTTTCGTGGACCAGGGCAAAAGTCTCAGATTGTGCACTGTCATTCTCAAGGAAGGCACCAAACTTGTCTCTGATAGTTTCAAGCTGTCAAAACCAAGTTCAGCTGTCATAAAGGCTCCGAACGCAGCTTTGGAAAATATTTGCGTGACTGATATTCAAGCTTTCCAAACATCATTGTCATTGGTGCCATTGAAGTGAACCGAGCCAGCTTAGAATTTCTACCTGAACAACCAGCCATCGCTGCCTCCTTGCCTTCTCCATTGGTCACTAGGCAGCGTATCAGTTTCCTCCTTATACAGCCTCCATGCCTCTCTGAAATGTTCAGGCAACAATGGGTCATCGTCCTTGGGAAGGTCAATAGTGAAAGTTTTTGCAGATGTAATAGGGACCAGTACTCCGTTAGGTCCTACTGAGTACCCGAAATTCGCCTTCGTATCCTCGGGTCGGATTTTCTTAGCTTTCAATTCTTCGTCTCTGGTAGCCAATGCCCTCTTCACCTCTAGTTTTCGTATGATTTCTCCCTTCTGCTGGCGCCTCTGTACATCTTTTGCCTTCTCCACTATTTCTCCAACAAAAACCTTTGCTACACTGGCCAGAACCAACGCAACGTTGTTGTTGATACTTTGGCCCAGTACCGAGTTTGCTATTCTCTTAATAGCAGGTCTGTTCAGGTTGGATCTCCTGAAAAACTCGTATCTCGACATCTGGTCTTCATCAAAGCTCTCCATCAATAGCTTCTGTTTCTCTGTATTACTGATATCCAAAGGTTCGCCTTCTAGTCCAATTTCTCTGAGAAATTCCTCATCACACTCAAGGATGTCCTCGTCTTCCAGCTCTTCGTCCTCAACACCTTCGTCTTCGAACTTTTTTCTTCGTATTATCCTCTTTGTGATTTCCACATCGCCAAAATGTTTGATATCCTCTAGAAGAAATTCTAGTGCTTTTTGAACATCTTCGGGGTACTCTTCCTCCGAGTCTTCTTGTTCAGAAGCTTCCTTTTCTTCATCGTGTAACTCATTCGATACATTGGGTTGATCTTCCACTAAATGTGCATTCGCTTCCGTGACCTCTAAATCATCGTCAATTATCTGCACATTCTCATCATGAGGTCCCGTTTGTGACATTGTGGTGGCTAGTTCCAAAGGATACGTGAAGCTACGTTCGTTTAGTCTACGCCAAACCTCTGGTCTAACCCTTTTCAAATTACGTCCCGATCGAGTAATTTAGCCAATACACGCAACGTTATCAAATATTCGAATTATTGTGTGGGTTAATGGATATGGTTTCTTTAGTCAGTGGATCCTATACTGTTCACCAGAAAGTTGTGAAAGCCATGGAGAACTCAGAAGGTGGACCTTGGAGTTTATCGCTGAAGAACCCTGAATGGTTTTACTATGCCTTGCAGTTGTAAGTAGCTCGTTTGAAAAGACAAAATTCAGAAGCGGTTCTCTGAAAGCTCGGGGTTGACCAAAGATGCCCCGCAGAAGCATCAAACCAATTTTTAATTCAAGCTAACTCAATCCAGAACCACCCTGGAACCTCAGGATGATCTCCACATTGACAGTATAACATGGAAAATGCTGATAGGAGCAGCGTTGACTAAAATGCATGGCATACTCGGAGAATCAGCAAATTTCGATATACTGCAAGTGTATGATGAGAGCTGTATAATAAGGACATCCACATCTGAGAGACAGATAATGGAATCTTCGCTGGTTGCATATAGAGGGAATCTGAAAAGTTTCCGATTGCGAGACGTCATGTTCACGATACGAGTCGTTGAAAGATCCCAGTATCTGGTCGGCGTTGCTGGTCCATCTCGGCGGGATTGGCTCTCTATCACCAAAGAAATTGAAATTTGAAAAATCAAATAGAGATATGTGATCGAATAGCGCAGCAGTTATGGGATCTGTACTTCAATGCTACTGACACACCCCTCCCTGGTGAATCTGGTAGCAGATATCGCAAATCACTCATCATGTCACTTTTATAATACAAACATGCTACAAGAGTCTTAATTCAAGCAGCAAATTGAGCATTTCCCGGTCCTTTCAGGTTTCACATGTTTGAGGCTAATTCTATATGGTTACCCGATTAGGAAACTCATTGGTCGCGCACTCCCTTCGTATATTGAAGCCCCAAGACACAACGCGTTGGATTGATAGCCAACAACAGAGCATAACAAGATCAGTATTATAGCTCGGTTCTGTCCGAGATGTCACAGGAATCGCCATCACCGAGTGATCAGTTGTTTGACTCTGTTGATCGCAATGTTTCGGCATCTGAAGATACAGGTACCCCAGAGCCTCGTGAAAAATCGGTTCCGGAGCCCAAGAAGAGGAAACGTGGTAGCAGCATGCTTGCACAACTGACAGCGGATGCTGATTGGTATATGACGTCGTTTTCAGGCCCAGAATCAAAAACGAGGGATTCTTCAGTGAAATTCACCGAGGTTAAGGAAAAGCTCAGAGAGGAGATCAAGATACATCCTCGTCCTGCCCAAAACAAAGATAGGCCACATTTCCCGCGCCCAAATCCCCTAAAGCGCGAGAAAAAGAGTCCACCAAAACGCTCCACTGATGGTTCAGTTAAGGCAAAAAAACCAAGCAATGGAGAGACCAAAACAGCTAAACCAAGCAATGGTGGTTTGTCAGCCTTGCTGGAGAGTGCTAGTTACTTCACCAGTTTGGGGTCAGGTGATACGGACAGTTTCCTCAGAAGGGTGAAACCAAAAATCGAAAGAGAGCCAAGTCCTCCACCTTCTCCAATTGTGAAAAAGAAGGCTGTTATCAAGAACACTGTGAATGGTCTAATCAAGAAGTCGCTTAAGAAGGCTTCACCACATGTGACGAAAAGTCTAAAGAAAGAGCTGAAAGAGCCCAAGAAAGAACCAGCTAAAGACACGAAGGTTTCTCCCAAGAAGCCAGTGAAGTCTTCTGTTGCCAAAATCAAAAAAATTCAGGGTAAGGCCTTGGAGAAAGAGGATCCTGTCCGCACAAAAGAGTCGACCCCAGCCAAGGTCGAGAAGATAATTCCACTTTTTGTATCTTGGTCAGACAATACTGAAATACCTATTGGAAATAGACCTATGTTTTTGGATGAGATATACAAGGGTTCCATGATCAATACCATCGATAACGACGTGCTTGTGCCCGCTAGTGAGTTGGTTTATAACAACCAGGATGCCTACATCAACGATACGAGGTTCTCGGAAATCGAGCTCGCGACACCGTTCTCGAGTTTTCGCGAGAAATATACTTTACAGATGCCAAAGGATCAACAACTGAACCCGTTCGAGGAAATTGGGAGAATAATGGAGCTGGTTGCGTACACCTATATACCGGAGCCGTATAGACTTCAGGTGTTGAACCTGAACCGTGTTGACGATTGCATTGTTGGTAAGTATATTAAGGCAGTCGAAAATGGGGATGGTGATCTTGTGGTATCGTTGGTCAACGAATATAATGCGATATTGGATAAACTCAGAATTTCAGGTGAGATCTTCAAGTACACAGCCAATCTCAAGACCTTCCCTCTGTTGTGCTTCCACGAAATTTTGAACCAGTGCTACTCCCGTTCGGTCTCTCCAAACTCTAGGAAGCTTCGCGATTATAAGGCTTTCTCTAACTTCGTTTACGGCGAGTTGCTGCCGAATTTTCTCACCACGGTTTATAACCAGGTCGGGCTGAACCACACCCACAGGTTCATCGATTTGGGGTCTGGAGTGGGCAATTGTACATTACAGGCAGCCCTTGAGTTTGGAGCTGAAAGCGCCGGTTGCGAGATCATGGATCATGCGTCCACACTATCTGAGCTGCAATTGAAGGAATTCGAACAGCGCTGTAAAATATACGGCTTGCGAACAGGCTCAGTCAGCTACTTCCTGAGACAGGGCTTCGAGGAAAATCCAGATGTGGAGGACTACGTTAACAAATCCGACATCATCTTGGTGAATAATTATTTGTTTGACTCTGAGCTCAACCAAAAGGTTGTGGAGCTTTTCCGAGGCTTGAGGGTAGGGACCAAGATAATCAGTTTGAAGCCTATTGTTCCCCATGGATATACCATGAATCTGGTAGATCTGGAGTGCATTCTAAACAGGACCAGCTATGTCCAATACTCCTACGACGACAACTCAGTTTCGTGGACGTCTACAGGAGGAATATATTATATATCCACGGTGGAGAAGGACATTATACCCTCGTACTTTGTGGAGCACTCCGTTGGCAGGACGAGGGGAAAGAAGACGATGACTCCAGACGGTGTAAGCAGAGCGTCTACTCCGTCCCAAGGCTGAACAGTCTTTTGATGATGTTTGGGAGTTCAAGGTCATTCAAGTGTCAAGAACGTCATGGCATGAAGTTTGGCAATACAAATGGACATTTTTGTAACAATAACGTGCCACGCACATTAAACTGCTAATAAACTGCTACTTTTATTTTTTCAGTGAAAACTCATGTACATTCAAGTCTAGACTGGAATCCTACGACCCAGGTCTCTAGCAAATATAAAGAAGATAGTGATACAATGGCTCAGTTCTTTCCAGCCAGACCCTCCGTCTGTCCAGACAAAAGAGTGAAGGTTGGACCTGGCAGTTTTTCTCTACCCTTCAAGAAGTCCAACTCCATGACGAAGTCAAACTCCAAAATGTTGGCCTTGCATTTGAGCAGACAGTCAGCAGCAGCACCGGCAGAACCACCAGTGGCCAGAATGTCATCAACAATAACCACGTTAGAACCCTCTGGAATGCTCTCTACCTGCATCTCGAAAGTACCGGTACCGTACTCCTTGGTGTAGGAAGCCGAGACGAGTTTGCCTGGAAGCTTACCTTCCTTTCTGATTGGAACGAAACCGGCATCCAAGGAAAGGGCCAGAGTGGGGCCAAAAAGAAAACCTCTAGACTCCAAACCAACGATGTAGTCGATCTTCTGGTCTGGGAAGGTCTGGTCCAAATGAAGTTTGAAAGCCTTGATCAACTTGGTGAAAAGATCTGGGTTTCTGAAGATTGGCAAGAAATCCTCGAACAAAATTCCCTCAGTGGGGAAATTTGGGTATTGGTGCAGAGCAGCAGTGAGCTCCTGGGCTAGTTCTCGTATTTCGGTAGTCATTGTTAAAGCTGGTTTAAAACTGAATAAAATATGTGAAACAAGACCTCAAAAGATCTATCTCATCCTTCTTCTGCCCGCGGCAACCAATTTTTTTTTTCCCGCGGCTAAGTGTGAACCTCAATTTTTGGGCGGGTAATTAAATTGCGGCGTTTGGGTAAAATAGGCCGATACAGCTGAGGCTGTTTAGTACCGGATTTACCAAGCAATATCTCCATAATGCCGCCGAAAAAAGGCAGAGATCAACTTTTCAATAAAGAGAGGCCGAACCCACCTCCTGAGGTGGAGGAGGAACTCCTGGAGAAGTTTTCCAATTTCTGTGATGAGAACGATTCTCAAGACCTTCTTGCCTCCCAGCTCATGATGTTCTTCAAACAGGAGTTGAAGATTCCGGACAGATTGTTGGTAAATGTGGTTGTCAGTGATTACGTGATAGAGGGTACCGAGGTTGTTGGTTTTGAAGAATATTTGAGCAAATCTGGATTACTAGTGGTGATGAGAGATAATGTGAGGAAGATTGATGAGGCGTGGAAATTATTCATACGACACTGCAAAAAAAAGGATAAAAAGCCGGGAGATGTCTCAAAAGATGGAGTTTATTCAGAAAGAATATATCTTGATGATTTGATATCTTTGCAACAAATTCTCAACGACAACACACCCAGAGGGCTACTAATAGACATGATTGAGGTGGCTACCCAGGGTGCACGGCCATATGTCAATTATGCTGATTTCGCAATGGTAATGGGAAAAATGGGGGAGCTGAATTTTTGAGGTTCGGCCATGCTACATTTTGATCTTGATAAGGTCAAGCAATTATGATAATGAATAATAACCGCTAAAGACTAATCGTAGAAAGCCTTTTTCAACTAATGAGCGTGAATTTTGCTCAAAGGATATGCTTGGACCTGAAGTAGTTCCTCAAGTACTGGATTTGCCAGACACCAACACCAACAAGCAACAGAATGATAGAGATCGAGAAGTTCCTCACTCTTCTATTGGTTGATTCGTTTGTATCTCTCAATCTTCTTTCTCTCTGGACCAAGTAGTTCAACTCACCCACAATCTCACCAGTCATCTCTTCAACCTGCCTGAACTGAACCTCCAATGGCTTCAGCTTTTCCGAGGCTTGGATAGAGTTCCAATCCCTGGCAGCAGCACCCGCCTCAAGCTCCAGTTCTATCTCACGCTTCAAACCAACAGCATTCCTGTCTTGCAGCTGGTTCTCAAAACAAATGTCAATTGGACCATTGGAGTGGGCAGCAAATGCCACCTTCACCTTACCAGCAACATCTTTGGTTTTGCGGTACTCGTTTCCTGTACCGTCTACAATTCTCAACGAAAGAACCTGGCCATCACCAACATGGCCCGAGGAATCAACTGTGACAACCACCAGCTGGCCTTCCTGGACGAAATCCCTGATGCACTTTGGAGGTGGGTTGTGGGCAGTTGACTCGATCTCGAACCTCAGAGCGAAGCCAAACTGCACGAATGCCAGCAACGAGATTAAGAATCCGCAATTTGAAAATCTCATTCTTTTATATAAGAAAAAGGTGGGTTTGGGTCCTCTGTTGTGGATCAGAACCACTCAATGTTGGAAACTTCACACATCTCCACCAAGGTACGCGCGACGTGTCTGGTTGTGTAGCCCTGTGAACAAAACAGTGCGTGTACGAGAGAAAACTAATACATAAGGCAAGTGACAAATCTAAAGGTGTATTCCTTCCTAACTACAAGGCAAAAAGCCTTAACTTTTATTCATCTACAAGAACCAATCATCAACTATCATGAGCTATACCTTTCATTGAGCCAGTAGTAGCAATGACTTGCCAATGTAAAAGAGATGAAATAAACCAACCATTTAACCAGTAAAAAAACTTCAAAAAAGCATAAAAATAACTCGGCCGGGCATGGGTTGAATCAGAGTAGCAAAAGAGAAAGACTTGAGTCTGAGGGTAGAAAAATGAAACTTTTCAGGCCAAAATCATTAATTTTTTGTTCCTTTCTCAGCTTAGCGAATGGCGGGTTCACGAGCTTCAGGCAAATAACTTAGGCCATCAACACCTCCACTTCCTGGTCCAGGAGTGGCAGTGTCTGAATAGTCCATATCTTCATCCTGGCTTTGCGCATTCAACAAAGTCAATCGATGCGATTGTTGCTGCTGTGGTGTTTGAACTTGTGTGAGAGGCTGGGATTGTGATTGACTTTGTGACAGGACATTATCGTTGGCATTAGTTTCTTGGAGCATAGTTTGTTGTTGCTGTTGCTGCTGCTGCTGCTGCTGCTGCTGCTGCTGTGGAGATATGTGATTATGTTCTTGCATGTGAGAGTGGTCTCTGTGAAAATGGTGGTGGGCAGCTTGCCATTCGTCGTTGTTGGCGGTTGAAGGTTGGGATACACTTGACGATGCTGAACTACCGCTGCTGGATTGAGAGCACCAATGCCTGTGATATTCCCACGCCTTCTTCTGACACTCCTTGGAACAGTATTTCGTCCTTTTGCAGTTTTTACACTTGGCAAACTGCCTTGCAGACTGCTCCCATTTTCCACACCCAAAGTAAGCACATTGTCTCACACCTCCCTTGGATTCGTCCTTGCGACAGGAGTTCTTGACTATAACACCAGCCCAGTAACAAATGTCCTTTGAATAACGACCTCTCACAGTGAACTTCTCCACCAGCTGAAAGATATTCACATCTGCAATAGACATGATCGAAGTGTCAATATCTTCACTATCCTCGCTCAACTCGAAGCGTTCGTAATGTTCATAATCCCACTCTCTCTTCGACTTCAACTCCTTCTCCTCCTGGAGCATTGCATTCTTCAAAATCAGTTTGTTTCTTTCGATCTGCAACGAACTGCAAACATTGATCGATAGCCTTTCCATCTCAGTGGCTCTTGCCAATCTATCCTCAATAGCACATGTCTTCTCATATTCGCAAAACAAGTAGTCGTAGAAACCCTTCACCAATTCACATCCGCCCACACAACCCTTCTTCACGTGTGTATTGCCGGTGCTGGTACTGTTGTTCTTAGCAACCAGTCTGTCAGAAAGAGCGACGTCGCTGTCTTCATCGGATGATGTGTTGTCCAGCATGTACTCTGTATCAAAATCGTTTCCATCATCCGTGTCCAAACCTGGAACGGAGTGAGACAGTCCAAAGGGCGCGAGAGGCGACGCAGTCATTTGTGATCTCAAAGACATTCCCCTGATGATGTATGTTTTCGATAAATCTGGCTTCAACGAGGGATACTTCGAAATAAAAGCTAATACTTGCAGAGACCAAATGACATCATCTTCCTTGGGAATGAGAATTCCCTTATCAAATTTCCTTGGATAATGAGAGTGTTCCGAGTCCACAAAACCAGTTAGAAATGACAATCTGTCACCTCCGTTGTTCACGTTTTCCGTGATGATGTTGTTGATTGACTGCTCATTGATCAAATGGTTCACAGCCAAAACGTCGTAAGTCATAGGTGTGTATACTTTGGCCAGTTCATGGTTGATATTGATTACATCCTCAGAGTTGTTGATCCTGTTGATGAAATGTAACAGGAAGATTTGTCTCAAGATCTCCGAGTTGTAATCTGCTGGGTTCGCGTGATTGATGTCTGGTATCGCCTGTGATGAGTTGGTTAGATTCTTCATCTGATTAGTGGTATTCACCGTATCGGAACGAGAATCATCCCCGACAGGGTTTAGTGTTGCTTCAGCGCTCAGTATGGTCTCATCTGCTCTTAAATTTGTCTCTTCTGATAACGTTCTCACGGTATTGAAAAGCTGAGTGACTTCGTTCGTCTCCAATGTCGGTGACCTTTCAGTCAACCTCGTTGGATTCAACTCAGCTACCCTCGAAAAAGGCATCATAGGCGGGTTTATCGCCTCTGATGTCGTGTCATTGGAAACTTCATTCAGGGAGTTCGCAATAAGATAGTTGTCCAGAACGGTGGCTATGATTGGTATCATTCCAGCATTCACCACCTTCTTTCTGATCTTCTCGGAACCTCTTGTTCCTATCAGGACTAGGCATTGAAATGCCAGTATCCATTTCCATCCAAAAACGGATGTCTCCTTTTCATTGACCGGGTTCCTGCATTCGTAGAGTATATCTACTAGTCGTTCCAGGCCACCGTCATTTGCGAGAGTTTCGCGCACCCTTGCAGAAGACGAAGTTAGAAAAGTAAGGTGGTTCAGTGAGTTCACCAATGGCTTGTCATCTGTGCAGTCTAGTGCTCTCCTGTCGTACAACGATGTCGTTATGCTGACGGCAGCCTTGTTTGCGGAGACCGATTTATAGTTGAAGTCACGCATGATTGGGGGTGATGTGCGAACTTCTTGATGTTTCTGTGCCAGAACAAACTTGTTTGAGTTGCGATAAACAATTGGATAACAAGGGAAGGTCGGTAGTTGATTCTGGAGAGCAGAGCTTCAGTGTTGGGATTGCATAAAGCAGACAGGAATAACAACGAAAGGGTGTGGTTAAATAAGACTCAGCTTTGGTAAATCCAAGGAGAATGTTGGTGAAGATTCCAAAAAAATTTCACCGATTTTGAACAAGAGAGGCAGTTCTCTAAACACGGCTCTGAGATGGAAGTTTGTTAGCAATCAAAAACAATGAAAATCAGTCACGATTTGGCAAAGACCCAAAAACCGACAACTCTTGGTAACAACCAATCAGATCTGCCAAATTATAAACTCCAGAAATGTGTGTCTGGCGTTTTGATAGAAATCATCAAATTGCACGTACCTGTTATTCAAAGGATGAGGTCCAGTTTAGACCAATAGCACGTTGATTTCCAGTTGATCGGCGCGCGCCTTCGGAAAATCAGGAACAGATGTGAATGAGTATTTCGACTATTACTCGATGAAGACCAACCTAGGCTAAATCAAGGGAACAGAACAATCAAAGAACAAACGGATAACAAACGGTTTGCCTCCTACTGGGGAGAAAGTGGGTTTTTGCTTTCTAGTGTGGCCTCCGGTGGCGGATTTTTGGGGGTCGTGTAGGGGCCGGGTAACCCCCTCGGCCCCCGACCCGTCGAGCTTAGAATAGGAAGCCTCATCTATGGGTGGCAGGATCCGTGCATTATAGGGTGCAATGCCGCTGGGCAGGTTAAGGTTATTATTTTGTAAAAATATTTTAGGGATGTCAAGCGCATTGTAATAGTTTGGGATTACATGTAAGATTAGTCTGGTTGGTTGATATACATCTTCACATTCCGTACATACTCGATAGAAACTTCGTGCATTTAACGGGGAAGGAGGGCCGAAAAACAGATTTAGTAAGTGATTGGCAATTACTCTATGTGGATACCAAGGCCATGGTGTGCATATTCGGAAACCTTAACCCAAGTTTTCAGGAGAATCCTCAGCATATTTTTGCGTATTTTGCTAATATTTTGTATGGCTGTTGTATGTAGCTCTAGTTTTCTTTTTAGCTTGAAGAGCTGGCTGGTCATAAGATGGGGCTCTTCTTCGATCGGTCAGTTAGTAGATGGCCATTTCCGGATATCATGTAGATACTTAAACGAGTTCCTCGGTACCCTTGACGCTTGGACCCCGGGCCTATTTTCAAATGTATTTCCGATTACTCAGTGAATAGTTACCGTTGCACCGGTGATTTGCATACTTAGTTATTTTTTGATACATTATCTCCTTCAAATTCGTACTTCTATGGATTAGTGTTAACTGGAAGGGTTCTTTCTAATCAAACCCACAACTCCTTCCCCTTGTCATTCATGTATGTCACCAAACCATTCACCTGTCCATTCCAACTAACCAACTTGTCACTCATAGTGGCAATCTGCTTCTTGCTCATGGTTCTAGGCTGGACCCAGTTGATTTCCACCTGACTCTTGATCTGATTAATGGAACCCTTGATAAGTCCCAAACTCAAACATTTCATGATCAAGTGTTCGACCTCGTCAAAACTGTTCAGAATTGTGATGTAGTTCAAAATCTCCTGGAAGTTCAGCACCTTTCCATTGGTAGGCTTCGAGAACACCAGCTCGATCAACGCAGTGATGCAAATCTTCTGTCTCAAAAAGTTCAAACTCTCATATACAACTGCCGAATCATTCTTGATCTGAGCACTGTATTGATCCACAGCCTTGTTAAAACTGGTCAAGTCTCCAGCGTTGAGGGTGGTCAACAATTGCGACAGCCAGGCCTTGGAAGAAGGAAGCTCTGCAAAGATGTCATGCATGATGATCTCTCCAAAGTTGTAGATTTTGTCCCCCAGAAGGGCCGATATAGAGATTTCCCACACTATGCTTTCCTTGTTAGGCAGAGTTGAAATGTCATCAATACAGGCCAGAAATAACAGCGAGTTACGGTAGAAGCTGTTGTAATCTGACTGGATCTTGTTCAACTGGGCCAATGTTCTGTAGTAACTCGCGTTGATCTTTCCATCAACAGAGTTCAATTTGTCAATTTTGGAGGAACATTTGTCAATTATAGCTATTGACTCGTCCAGTTGGCCAAGCTCTAGTTTAACTCTAGCAATCTCAGATTGCAGCAAAATTGACTCTTGAACCTTCTGGATCTCTTGCTCACCCTCTTCATGCGCAGATTTTGAGTCTTTCTCCAAAAGCTTCTCCAGAGATAGTAAATACTCTAGGGACTCAGCGGGAGATATACCGTCTAGCGAAAACAGCAAGAACTCAATCAACTTCAATCCGTCGATCTTGTTATAGAACTTCAACACGAAATTCTCGTATAGTCTCAAGCGAATTGGCTGTGATAAAGGATTGGCAAAGAATTCGTCCGAAAGACACTGAGTAAGCTGGAACCACAGCTTCCTCTCATACAAATCCTCGAGCGAGTAGAACACATGCACCAAATCTGCATCTGCTTCTTCCTTTAACGTGGCTAACACGGTCGAGACATCGACATCAATATCCATTGCACTCATGATAAATAATTGGAAATATTAAACGAGATGGTGGCGTTGAATGGGGTTGATATGATACACCGTGTCGTTCAGAGTTATTGGACTTCAAGAGGTGGCAACTCCAAATCAGATTTAGCGGGTGCACGCTATTTTCAAAACTAACTGAAGCTCAGTGGAAGGAGGAAAACGATAGGCCGAATTGCCTCCGAGGCTTTTTGCGCGCATTAAGAATAGCAACTATGCCATATTGATTCAAGACCTCAAATTTAATTGCCAAAACTACTTGGTCTCCCCCTCCAAAACGTGTTATACGGGGAGAAATTTCCCCATGACGGCTCCCCCAGTATTGGTCGTGCGCCGCACCCAATCATTATTGCCGAATTCAGCGACACAGATCTCAATGACGGAAGTTGGCTATTGTCCAGCTGGCTACTTTATCTCCACAATCTGGATACAAAAAAAAAACTGTGCAAAGTTCCACCAATGGACATAGGAGACGCTAACATTGTCTTCAAGCTGAAGAAGCGGTACCGGAGATCCAGTCCCACGCAAAGGCTAGTGGTTGGTCTTGTCTCCCTGCTTGTCTTGTACCTATTGTGGCCAAGTTCGAAAGGCAAGTCTGCTAGCTCATTCGAGGATTTTTCATCTCAAGTGCTTCAGGAAGATTCTGAATCGGCTGATTATGAGGTCAAGCGATCTGAGGTGGCGTATTTGGCTCTGAAACCTCCATTTTTCAACCCTTCAACCTTGTCTCTATTCAACTACCAGAATGGTGGTAATATGATGATCAACAGAAAGGACAATAAAGTGAGATTGGTCAGAGACAGTCCCCATCAAGTTGGTTATCTTACTTCAAATTTGCCAATCGGTGTTTCCAGCGGAAAAGCATTCGAACTGAATGCGGAGTTTTCAGTGAATGGCCCAGTTGTCAGGAACGGACTCTATGGAGACGGTATGGCGATTTGGTTAAGCGAAACGCCACTAGAGCAAGGCGACGTTTTTGGACTGAGAGATGGGACCAGAGGGCTTGGAATCTTTGTGGATACGTACAAAAATGGACCCAAGGGCAAGTCGCATGGAAACAATAATCAGTTTCCATATTGCTCTATTCAACATAATACCGACGGAATTCCTCACTACGACAAGTCGAGGGACGGTGCTAACACAGAAATAGGAGGTTGTTCTCTAAAGGGCATTTACAATGCAGAAGGTAATGCGCTTATGAGATTGTTGTACATACGGTCACAGGGTTATCTGATGGTTGAGTTTGACATGAAGAGTGATGGCAACTGGAAAAAGTGTGTGGAGACTACCGGTGTTGATCTCCCCGAATCCATGTATCTTGGATTCAGTGCTGAAACTGGTGATCTCATGCACAATGTTGATCTGTTCCAGGCCTCTGTCTACGAGCTCAGTGCAAGCAACGGTGAGCCGGTGACCTCACCTGACACCGTGGCACCACTGTATGCCACGGAGGAATCGTCCAAAGAAATCAATGATAAAGCTGACGCGACCAAGAAAGCGGGAAATAGGAGGCTTCCCAAGAGAAAAGGCGGCCCAAGGAGGAGGACAATGTCAAGACTGAAGAGATCGGAGGAGAAGGCCAAGCTCAAAGCCAAGGAACAACCTAGCGTTGTTCACAGTTTCTTTGGGTTCATTTGGAGGCTAATAAAGATGACTTTGTACGCGGTTCTTTTTATCATAGTTTCCTACATTGCATGGTGCGTTTATCGTGTTCAGAGAGAAAAGGCCAAGAGAAGGAAGCAAGGTGGGTTGCTTTGAGATGTGTCATGAAATATCCAAAAAACACTCACAACATTGCACACTCTTCATCACTGCCACTATGTGTTCTATTTTATCGTCATTCATAATTCAATTAGTTCATCTAAGTCTACAGGCCCAAGGCTTCAAGCCCCAATAACCCCAATTTCTCCCTTTTTTTCTATTTCCACGGTACAGGAGGATAAATCTGCTGGCTTAGAAACTCCACATAACTTTTTGTGGGTTCGTAATCAGAAACAGAAGTTCCAGGCGTAGAAGACGAAGAAACAGGCACTAACGCATCTTCCTGAAAATCGCTTGCATCCTTAAGACCACCGTCCATTATATCGTCCGGAAATTCCAGCTTGTAATCATTAATAAGTTCTTTCACCTGCATCCTGTGATCTTTTGCTTGCATTCTGGAAGGTTCAGGCTCGCCCAGACCCTCATCCTCTGACGTCTCACGGTTGAACTTGACATGGTCTATAGGAACCTGGCACAGGAACAACTCGTCATCGTCAACATTGCATTCCTCGGAAAGAGGACCGGATTGGGACAATTTCGGGACCCGGATGACATCTTGTCTAAGCTCGAAAATTGAGTGTCTGTCGTACGGGTTCAATCTCAGATATTTTTTCAACAGACGGTAGACCTCTTCCGATAGAGGAAGGATGCGCATTAGCACGGAATTGTCCTCCATAAACGCTTTAAATGTGACATCCATAATGCTTGCCTTGGACCATGGATTTCTGATAGAAATCAGATTGATTAGGATAATGCAGAGTGACCAGACATCACCAGCCAGTGTGGGGAACTTGACGTTATGACGACTGTGCTGAAGCTTGAAAGCATCATTGGCCAGACGCTCCAAATGCAGCTCATGATTATTCACATCGTCATAACAATCTCCCAGATTCTGGATCCTTTCTGGCGCCATATAGTAGGAGGAGCCGCAGCACACATTGGACTCTATCTCTCCATCCATCACGGCTAGTCCAAAGTCAGCCAGAATCAACTTTGTGCCGTTCTCGGCAACGAGGATGTTTTCTGGCTTGAGATCACAATGGTACACGTTTTTGGAATGGCAGTAGGTTATGGCATCCACCAACTGCACGAAAACGGATTTCAGCAGCCTGGGGTCCTGCGAATACCTCTTCTTGTCGACTATGGTACTGAAGAGATCACCCTCGGGGTAATAGTCCATCACCACGAAAAGAGCCCATTCCGAGTCAAAAACTTTGTAAATCGAGAGAATGTTCGGGTGTTTGTGTACCTTCAATTGGAGCGAGATTTCTTTCAATATTTTGCACTTGTAGCCGTACGACGAGATCAGGTCTAGGTCCAGTAGATTGGCCTTCAGTTGACCGTTCGAATTCAATCCCACTTGGCCCAATTTCCATTCCAGCTCGAGTACCACCTTCTTGGAGCAACTGGCATCTGTGTGTGTCGATGGTGATAGCAATTTGTCCTTCTTTAGAATGACCTTGATCCCAAACACTTTGCCCGTATAGAGGTGTCTTGCGGAGTATACCACACCGTAAGAGCCGGAGCCCACCTTGTGGTCCAGCTGATATTTGTTGTTCAGTATTAGATTTGAGAGAGACATTTAAGTCTGCTATGATTTGTATTATGTGAAATGAGTGTTTAGCGAGTACTGAGCTAAGGAAGTAGCTTGAGCGCTTAGGCGGGTGAATGATATATATACGTGGGGCATGGAGAAATGAGCTAATAAAAATAGTGTGACCCACACCAGATTAAACAGCCCGGACCCTACAGAATCCACGGAGCGCACACGCACACCGCCAGAGGATATCGGGCGAAAAAGTGGAACAATAATAATTGCAGACGAAAAGATACTTTGGGGTCCCGAATAGACGCCCAAACAGCCCGCATGAGCTAAGCGCCCAAACTTTTCGAGGCTGTGCAACCAAATCGATGAGGTGATTCTCCACTCCGTGTTGTGAATCTCGGATTCCGCTAAGGTTTTCCTTCTGGCTTCTCCACCTTTTTCTTCGTCCCATTGGCAGAACGGGGATGTGCGCAATTCATGTGAAAGCACACTTCCATTTGAGTTTTTGCTGGTTGGGATCTTGACTTAGCGCCCGGAAAGTCTACCAGCTCGGCGAAGGATTTAGCCGTGCTTTCAGACGATAATCCCGTGGTGTGATTTAATGGGCGGGTTGGACCGGACACGCACGTCACTCTGGACACTATTTGAAGAGGTTGTTCCGGTTTCACACGGTTTGCCTGACTATGCGATCAAAGTTGTCATTTTTGATGGGCATATCCAATTGTTGAAATGGGTTTTTCATCACGTAATCCGAGTAGCACAGGTAGACTTTCTTGAACCACACCTCCATCTCGGCTAGGTTGGTGTCATTAGCAAACCCAATGAACTTGACACCTGTGATGGTCTGGTAGACGTATATCTGGAAGTTTTCGGTTTCTATTATTCTCAGCCCAGATTTGTTGTTGTTATAGAGGTCATTGGTCTTTGCGTTTGCCGGGGTGATCTTGGAGCTGATCGCATGTATCGAGTGGATAGTGCTGGCCATGACCAGAGACTCGTTAGTGGTCAATTGGAGCAATCCCGGTTGGAAATCGTTGTGGTACACCAGTCCACCACTCTTGTTGAGAATATATAACGTGTATATCTGCATGATCTGTGGTTGTATTGATGATATTTAGGCGGTGGTAATGTGCTCCTTTAAAGTGAAATATCGCGTTCTGGCGGGTTGGGTTGGGTGCACGACACAGGGTTACCCGGTGGTATTATTGTGCGCGCGATATGGGAGTGAATAGCTTCAGCATTCGAGAAGAAAATCAATATTTTGCAGTTGATGAATCCCGACTTGTCAGATTATCCAGTTCACCTAAGCTCTAAGTCCATACGTCTCTAACCCATTAATACAAGATCAATGCGTTCAAGACTGGTTTCTGGCGTTTATCATGTAGCCTAAAAGAGAGATGAGCTTATCTCCTCCACCGTGTGGTGGAGGTAACAATCCTAAGGGAACAATGTTCCATAAACGCCGCAGTTACGAGCATAAAGGACCAGATTGGAGATGAACAAGACCAAGTCCGGTCGTATCTACGTTGCCAGATTTTTCTCGTTGTGGCGTTTTTTTAACCCTCAAAAAGGCACAAAAGTCGTCATTAACTGCTGCGATAAGATTTAGCGGAAGACAATTTCCGAAGCCAGATCTGGCAACCCTCCAACTTATTTGCATAAAGCATCGCCAAATTCCCAAAAACTACTCAACTTCAGATTATTAATCAAACCATTTGAACAAAACGTTGCCACTGTTTTCTCATTAATTTTGTCAGCGTCCTTCCAAAATGCTAACCATAGACCAAATGAGAGAGCTGTCGCCTGCAGAAGCTCGTCTTCTGATAAGGGAAGGCAAGCTGGACCAGATGGGCTCCGTCGCAGACGGTTACATGCAAGTGAACATGGTGTGTCTTCCAGAAAAGTATGCTGATGATTTCCGGGAGTTTTGCCGTCGTAACCCGGTTCCATGTCCATTGGTGTCGGAGACCGCAGTTGGAGACCCTACCGTGGTTCTAGATGTTCAAAAACACAAGCTGCTGGAAAACGGCAACGTTGCTACGGATATTCCAAAATACTGTGTTTACCACGGAGGTGATCTTGTTTCCGTGGAGAAGAACATAGTGGAGCAATGGAAAGAGAACTACGTGGGATTTTTGATTGGATGCTCGTTTTCGTTTGAAGGAGCTCTTCACAAGGCTGGATTTCCTTCCAGATACAGAATCAAGGGAACTGTCGTCTCGATGTACAAAACCAATATCAAACTTTGTCCCTCTGGAGTATTCAAAGGATACTATGTGGTTTCTATGAGACCCATCAAGGCAGACAAAATTGAGGAAGTCAGGAAGATCACCTCGAAATATGGCCAGTGTCACGGTAGTCCCATTGCATGGGGTTACGAAGAGGCTCTTGAGATCGGCATCAAGGATATTGCCAAGCCAGATTATGGTGATCCAATCGAGATTTTGGAGGACGAAATTCCTGTGTTTTGGGGTTGCGGTGTGACACCACAGTACGCTTTGGTCGAGGCCAATCTACCAGAGGAGGTTTACTCGCACCACCCCGGGTTTCCCTTGGTGCTGGATATCCATGAGAATGATTTTTTTGGACTATAGAGGAAATTAGACGCAGAGCGCGATACTTATTTTGGGTTTTTATTGATTGAGCTGAAGCAAACACATGATCCGTAGAACGACGTATGGAACGACGTAGAAGCCCATATTGAGTGGAAAAAAAAAACTCAAATAACAATGTTCCAATGAAGAACTAAGTTGGTGATCATTTCGAGTCTCCAAGAGCCTTCAATTCCAACTTTGCAGAAGCTTCCCAGAATTTGTCAACGTAGACATCAGTGAAAACAGGCGTCTTCTCAATGGCATTACCGTTCTTATCAAAGATAGCTCCATTGAAATTGGAAAGATCGGGAGATATCAGCAGAGGAACGATCTTTTTGGCATAATCTTCAGGAGATGCAGAAATCCAACTAATCACCCACTCAATTGCTGAAGATTTCCACGAATTTTCTCCGAGGTAGTTGTTTCTGATGTTAGTCTTAATCAACCCCGGATTTAGCCCGAAGAACTTGAGATGGGGGATCCTGGCCTTGGCTCCAAATACTAGTGCCTCGTTGGCAGCAACAGTGTTGAAGTGAGTCTCAAGCGGCTTATAAGGTAATCTTTCGGAGTTCAAGTCATCCGGATCGCCTGTCTTACCGGATCCTGGAAATCCCATGATGAAAACTCTGGGGTGGCTGCGGAAGAAATGACTCTGGGGAAGCATCCTCGGAGCAAGTTCCTTCAGCAACGAGTATCTGCTAAAATAACTGGCTGCCATGTCTTTTTCAACTCCTTCGGATGTCTGCTCTCGCTCTGGTGCGGCCGTAATTCCCGTGGTCAAGACCACCAGGTCAAGAGATTGTGTGGGAAGCTCTCCTCCAACTTGCTTAGCAACCTTGACGGAGCTCAGATCAGCCTTGACGAAATCAATGCCCGAGACTCCCTCATCTCTGAAAGTTTGGCCCACAACGGTCACCTTCGCACCATGACTGGCCAACTGTTGAGTTATGGCTCTTCCGAGTCCACCGGTGCCACCAATGACCACTGCATTCAGTCCTTTCAAATCAAGCGAGTCGATATCAGTCTTCTTCCAGGTGACGCCATTATCGTTGGGCATTGTGTAATGAGTTGTGAATAAACTATGAATGAGACTCAAGCTTACCAGTGAAAATCTCTAAAGAAAACCTCTCAGTTGCAAAATCAACCCCTGGAAGACCACTCATGTTATATAGCAACTCTATTTTCTTCATAGGTGGAATCCTAAGCTGCACCCCACACTACTATGTTGATAAGCTGCATGTGGGAGCAACCTAGAGATTAAGTTTCTTTTCACTCGACACAATAGAGAAATATTCAAAAAGGTTGTTGAGTATTGGTGATATCTCCCGAAGATTACCGGACGATTATCGCAATTGCAGGTGATGTTATCACTGCCGTTGCCTAGCACAGCCAAGAATTATCATATGCATCAGCTTAATCACCAATGCATTCAGGAACACTTTGAGAATCTAATCTCTTGTACATTCAGATTCCTTTAAACAGTTATATACATGAATTCTTGGAGCCCCCAATACTTATTCCATGAATGGCTTTGGGATTGTTCCAACTGGTTGTTCGCCGACCAACGCTGGTGCAACCAGATCCCTGATATCCTCTTCATTCGTAGACGCATTCCATGAGTTGCTCGCATTTCTCACTACCGTCGCATTCAATTGCAATTTCTCATTCACGAGCTTGGTCGCATCGGCTTGGAAGAACTCTGTCTTGCCCAGCACTATGGCATTCAACTTGTCTGTGATCTCTTTTTCTGAGATTTCCAGATCATCAATTGGCTCACCAAGAGAGTTATGGAATGCGGGTAGAAGGGACAGGTAACTGGCCCTCTCGATAGAACCCAGTGGGATATTCTTCTCTTTCAGTAGCTCGATCATGGCTCTCAACACTCTGGTTTCGTGAGAGTATGGGATCCCAGGCGCCGTCAAGACGATCGAATCGGAGGTAACAGAGGCGGGAGTATAAGCTCCTCTGTCGGCCGTCTTATTGAGAAAGTCCGCATCTGTAGCGTCTTCCTGAGCCATTCTACCTCTTCTGGCCCTTTGGATCACACGGTCAATACGCGAAGTCACGGGTCTGGGTCCCCTTCTCGACGAGAATGATTTACGTGTGAATTTCTGGTTGGAGGGTGCTTGTTGCGATGCAGAATCAATGACGGAATCCAGTTCAGGAGAGAACGTCTTTTTTTGTTGAGCCTGATAGTTACCAACGGTGTTCAGAGCAGCTGGTGCATTTGCAGTGTTGCCCTCGCGTGCGACCTTTCCGCGGTTTCTATTGGATCTTTGTCTATTGTTGTTATTGTTGTTTTTTCTGGGGTTTTTCTTGCCGCTCCATGGCCTGCTTCCAGATGCTTGTTTCGTATTGGGCTCTTTGGAAATCTCTTTGATCGATTTCAGCTTATTGAACACATCCTCCATGAATTTGGCATTGGAGCTGTTGTATCTCACGCTCTGACGTGCAAAGACCTGTCTGAACATTGTGAGAACCAAAAACGAAGGGTTTATTCGAACCCTATGAACGTGCCTTAAGAAGCCTTTTGTTCATGCTTCTTGAAGTCGCCCATCCAATTTGGGTAGTCTGGTGATTACACGTGGCGTGCTGATTTGTACAGCAAAAAGTTTCTAGCACAGCCAGCTATGATTGTGAAGTACCTACCATTAAAACATCCAACAAACCCCGTGATTTGTACTATGAGTGACGGAGAAGTCGAAGATTTGGAAATCAATGCCGGCTTCTTTGAGGAGCCCGAAGATTTCAGACCCCAGGCTCCCACTGCTTCAGATATCGTCTACGAGAGAAAGCACGCTGGTTCCTCCTCCAATTTGGTTCCACTCAGATTGATCGGTTCTTCCCCCCTGTATGGGCATATATTGACTAATGCGGCCAAATACACGGCTGAATTCCTGGACAAAAACCCAGACTGGGTTTCTGGCAAAACTGTGCTGGAATTTGGGTCTGGAGGTGCACTTCCATCCATTATCAGTGCCTTGAACGGCGCAAAGCTCGTGGTAACCACAGATTATCCGGACGTGGAGCTCATAAATAACATCTCTTACAATATCAAACAGAACAACTTGGAAGCCGCGGCCATTGCCAAGGGTTTTATCTGGGGTGATGATACCACTGAGATACGAGAAATCATCCAGACAGCCACCGGGAAATCAACCGTGGACCTTCTCATACTCAGCGATGTCATTTTCAACCATACAGAGCACTCGAAACTCCTTAAAACGTGTCTGGAGCTAATTAACAGAGACGGTACAGGAAAGTGCCTGGTTGTATTCTCGCCTCACAGGCCCCATCTGCTTGACAAAGACCTGGAATTCTTCCAGACAGCCGCACATTCTGGATTCAAACACACCTTCATCGAAGAACAGATTTGGTCGCCGTTATTTGCATCAGATACCGACGAATCAACAGCCGAATTGAGATCCAAGGTATTTGCGCATCTATTGGAGATCTGAATCACCGAGATTTCGCAGGCTGGATGATATTTTCGTGCGATAACCAATATGCACCTCACATACGCGCCGCACTATTTCCGCATTGGGAGGTCTCGATGACCAGCATCGAAGGAGCTGAACTCGATTCTACCCTGAAACGTTCGTGTCGTAAATCCAGTTGCGGTAAGGTAAGGCGCTAATTTGGAAATATAAGTGAATTGGATGAGAATGCAATGCCACCACAAGTTAAGGCTGGTCGGTTTCTTGGCCTGATTCGGCAAAGATCTAGCCAAGTACAGAAGATGAGTCCAGCCATAATTTTCCAAGGGTCCTTTATATGGAAGGAGTGATCCACGGTAGTGACTAGGAGCGGGAACGTTTTACTTCTCTTCAGCTCTGAAACAACCACAGTCCAACCCTAGTCAATCTTTACGATATTGTTTTGTGTTTTACTTACAAACCTTAAACAAATATCTCAACACTGTGATTTCCGACTCATTCTTTACACACTCTTTTCACTAAGATCGAACATCTCATTCGATCTCCACACTCGTTGAACACTCGTTAAAACCAACTTTCTCTTACATTCGTTTTATCACAAATTTTCGCTATGTTCAGCCAAGTGACTATTTTTGCCCTCCTCTCCTTTTGGGCCTCTGCTGCCTTAGCTTATAACGCTGACTCCAAAGACAACGTCGTTCTCTACTGGGGTCAGGCTTCTGCTGGATCCCAGGAAAGACTCTCTTATTACTGTGAGTCTGATGCTGCCGATATAATTGTTCTTTCATTTATGACCGAATTTTCTTCGGCTGATACCCTTCCTGTTCTGAACTTTGCCAGTGCGTGTTCAAGCACTTTCTCGGACGGTTTGCTTGATTGTGATGAGATTGCGTCTGATATCCAGACCTGTCAAGATGCAGGTAAGCTGGTTCTTCTGTCTCTCGGTGGTGCCAGTGGCAGTTACGGATTTGCCTCAGATTCTGATGCTGAAGGCTTTGCTGGTACTCTCTGGAACATGTTTGGTGGTGGATCTGCCGATGAACGTCCCTTTGGAACTTCCGTTCTCGATGGTTTCGACTTTGACATCGAAAACAACGACTCCACCGGATATGCTGCTCTTGCTAAAAAACTGAGAAAATACTACGCCGAAGACACCTCCAAGTCCTACTATATCTCTGCTGCACCACAGTGTGTCTATCCAGATGCTAGCGTTGGTGATCTTTTGGAAAACGCCGACGTGGACTTTGCATTTGTGCAATTTTACAACAACTACTGTAACTTGGACGAATCGTTCAACTGGGACACCTGGGCTGACTATGCTGTCAATACCTCTCCAAACAGCGATATCAAGCTCTTTATTGGTTTGCCAGCCAGTTCTTCCGCTGCCGGTTCCGGATACGTTGATGCCTCCACTGTCAAGTCCACTGTCAAGGATTTGACTTCTACCGACAACTTGGGAGGAATTATGCTTTGGGATGCTTCTCAGGCTTTTTCCAACACTGGAAGTGACGGAGACAATTTCGCTGTTGAGATGAAGAGTGTGCTGAACGATGTTTTTGGAAGTGCCACCTCTTCTGCATCTTCTGCAGCTTCTGCATCTTCTACTGCATCTTCTGACGCATCTTCCACCGTCTCGTCTACTGCCTCGTCTACTGAAACTGAAGAAGTTTCATCTACTGAGGCCACCAGCGTGACTTCTTCTACTGAGATTTCTTCTGCAGAGCCTTCCTCTACCGAGATCTCTTCTTCTTCTGTTTCATCTTCCGAGAGTTCCTCCTCGGTCTCTTCGACTGAAACCTCTACTATTTCTTCGACCGAGAGTTCGACCTTAGTATCTTCTACTGAAATTTCAGCCTCGGTTTCTTCTACTGAATCCTCCACCTCGGTCTCTTCGACCTCAGTCCCCGTTGCTGCTCCAACCACTTCCGCTGCGTCGTCTCCAACTGTGACCGAAGTCGCTACCACACCAGTCGATGCTGAGGTTGTTGTTTCGACCCCAGCTTCCGCTACATCAATTGCTACAGCTTCCCCACTCACAACACTCAGCACCGTTTACATATCATCTTCCTCGTCCACCACCACGGCAAGCACTGCTGCTGCCACTAGCACAGGAGCTTCCTACACAGACTGCTCTGGTCTGTCTGGTCTTGCTGAGGCCAAATGTTTGAACGAGAATTTTGATGCCGGTCTTTTCCTCGGTTCGGCTGACTCGTGCACCACTGAAGGTGATTTAGCATGTACTGCGGATGGAAACTTCGCTATTTGCAACTTTGGCAAATGGGTCGTCATGGGATGTCCTGTCACGACCAGCTGTTACGCCTACACTCAAGGCTCTGAGGTGGATATCGGTTGCAACTATGCTAACCAGAAGAACTCTTTTGTGAAAAGGAGTTCTATTTTTGACATCTTCAAGGCTTAGAAGTTCAAAATGGGAATCATTACATAGGGATTGGGAAAAATAGGACGCTGGTACGACACACCATATAGTGATGTACAGTTGAGCCATGATAATAAAAAGTTTATTAAAGTATTAATTACGGAATTCAATTAGATATTTGAGGAAATTTATTGTAGAATCACTAGAAATGTGGAGTAGTTTGGTGATAGAGGTGTTAATCAAGAACGGACTTGATTATAGAATCTGTACAGACAATTTGTTGAGATTAATAGCAAATGAGTGTTTGATTGAGTTATTCCTAATCTAAGCTCACCATGTTGATGATAATGTACAGCTGGTTTATTCTAGGATAACATATATCTAAATCCATTGTTTTGAAACAATTTCTATGCCTTATGGATATCAAACCCAAGATATCACACCGTTGAAAGCAATTTGTTCCTTACCAGGTGGGCTTCAAATAATACGAATATACCCGTGACCTAATCTCCTCGGTCTCCTTGGGATCTTCTGGAAACATAGGCCCCCAGTGTTGCATTTCGATCTCCTCAACATCAAAACCAAAGTTCTCCTTTGCGTTCTCAAAAAACTCAAAGTCCTTGTGGATAAGGTGAGCACGATGAGGACTGAATACCACCAAGCACTTTCCCGTTTTTGGCTTGACAAGGTCCTTGCAATTTTTCAAAAGCTTCGTATGTTCTGTATGGTTGAACACAAGATCTGAGAGAATGACCCAGTCAAACTTGCCATCATCAGTCTCGGCTACAACTTCCTCAACGTCGTTCCCCCATATCAGACCTCTGGTGACAATCGTGCTCATATCACATTTGTTCTCCTTGAGGTTGAAATCTATATTTTCTAGAAGTTCCGCATCGGGGTAATCAGTAGCTACCACCTTAGATGCGCCGCACACCAGATGGCATATGAGCGATGGAAGCGCGGAAGCGGCTCCTAGTTCCACCACCGTCTTTCCACAGATCTCAGAAGCATGACTCTCCAAAAATTGCGCGGTATACTTGCCTGCATTCCATAGAAGATGGCCCCAAAGAGGTGACTTGCCTACCAGTCTCAGTGAGATCTCACGGTTGGTAGAATTGCAAGAGTATGAGAGCATGTGTGCCTCCGCAGGAGGGGGTCTGAAATCTTCGGGCTCCTCAAAGAGGTCGGCAGAGAGCTCGAAATCGTCTGACATTTGGAGTTGGAAGTGACAGTCTAGAAGTGAGGTTTGACATCCACAGCTTTGGCTGTGAAAGTGAAAAATCTGGTGATTATGGGTCTCGCACGAGCATTTATGGGTCTCGCACGATAGGTAAAATAGAGTAGCCTAGTGGGGGGTCCGGCGCAGTGATATGACTGGTATTTAACTTTATAATTGTATCGTGATTGGTCGGTTGGTCATTTTGGTTGTGTTTGTGCCACAGTGCACTTGCCGCACGGAGTAGTGAAAGGTTCCAGTGGCTGTTTGAGCTAATGCCAACGGTTCTGCACAGGGTCCCCCACTGTGGCTGCCAACATGTGCGGTTCCACTGAAACTGCTGCGCATGGCACATAGATGGTTATTTGTCCACTTATATGAGCAATCAATTTCAAATCGAGGTCATGTCGGAGTTATTCGCCAAATTCGTGAATTTTGAGCCTCAAAATTGCGCGTCTCTCCTTAACGATGCCAAAGCCCGAAACAAATAGGATTTCTAGCTTGGGGCCAGCCAGACCAGGTCTCCTGCTATTAAAGAAGTCAATAGAATGATAATATATCATCAAGGTGGCTCAAAGATACTGATAGGAAGCATCATTATTCGTATTTAAATGCAGAGAATTGAATAAAAATATACTTTCACTATTATTATTATTGTTGCTGCTAGGTATGTACCCCGATGAATGGTGAGGCTAGCTTCGTTTAGGCCACCTGCTCAGCCAGATGGCAGGCACGCATATGCCTCTTTATGGTCAGAAAGTCAGATTGACGTCAGTCAAGCCAACATAGTGAGCATTGTAAATACAAAGTAGTCGCAGACTTAGATGGTCGAGTCCCAATATCACGATACAATTATCCACCCGGTTTCACAGACAAAAAAAATAATCAAGTAAGCTTAAACAAGCAATCTATTCTGCCATGCCACCACATCTCTTCGCTGCCGCCTTTTTTCCCTGCCTCATCCCCTTCATCCATCGCTAAATCTTAAATCCCCTAATCCCCCAATAGGCAAGACATCCATGTCGTGCACACGCAAGTCGCGTCGGCTTTTGGTGGCCCCGCCAATGAAAACTCCACAGATCGGTGCCCGTAACCAGGGCCGCGCAAAAGCAACGCCGGGGTGCTACATCCTCCAAATCCGGAATACACCCCATTGAAAAAGAAACCAAAAGGACACCCCCCGTCTGCGTGTCCGGTTTTAGAGGGCCGCGGGCAAACAAGACGCAAAAAAATCCCACTTGGCCAGGAAATCCCCCTGGGCCCTGTTTTTGGCTACTTGTTCTTCCCAGAGATCTTGGTCAAATCAATTCAACGCCACCAATCCATCTTCAACTAGAAGCCCAATGTCGTATCAGAGACCGCTGAACTCGGCCCCCGACCATTCCAGGCTCAACGACCTGTTGGAGGCCATCAAGAAGGAGTTCGACAGCCTCACCCACGAGACCTCCGCCTACAAGGTGCACCAGGATGAGTTCGAGATAAAGTTCAGCCAGCAGAACCAGGAGCTTGCCAACATTAGAAACACCGTATATGAGCTGGAGCAGACTCATCGCCGCATGAAAGAGGCCTACGAGGACGAACTGTTGAGGCTTAAACAAGAGCTCGAGTCTCGTGACCGTCTTTTACAGCAGCAGTCGATCCAGCAGGCGCCTCTGGCGGTTGCGGACCGGCCGGAACCAGGTGCTCCTGCGAATGGCTTGAAGTTTTACCCGGCTCAATCCCAGTTGCCGCCGTTGCAAGCACAAGGACAGCAACAACAGGCTCAACAAGCTCAACAACAAACTCAATTACCTCCCCAGCAACCCCAACAGCCACAATCTCAGCCCAGAGCGCCGCAGCAACTTCAGGGAACACATCTGCCTCCTCCAGCTAACTCTCCAACCAACGGTTCAGCCAGGCCGTTCAACGGAACCCCCAAGTCTGAAGCCGCTACCGGTGTGACATCTCCGGCACCAGCAACGGTAACTCCAACCGCGGCTGCGGCGACTCCTGCTGTCAAACCAGAGGAGGAGACCGCGCTGGTTAAGCGTGCTCAGCACAACAAGCCGATCCCTGCCTTTCTGAAGGACTTGGACTCTTACGCAGTGTTGCCATACAAAAAGCAATTTGCCGAGTTCTACCTGCTTTTTAACCCAAACGTGCCCAAGAAGGCAGATATCAAGCTGCTTCACTCGTTCGATCACGCATCCGTGGTTTGCTGTGTTCGTTTCTCCAAGGACGGTAAGTTCCTGGCCACTGGTTGCAATAAACTGACCCAAGTGTTCAGTGTAGACACCGGCGAGCTAATTGCGCGTCTTTCAGATGATTCTGTGAACCCCAACGGTTCCTATGATACTGACTCTGGCGATCTGTACATCCGTTCAGTGTGCTTCTCGCCAGATGGAAAGTACTTGGCCACTGGTGCCGAGGACAAGCTTATTCGTATCTGGGATCTCACGACCCGCTCCATCATCAAGGTGCTGCGTGGTCACGAGCAGGACATTTACTCGCTAGACTTCTTCCCAGATGGTTCCAAGCTCGTTTCCGGTTCTGGTGACCGCACCGTACGCATTTGGGATCTGTTATCATCTCAGTGCTCACTCACCTTGTCGATCGAGGACGGTGTAACTACTGTAGCAGTTTCGCCCGATGGAAAGCTGATTGCGGCCGGTTCGCTCGACCGCACCGTGCGCGTCTGGGACGCGAACCAGGGTTTCTTGGTGGAGAGACTGGATGCGGAGAACGAGGTCGGTCACGGCCACCGCGATTCTGTTTACTCGGTTGCGTTCACCCATGACGGTAAAGAGATTGCTTCGGGATCTTTGGACAGAACTGTTAAGCTCTGGTCATTGGATGTGAAGTACAACGAGCACAACACCATGGCCAAACCGGTTTCCAACTGCGAGGTCACCTACGTGGGCCATAAAGACTTTGTACTTTCCGTGTGCTGCACACCAGACGACAAATTCATTCTGTCTGGCTCTAAGGACCGTGGAGTTATTCTATGGGATAAGGAGTCTGGTGAGCCTTATATCATGCTTCAAGGCCATCGTAACTCGGTGATTTCCGTTTCGGTGTCTCCGGTGATGAGCCAGAGGCGTGGGCTCGCAGGTGGATGTTTTGCTACTGGAAGTGGTGATTGTAAGGCGAAAATTTGGAGATGGGAGCATGCCTCATAAAATGGGTGAAACAAAACTTTGTGAAGCCCCGAAAAGCCAGAAAAGGTGAACAATATTTTGAAAAGCTGAAAAGGTCTAAAGAAGGCCACACACTGGAAGGGAAAAACAACGAGGAGATTGGAAATCATCTATCGACCCCATCACCTCAAACCCCTTAAAGACCCTTCAAAGACCCTTCAAAGACCCTTCAAAACGAACTCAAAATTCAAAATCAGTTTTTTTTTATTGGGAAGAGGTCGTTTCTCCCTACAGAGCTCGAACAGACCCTGCTATCGGAGCTTACTTCCCATCCAAAGTCGGACCCGACTTGAAGGTTTCTACACCTTCTAGCCGTCGTCCGAGTGTATACGAGTGTACTTAATTTAAATGTTACCTTTCTTGCTGTTAATTTTGAGGGTGCACTTTTTTCTCAACGCGTTTCGGATATCCCGGCTGGAGAAATCGGAACAATGCAAGCGTCCACCAAAGGCTGGTCTTATTGCGAGCCGGATTTGCCGCATTTTTTTTCCGAAACTCGATGCCAACGGAATTGGGATCTGATTGCCATATCTGACTTGAATGGGGTAGCTAATAGATTTTGGTACTCATATAAAAGACAGTGCCATTTTGAAGTTCTGCAACCTGCGGCGTACAGAAACACGCAAAGTATATGTCACATGGCAGCAAAAACGACGAAACCTCGGTTTGGGTCGGAGCAGGTCGGCTAAGTAAAATTGCGGAGCGGGGGAGGTGGGGAGGAAGTCCGCAGCTAGGGCTGGACTCCGATTTCAGTTTGCCGACCTGATCCGACCCAAGACCGGGGTCTTTCCCTATCTGCGCATCCCTTAGGCATTGATCTACTACATATCAAATTAATAACTCCCTTCCATTTCTTTAGACCAAGTTATCCTCGAGTTATTTATTGACCACTGAGTTATGTTCACCCATCCTACAATCTGTAGGAAACGAAACGAAGTCCAACGGCACAAATCGATCGATTTGTAAGCCCGCGGCCCTTATTACAACATCGGAGCTGTTGTAAACAAAAGACGAAATCACTCCATTTCAAAAATATTTTTCGCCAATTGTTTGATTTATTTGGGAATTAATAAAGGAGATTTTTTTTCCCGCTCTTCAAATTATGCCACCTAAAAGTGTTGTATCATGGACGCGTGTTCCGGTGTCCCCTGAAGTTGAAGCAGATTCCTGGAAGAAAGCAGTGTGCTTGAAGAAGCCACTTAATATCCTGGTGATAGATATTCTGAGAACGGAGAAAAAATATCAATACCTCAAATGTTAAAGTCATTAACTCAAGTTGTACAAGATAACAATGAAATTATTGGTGCACAAATTGAAATTCTTAAAAGAATCTTAGCCAAATCCTCGTCATTGTCTCCTCAAGCTTCTCCTCTTACTTCTCTCTCATTGGAAGCTCCGCAACAATGGCATTCACCCCCATAAAAAGCATGAAAGAGGATGAAATGGTCACACCAAACTTCTGGGATAAGGAGAGGACCTGTTAAGATAAAGAACTTGCCTAAATTCACAGCGTATGCTTCCTCGCTTGATGGCAAACCCTCCCTGAACGATTATGGTGAAGAAGGCCTGGAAGACTAAATTTGCGAACATGAGCCGTCTTTGATTAAAACGGCACGCTTGTCTTAACCAGCTTGGAACGGTGCGAGTCATATTGCCTTGACTTCGTAATCAAATACAAACACTGGTCTGCTCCCTTCCTAAATAGGTTTGTCAAATGCAATAGTGATATCCACAATTTCTGGAGAGCATTTACTATTCAATTTGGGGACTAAAACCAATAGGCATTAGGAGTCCGTTATAAACCCCCTTGGGATATTATGAGAAGATTTTTCCAAAATGGAGCCGACCTGGAGTATATGAACCAAGAATATTGGATGCATATCGGAAGACGACTCAAACCAAAACAATGGGAATGCTTTGAAAGTTACATGATGAGACTTATACAAGACATAGACTATAATCTCCTGCGTCTCATGAAGATTGTCGACTTCCTCTTAGGTGCAGGTGCAGTTACTCGCAATTCTTTTTTTAAGGCATTTTCATGTCGGTACAAAAAGTACCGCAACCCTGGTAAAGTCCACTTAAGCTATCAAATGTTGGAATTTAGCGACCTGCGTTTCTCGGATACAAATGCTGAGCAGAAGTCCAGCAAGATGGAAAAACCTCTTGAAACATGTGACAGGTGTAACGGAACAGGAATGCTACATGATGAGAAAACGGGGAAATACAAAACGTGGGGTAATTGCAAAGGCCTCGGAGAATATAAACCAAACCTGCCTACAATTCACAAAAAAAGAAATAGTCAAGAAGAAGACAGATTGCTCAATTTGCTAACAAAACAGACACCAGAGATTAGCCTATTTATGAATCTTGACTTTCTTGTTATGAGCGATGCGTATTTTTGTACGTCGTGCCCTCTCTAGTTGCGATTTTTGTATACACACACTTTACCTGATCTGAACACAACCGCACTGTATCAGATCAAATCACCAATTACCAAGCCTCTCCGTCGCCATGTCCGTGAATAATCACGAGATCATAGACATTCCGGTTTTGGATGACTTGATAATTGAGATCCCTGCGATTGACCTTGGCCCTGCTAGCGATCTCGGGCCCGGTGCGCATAATCACCTTGACTTGCACCAGCCAGAGCTAGAAGACAATGGCTTGGAGTTGGACTACCAAGGATCTGAGGATCTTGTCGGTGAGCAAACTTATCAGCCGGGTCATCTTGACCAGGCGAATTTCCATCAGCAATCAAATTCGCTGGACCAAAATCTCGTTCAAACATCTTCTCTTCAGCATCAACATCATCAACAACAGCCGCAAGTAACAAGGAGGCTTACTCTCATGAATGGACAAGAGATAACAGACCTGAGGCGAGATCTTGCTACAGACTCAAAGACTCCAGCGGAATACACTTTGCACATCTTGTTCACGCAATTTGTGAGGTATGCCGAACGGAAACTGAACCTATGTCTCAACCAATACGGAAATGGCGAGCCGCAATTGATCGATCTACTCTCTGAAGGTATAGATCCTGTTTTTGACGGAATCATAGCTGCTCTGGGATATATTGCCAGACGAAAGCCAAAACCCGTGATTGATTCAGTGATGTTTTGGAGAAGGTCCAAGAGTGAAGTTGCAGCTATGGCTGCGTCGGCTTTGGATAAGGCCGTGGCATCTCATTTTTCCAATAAAGATGTTTTGGAGTTTAAAGAGACCGCAATTCAGGCTGAAAGAAAGAGTTTGATAAGCATTTTCATTTTGTGTAGGGTGTTGATTGAGGTGGTGAGACAGACTCCAACCCATATCATTGGAGATGATCTTGGAGATAAGCTGGAAGAGATCATATACACCCAACTGAAGACCACAGATCCCGTTTTGGTTTCAAAAAGTATTATAAGATCGTCAAATTGGGACCTATTTGCCGAGTTTTTGGGCCATATGTCAGCCAAGAGATTTTTGAGTGTGTCCGATAGGTTCATAGCTGATCTAGAGAAACATCCTCAGGGGTTTTCGGACCAGCACATGTCTGAAGCAAGTCTTTGCCTGTTGATCCATGGAATGAGATACTTGAAGATGTCTAACGAAACCATTGAATCTTTCGAAGATGCCGCCGATTTCCTCAAGAGTATCGCCAAGTTCTTCTACAAGTGTGAGAACGACGTCGTTATAGTTGCATACTGCGAGGTCTTGAACCAGTTACTTCTTTCCTTGGCTGGTGTTTTGACTGCTGAAGTCAACCATCCAACCTGGGTGGAGGCTATTGAGATCATATATGATAAATCAGTCAGTCTGATGAGGCTGAAACCCCAAAAGTTTTGGGGTTACGGGCTGCAACTGTCTGTGGCCGCTCTCTCGGTGGCTCCACAGGAGCTGTTCAAGGCGCACTGGTTATCCATAATTGAGGTCAATTCAAGAAGGCTGAAGCCCAAGACCTCAAACGAGGAAAAGGTTATTGTGGTGATCTCTATTGCCAGGTTGGTGTGGGCTTATCTCTTCCGGTATCCTGATACGCTAAATTTGCGTGTGAAAAATATAGAGTCAATTGCCCAGTTGCTGTTCCAGAATCAGCATAAAAAACAGCAATGGATCACTCTCCATCCTCTTGTGGTGCGGTCTCTGGTCCAGCTATTGCGTGCTTTTGCGTTTTCCAATATCACCGTCACGCTTGAGACTATTCTGTTGCCTCTTTTGAAAACAGGCTTTAATGGGACATCTCTTGATGGTCTTTCGCAAGAGAAGATCATGCTATGTTCTCAGACTTATATTGCCATATTGGGAGATTACAAGGCCGCGGAAAGACCGCCTTTCCCTAATGACGATGTTCTACATCTTGATGACACCGATGACCTGGAGGTTTTCAAAGATGAGACAAATGGTCCGTTTGATGAATCCTCCTCGAATGCTGCAATCCATGAGGAAATTTCAGGTTTGTTTACCATTCTTTTGCAGCTGTTGGACGATCAGGTGGGATGCAAAGTATTGCAGTTCCACAGGCCCAATGCAAGTGCAACTTCTTCTCCTATGTCTTCGTCTACAAGCTCTTTAGGTTCTAAACTTGGCTTGTACTTGCATGTGGATGACTCTTCGGACAAGAACAAAGTTCTGTTCTCCCACGTGATGATGTGCATACCCTGGTGCTTAAACTCAAATGTGTCGACCTATCGTAAGATGGTGGAACTCCTGATGAAGAACGCTGTACATCAGGACCGCGAAATTAACAATGTTGCAGAGGCGACCTTGAGGCAGTTGGTGCTGAAGAAAAACTCCAAGGTGCTCATTGCTTCTTTTCCAAGACTTGCCTTCAAGCTAGACGAGAAGAGTGGAAGTGTCTTGTATTATAATTATCTGACATCGAACGAGTACTTACGTTTGTTGGAGATATATGTGGATCTTTTGAAAAATTGGCTGCAGTCATTCACCGACTCATCAAAACAAGAGGAGGAAAGCCACGAGCTTTATGAAAGAAACCATCCAAGTATCGCCAAAGAAGAGCCTGTGAACTTCAAAGTTGTGGATGAGATCGAAATGAAGAACATTATCACCATAATTGACGAAGTTGAAGGAAATGGGCTGTTTTTCTTTTTCTCGCACGATTTCCATGTGAGACACTTAGGGTCTCAAATCCTGAGACTGGTGGTCCAGTTTGATGAGGTGATCTATGATATGACCACCAATTCGAACGCGGCAGATTCCGTTCATTCTGGAAAAAGGTCTCATGCCCGTATGCCATCCAAGTTTGTGGCAGAATTGGGCACCAGACTTATCCAAGTCCTGGAGACCACTGACTTTTTTGAGCTGATTTCGGGCATAAAGGCGGAGTTGAGTGTTCCTGAGCGCACGAGGTTGAATAAACTGCAACAGAAACAAAGAAAGGATATTCTTATTAGGCTTGCTGAATCTGGTTACGGCGTTGATTCTGCCTTGTGGTTTCGCGTGTTTCCCAAGGTGCTGACCATTTTGGTAAAGCATTGCCCCATTCAGATAGCTATCACAAGATCCTACTCTTGCATTCGTCTGGTTCAGTTATACGATCAAATATTCGACTATAGTCGCAGTTATCAAGGAAATGTGTCCATGATTAGAGAGTACAAGATATTTCTCATGATCGCGTGCTCCTCTCTGACCTCCACGTCAGAACAAAGATTGCACATACCACATATGCCAACGTCTTCCATAAGCTCATTGTCCTCACCTTTGTCAAAGAGTCATGCCAGGAAGAAGTCGCAGCAGATGTTTACCGTTCAACATCAGAAGATCACAAGTGCTAAATCCATTTTCAAGATGGTTATTCCTCTTTTGACTACTAAGCAGGCCGATGTGAAAGACGCAATTGTAACTGGATTAAGCTGCATTAACGTGAATATCTTTACCTCGTTCTTGTCGAGTATAGAACCCAGCATGGAGACTTGGAAGGTAAATCCAAAGTCGGCAGATTCTGACAGTCACTTGAGAATTGAACTTACAAGGATACTAAACAATGTGACTTTGCAATATTCTAAAGAGGAGGTTGTTTTTGCGGACGATTGGATAGTTGAAAGACTAGTTGCCTTCATCAAAAGTATCAAGACTTTTCTTTCTCATCCGGGAGTGCAGCAGAATTTTGAGTTTCAGAAATGGAGAAGGTACTTTGCTGGATTCTTGGAGAACACATATCTTGGTATCAAAGAGTTCAACGATATTGAGAAATGGTTGCCATTTGAGGCCAGAACGGGATGCTTCACCTATTTGGAAGAATGGTGTGGGTATGGGCAATATACAGAGTTTGAGGATACCAGATACAAGTATATGCTGAAAAGTGTATCCACCTTGAAGGATAACGTCACTTTGAGTGCCACTATCGAGTTGGAAAGAATTGCTTTGGAGTATACTGCAATCAGCTGTATGGCGTCGCTTTGTTCTTCTCCAATCACTCAGACTGTCCAGGATGGTGACAAATCTATTGTAATGTCTTTTGATATTGGCGGTATGATCAACTGGATAGATGGTCTGTTTGGCTCAAAGAATGAAAGAATACGTTTCCTTGGCCGCAAGGCGCTTCTGAGTCTGTTGCTGGTCAACTCACAAGTAGGCGGAATTGCAAACGAAATCATCAAGCGATGCTACACTTATCATGAAGAAGATACTGCGTTGGAATCATACTTTTTGACTCTTGCTGAGGCATTCATTGAAGGTGCCCAATTCCCATACGAGGTTTACCAGCCTCTGGCATTGTCTTTGTTTTCCGCTGGTTCTGACAACTTTGAAGTAAGGAAAGCCGCTGCCAAGCTGCTCGCATACACGGAGAAAAAGTTTTACAACACTTCAATGAGCGAAGCTTTCATTGAAAGTGTTTCCAGCAGGACTAAAGTCATCTACAAGAGGGCGCTTTTCAATTTGTCAAGTCATTTTGCGTCAGCTCATCCTGAACAGAACTTCAAAATCATATCTGAGCTTACTATGTTGTTCCATATGGTGGGTAACGAACCAAGACGCGACATTTTGGCTGTTTTGCTTCCATGGGTCCAGACTGTAGAGCTGAATATGTCTGAGGGAAACCCGAATCATGCAAATTCTGATATGGTCCTGAACAACCTGTTTGAGATCACTATCAAGTTCAGTGACAAAATACAAAATGAAGTTGAAGCTCTATGGGTTGCTCTCGCAACTGGATCAAATGGAAACAACATAAAGGAGATTTACCAGTTCATCACCTCAAACAGCTTGGAGAGAAGGAATCCTATATTTGTGGAGTATGCCAGACAGGTGGTTGTATATATGTCTTCCACGCTGGCTGGGGCAGATTTGATTGATATGTTGGTCTCCAATCTAGAGCCCAAATCCATGGTTCCCGGTCACCAAAAGTCACTTCCATTGCCTCCAAAGTCAGATGATCTGCCATATGTCGCTGATCTGTGGAGAAGCCTCAATTACAGTGGTAAAGAGGCTGTTTTCTCTTTGGGCCAGTTATCGATGATCTTTCTGGTGGATTTACTCGTCTCTCCGGGAGAGGCGATACGCCAAAAACTTCACCTTCTTCTACATGTCTGTTTCGTGTTTCTGGACCATTACTTGAAGATTGTTCAGAATCAGGCGTGTGTGCTATTAGTACACCTGATCCACAAATTTGGTTCGGATGGCCCTGAGGCAAGAAGTACCATGGAAATCTTGCGCAAACCAGACTTTCACAAAAGACTGTGGGCATATGATGACCTGAACACCGACAAGAATGGTGCAAGAACGCCTGAAAACATGGATTCCCTGATCAGGAGCTCTTTGACTATCTTCAGAGAGAGTGTTCCTGATTTGCAGGAGAAATGGGAACGTGTCGCTTTACAATGGGCAACGTCATGTGCAGTGAGACACATTGCATGTCGTTCTTTCCAGGTATTCAGATCCCTTCTATTCTTTCTAGACCAGGGAATGCTCCGTGATATGTTGCACCGTCTGTCCAATACGGTTTCGGACGAGACGCCTGATATCCAAGGCTTCGCAATGCAGATTCTGATGACACTCAATGCGATAACCGCGGAACTTGACGCTCAGCAACTTATTGACTTCCCACAGTTGTTCTGGTCAGTTGTGGCATGTTTGTCAACTGTTCACGAACAAGAGTTCCTTGAAGTCTTGTCAACGCTTTCCAAATTTGTATCCAAGATTGACCTGGACTCTGAGGAAACGGTAAGATGTCTCATATCCACCTTCCCCAGTAAGTGGGAGGGTCGTTTCGATGGATTGCAATCTGTGATATTGACTGGTTTGAGGTCTTCCAATGTATGGGATCCTTCTCTTAAACTGCTCGATAGGCTCAATAGACTGCAACACAGTGAAATTGTTGGGTCTGGAGACCAAAGATTGCTGATTGCTTTATTAGCAAATATGCCTCGATTTTTGCATGCTCAAGCCACCAAAAGGTTCACTGATGACGTTGTGGAAGGTGCTACCATTCTGAGTGAAATGGCGGCAAGAGAGAACGCTCCAGGTCTTTCCAAAATCATCGATTCGTTCGTGAAGAAGAAGTTCAGGACTAAGGATGATTTTTTAAGCCAGGTGGTTACAGATATTAAGCGAAACTTCTTCCCAGCGTATGGTGCTCAGATCCTTGTTTTTCTTCTGGGATTGCTTTCCAACAGCATTGGTTGGATCAAACTGGAGACCATGGATCTGCTGAAATACATATTCCCGGCAGTCAATCTCCAAGGAGATGAGTTTGTGGGTGTTGGGGCAGATCTGATTTCCCCGTTACTTAGATTGTTGCTTACGGAGTATGCTGAGCAGGCTCTTGAAGTTCTAGACGAAACTGTCATCATTCCGGGCTCGCAATTGGACAAGGATGTTTTGAGAATGTCTCTTGGAAATAGAGCGATGAGGAAGGAGTACGAAAAGACCGCTACTCTTTTTGGTATTCCAGACGACAGTGGATGGGCGATTCCAATGCCGGCTGTCACAGCAGCTACCGCCCGAAACAATGTCCACGCAGTGTTTTCAACATGTGTAATTGCTCCTGATGAGGAGAACATGGCTGGTGAAGAATTGCCCATGACTGAAGAAGAACAGATTCAATTCCACTTGGATGAGTATCCATACCAGCAGGACCCCAACTTCATGGAAGCTACAGATGCAGCATCGACAGATGAACGTGATCCATCTCTGAGCCATATGCTGGCCACTTTGGACAATTTGGATTCGTTCTTCACCAAGGATGACCTTCCAAAAGCGAAACCAGCGAAATACCAGTCATCCGCTCGTTCCCATCAGTACAATGATTCCCTTGACACGAGGTACAGTGATGTCATCAACAGCCCAATCATTCCCTTTGAATCTGCTCCTCAGGTGTATGATGCCAAGGTCACTGCCATTCTCAATCGCTCTCTGAACCGCACGGCGTCGAACACATCCTACAAAGCTTCGATGGCTGATTCCTTTGGCAACAATCAGGCGGTTGAGCCTGTGAGTAGCCCTGCCCCAGCCACTCCTACGGAAAGACACGTTGCTCAACAGAGATCTTCTTACATGTCTTTCAAGAGCAGTCGCAATAACGTGCGCAGATCGCTTTTGGATCACTCAGGAGTAAACGGATCAAACGACGATCATTCCAAGTCCAAATCTCCCAAAAATTCACCCCAGTTTTCATCTCCGGTTCTTTCTGCATCGGATGGAGCCATTTCTGGATCCAGCAACGGTACATCTGAACAGTCTGAGGGACTTTTTAGATTTGACGGTCTGCTACGTACCTCCAACAAAATGAAGAAACGGCCTGTGAAGGGAAATGGGCTCGTAATGGGAGCTCGTGGTGCAGATGTTGAGTCTCAGATAATATCTAGACCTTCTTCGGCAATTACCGTCCAGTCCAATGGAGACAGGGTTAACAGTGCAGGAACAGCTCTGGCCAACTCGGCTAGTTCAGGCACCCCAATCCACTCGCGTGCCAGAGAAAGAGCCTCTATGTTCGCAAGAAATAACAAGAGAAACTCAGCAAAGACAATCGGACCCAAGTTCGAATCTGAAAAATAGCAAAAGGACAATTTAAATAGTTTGTATATTAAGTGATTATGATCACGTGATCGTATTTGTGATTATGTCAGCATGTAACTGAGTCGAGCCGCAAGCAGAAGACGAAAGAATAGCTCTGACTTTTCAACCGCATCTGTAATCTCATTCATTATACATCGGGATTTCATATTTGTCGACTTGAAAAATGTCTGTCAAACCTTTCAACCATCCTGTTTTTGCTGCACTTGAAAAGAAGAGGTTTATCCTTGCGTCTACGTCTCCAAGAAGAGCAGAGATTCTGCAAAGTCTTGGGATCAAGGACATCGAGATCATAGCCTCTTCGTTCGAAGAGAACTTAGATAAGTCCATTCGCACACCAGAGGAGGTAAGTGAAGAATTGAATATTTTAGCACGGCGCTTTCCAAAAAAAAATCAAAGCTTAATCGCGTTACTAATTTGTGAAGTACGTCTTAGACACCGCCCGTGGCAAGGCATTGGCAGTATGGAGTCTGCTAAAACAGCAGGGTACAACTCAAGACCTGGTTTTGTTGGCTGCAGACACCATTGTCGAGAATGAAGGAATCATATATGAAAAGCCTAAAATTGTTGAGGAGAACGCAAGAGTCATCAAGAAGATGAGGGACTCAGATGATGATGTCAAGGTGTTGACTGGAGTGGTTATGATGGTGTATTCTTCCTCGAATGCCGACGGCTACGAAATCGGCACTTTCGTGGATACCTCCGTCATCAAGATGGAAAAAGGCCGCACTGACGAGTTTGTGGACATGTACGCGGCTACTGGTGAAGGTCTCAACGTTGCAGGTGGTTTCAAAATCCAAGGATTTGGAGCTTTGATGATGGCCTCCGTAGATGGTGACTACTGGAACATCGTGGGACTTCCGTTTCAAAAAACGTTCAAACTAATATGTCAGATGTTAGACGCAAATTTATAGAGATGATAAATCATAGTCAATGCCCTTTGACTTCAACTGTTGCTGCTTCTTCTGCTTGTTCAGCTCGCTTGTCTTCTCCAGCTCGGTCCACTTCTCCAGCGTCTTTGGGGCATCGTTCTTTCTGCGTGCGATCTTGGCCCATGGAACAACCTTGAACTTCGTGTTTGCACCATTGAAAATGTCTTCGTGAAGGTTTTCCTTTGGAACCAGAGAACACTTCAAAATGTGGCCGAATATCAGGTAGTTGTTCATGGTCTCTGCGGCGATCTTGGCAACCTCGTAGAGCGCAAACTCTATGAAACCGTAGTGCTTAGACTTTCCAGTCTTTTTGTTTCTGGAGAGTCTCAGTCTGGTGATTTCTCCGAATTGCTGGAAGTATTTCTTCATCTCCTCTTCGTAAAAACCGTGTGGAATGCGGCCCACATATATTATGCCTCTCTTGGTCTTAGTCTTTTCCTGGGATTTCTGTAGCTTCTGCTTTGGCTTTATCACTGTATGTGCAGATGATGGCTGGGGCTCTGAGATGGTCTCGGCTGGGATCTCTGCTATCTCTTCGTCATCAGCAGAATCAGAGAAGCCTCCAAAGTCCTCGTCCTCAGAAGAACTGGGCAGCTCAAACTCCTCCTCAGCCTTCTCCTCGACAATTTCTTTGGCGGCAACGATCTTCTTGGATGGTGCCCTCCTGGTACCAGCAGCCTTCTTAGGTGCGATTCTTTGCTTAGATTTGACACCCATGTTTGACTGTAATAATATATGATTCGAAGTAGAAGAGTTCTCCAGGCAACTTTTGAAATTTTTCAGAATTTTTTAGAAGCTCATCTCGTCGTGTGGGAGAGAATTTTGATAAGCCGCACGCAACAGTGTGCATATACTATGCAGTCGTTAATAATACATTAGGATCTGTTTATCATGCCCGTTTACTAATTGAAACTTATTAATTCCTAGGTCAAAACTCTCAAAACTCCTTTGATATCTCCTGGTTCAAGCTCTTTACATGGTCCCGCAGTTGGACTGTAAACTTAGTGAACGACTCCATCAATTTCGACTCTTCCTCCCCGGTCTCGTCCTGCTCCACATCCTGCAACGGCATGTTATTCAACGCGTTCATTGTGGTTTGTTGCAAGATCTCGGGAATAGAATCATCAAGAGTAGAGGAAGCCGATAGGTGGAGAGAGGCCTTTTGCTGCAACATGTGTTTTTCCAGCCGGATTTGTTCGATCTGGGACAATTTGGTCTTCTTGGGTATAGGCACGGCAGAATTGATTGTACCAACCCATTCCTTCACAGCCCAATCCGCATCATCTCGCCTCTTATATCTGAAACCAGTTCCCAATAAGGGCTCTCTCTGGGCCGACATCAAAAATCTCGACCTCGCCTTGCGATCGCCCGCATACTCTTGGTCGTCGTTGTAGAGAGCCTTCAGCTTGGAGGTCACTTCCTCAGTGGGTATGTTGGCTGGCACAATAGAAGTTTCCGTCACTCTAACCGCAACTCCATTGAGCATGTCCAGTTTCAAATTGGAAAGCTCTCCCTGTGCAAACATCCTCAGAAGCAGCTGCTCAACCTGAGGTGTACTAATATCAAGGTCACAAGATAGTCTTTCCAGACTCAACCTTGAGTATGCCTTCAGCAGTTTGTGAACGTATCTTCTATTCATATTTTCCCGAACCAGCGGGAAATAGGTGAGACAGAAATCGTCAAATTCTATTATACGAAGCATTTCTGGGTCATTCATAAGTCTCCGAAACAAGAATATATCTAGCTCCAGAATCGCGTGATATATCTTTAGGAGACTGACGATATCCCCCGATTTGAGAAATGATTGGAACTCCACCGCTTCAAAAGGATTGATCTCAGATCCACTCAGAATAGTAGATATGAGAAGTTTTGGCAATATTGTCAACCTGCGATGGTCGCCGGCTTCGTCGAAGCATTTGAAACTGTCGTAGAAACACTCGTTGGCTTTGGGGAAAGCATGAGATCTCATGGCCAGCAGTCCTCCGCATTCCTTTACAACGCCTTGGATTCGAGGATGAAGCACATCAACATTGGTGTTGGAGAATTTGTTGTGTAATTTTCGTAGTCTGGCGTAGTCCCCGGATCCGTTTTCCACCAATAGCTTGATCTCCGAGGCAATGATCTCGAGGTAGTTCTTATTACTGGCGTTGTATGCATTTTCAAGCTCCAATAAAATAGCAAGGGCTTCTTCTGTTCTGTTCATTTCTGCCAGTACTCCAGCCTTCTTCAATTTGGTGGTAGTTGCGAGGACATCGTTGAGACCAACCTCGAGTATCCTATCATACAGTCCACCCAGGAAACTCAATTGTTCCGAACTGTGGGTCAGAGGCTTGTCATACCGAGCCAAAATCCTCTTGAGTGAATCCTCGGCATAAGCACTGGGCACAGAGTCCAGTTTGTGCACCAATTGGTCTAATAGCTCAATTACCTGTTCGTAGCGTCCTAGTTCGTATTGTATCTTCATCGATTGCTTCAACGATTTGACCACAATCAAGGCAGGTGCATCACCATCCAGAATTTGCTTAAAAGATTCAAGTGCTTGGCCAAGATCGTCATCTTTCAGTGCCTTTGAGCTGTAATAAAGGTTTTCAAAATCCACCACATCGCCAAGTTGGTCCTGATCCAAGCGGTCGCCCATCATATCGTCATCTCCCTCATCCTCCTCAAACGAGAACTCAAACTCCTCCTCTCCGTCTGAGTTTCCACTCATGAAATCATCATCGTCGTAGTCGGACATGACGCTTTCGGTCTGGTCCCGTACCTAGTGAAGCTTAAGGAGAGTGGAGCACTGTCAAACTTGGCTTTGGAGACGATATTCATCACGTGACTAAAAGCATGTCTGTCGTGCGGCCACTGTTGATACGTGCACTGCAGAGCAATTTCAGCATCAGTGGTACATTAATCTACAATATGACTTTATACATTATTTCTAGTCCTTCTTCCCCGAATTCTGAGCATCGATTCTTGCCAGGGCAGATTGAAGCAGCGAGTATCTTTTGGTAGTAGAGGGCCCTTCGGCGTCCTCATCTTTGCCCTTCGGAACCAGAGTTCCAGCAGTTAGGTTCAGTCTGTAAGCAGACTTGGCGACAAACTCTCCATTTTCGTTGAAAATTAACTCAGATCCGTTTAAATTGGTCCATTCACCTTGGTACGCCGTGTGGTTGATTTTCAGGAGCGGGTTTTCGGTTTCCAGCCCGGAAATCCTGAGAGTGGAATTTGGGTCTACAGACGAAGGCAGCATGCTTTCCAGGCCTTCCAGAAACACGGACCCGGCCTTCTCAGATGAACCCTTCGACTGGGATCCTCCAGTTTGGGGATTTGCTATGCTTGACTCAAACGTGGTCTTCTCCACTTTGCCCGCTACTCGAGGTAGCGCAAGCGTCACATAGACAGACTATATATGGAAGTCCATATTAGTACGTACGTTATGCAACGAAAAAAGGGTTATCCTAACAAGCACTCACCTCAAGCTCCTCCTCACTCTCCAGGAAGTCTCCGGCTTTGTCATCGACGTCAACGGATTCGGATTTTGCGGCAGCTGCAGCCGCAGCCAGTCTGGCCCTCTCGGCTATATCTTCGTCTGAACCTGCTTCATAAGTGTCGGCTAAAATAGGCAAAAGGTTAGTGGTCACGCCAAAAGCATAAATCTCAACTAGAGACCTCAAAAGTTTCAAAAATAACTCACAGAAATGCCAGTTCATCTCCTCACCCTTCTCCAAAAAGCTCGTTTCTCCGTTGAATCCAAGGCTCCAGGAATCACCATTTCTGGAGTACGAGTCTAAGGAACATGTTCCTGCCCTCAAGACGACGGTCTTTCCATCTCCACCGTGCTCTTTGCGCAGAAGCTCACGCACGCCTGTGTATTTCAAGATCGCCATTCCAAGAGCGATCTTAGTGGCAGCATGTGTCACAAACATCACAGTTTTAACTTGTGGGTATGCAGCTTCAAACTTGGACAAAAACTTTGGGAAGAATTCCTGGCAGCGCGCAAAGATGTCGGATTCGTCCTCGCCTTCTAGAGAAGGAACCACAGTCTTTGGGTCCCAATCGGCAGAAACACGTCCGAAAAACGTCTTGAGCAGCTCTAATGATGCTGGCTCGGGGATCACACCCCTGTCCTTTTTATACCATTCTCCAATTCCTCGTTCAACGAAAATGGGCACATCTATCGCGTTAGCCAGAGGGGTAGAAGTCTCCACGCATCTATAAAACGGACTCGAAAAAATCAGCTCTGGCTTTGGGTCCACTAGGGGCGAATTCACAATAAAATTTGCCAGCTCTTTGGCTTGCTCAACTCCATATGGTGCCAATGGAGGATCGCTGTCTATCCCAGTAGGGTTTGGTGCATGTGGTGGGGGCAGCCAATTGGCCCTGTAGCCATGCTAGAATTCGGAGTTAGTCAATGTATACGGTCGCACGGGTATTTCGAGCAAAAACACCTACTCTTGCAACATATATCTTTTCCAATACCATGATGTTTGGAAAAAAACGTTGTTTAGAAGAAGGAAAGAAAAAGAGTCGGCTAGAGCAGCCTATGTAAATTGTACACTATCAACATATATTTGGTATGTGCACGGCCTTATAATCGGCCCGGTATTCGGAGACTTTAACCCTGTATCGGGATTAATATCTTGATCTAAACGAGTTTATGAGAATTTTTTCAAGACAATGGCATATCACGTTAATTAATTGTTGTCCTTGTTACGTCATTTGATCAGCGTTGTATCACGGGTTTACGCTAGCAACTCCTTCACAGCCTTAGCCACAGCATCACCAACCTCAGTGGTGGAAGACTTTCCGCCGAGATCACCGGTCATAACTCCCGCATCAAGTACCCTGGAAACGGCAGCTTCGACGGCATTACCCTCCTCTACCAGATTCAACGAAAGCTTGAGCATCATGGCAGCAGACAGAATAGTAGCGATTGGGTTGACCAGGCCCTTGTCCAGATCTGGCGCAGAGCCGTGGCATGGCTCGTAAAGACCAAAAGCAGTGTTTTTGTCAGGCAAAGAAGCCAACGAAGCAGATGGCAATAGGCCCAGAGATCCGGGAATTACGGAGGCCTCATCGGAAATAATGTCACCAAACATGTTGGAGGTGAGCATGACTCCGTTCAGTTTGGTTGGAGACTTGACCAAGATCATGGCAGCAGAGTCAATAAGCTGGTGTTGCAGAGTCAGTTGAGGAAACTCTTCTTTGATGGTTTTCTCAACAGTCTTTCTCCAGAGTCTGGAGGAAGCTAGAACGTTGGCCTTGTCCAAAGACCAGACTGGGAGCGGAGGATTGCTCTGAAGAGCCAAGAAAGCAGCCATTCTGGTGATTCTTTGGACCTCTGGAACAGAGTACGCCTCGGTATCACTGGCGAACCCAGAACCATCGTCTTCCTTTCTCTCGCCAAAGTAGATACCACCCACCAATTCACGTACCACAGTGAAGTCGGTGCCCTTGACAATTTCTGGCTTCAAAGGGGAAAGTTTCAACAAGGCATCAGAAGCAAAGTTGCAGGGTCTGAGGTTGGCGTAGAGGTTCAATTCTTTGCGGATCTTGAGCAGTCCCTGTTCTGGTCTAACGTCACCGGTTCCCCATTTGGGGCCTCCAACGGCTCCAAGAAGAATGGCATCTGCAGTCTTAGCAGCTGCCAAAGCTTCGTCTGGCAATGGAACTCCGGTGGCATCAATGGCGGCTCCTCCGATCAAGTGGTTTTGGAACTCGAACTCGACAGATGGGCGGGCTTCCGAAATAGCTTTGAGAACCTTGACAGCCTCGTCGACAACCTCGGGGCCGACGTGATCTCCTGCGAGTAGAACGATTTTTTTAGCAACCATTGTATGTAGATATTGATTGGGTGCTATGACTGACGAGGAAGAAAGAGAGGCTTGAGTGAAAAATGGGCTCTGAATCATCGCGATGACGGGCCGGCGCCGGCTTCCTCTCCACAAAATGTGTGCAGCACGATAGGGTGGAACACGACCACCTTGCAGAAATCTCAGACGATTGACTTTACTTGGACTTACTCAATATTGTACCAAAGATGCATTGAAGAGTTTATAGAGGTAGCTTGGGAAATTCTGTATTTTCGCAAGCCTTTACACCTGCTCAGCAATGAAGGTGTCGATGTCAACCTCCTCCAATGGAGCATTACCAGCCGTAGAGATCTTGCGCTTATTGCTCTCTTCTCTCAGTTCCAGTCTCTTGAACTTGCTGAGAGCATTCCAGCCCTGAGCAGGCGAAGTCAGCTGAAATGGCTTCATGAAGCCGATCACTGGCTTGAAAGCTTCGCCCATGGTTGCAACCTCGTGAATGATGTCCTCCACACACACTATTCCAAACTCGCCCAACTGCTCTTCAACGACGGCATTGTCGTTCAGATTCACCTCACGACCATCCAACTCAATGGTGGCCCTTTTTTGGATCAGGTTTCTGATGGTAGCCAGCGAGGGCTTACCCAAGACAGTGTATGGCGAAATGATTCTCAGCAATGGTCTCACCAATTTGGTGGATTTTATGAAAACACCGGTGTTGATATGGTCTAGTCTCAACAGCGATAATATTTTCTTAGCTTTTGCTGGAACTTTGGCTCCGTGGGGGCCGCGAATTCTGACAATGAACTGCAATTCTGCCTTTTCTTCATCATCCTCAATCGATTTTGGCGCATTCAACAGTGTCTCCTTTTCATTCTTGATAACACGCTTCACACGGTAGTCTTCTCTCTCACTCGCCCTGTGTTTTGCCACCAAAGTTTCAGCCCTCACAAACTTCTTCGCACGTAGCTTGCGACGGCTCTCTTTGTCTTGCTCCTTCTTCCTGGCAGCCTCCTGCTTTTCGATCCGCAAACGGTCGGCATTCTTGCGCTTTCTCAGTAGGATCTCTGGATTGCTGTTCAAGGGCTCTGTTACTGAACTCATGTTGTGTTTGTAGGGTACGGCTTGCGTAGTGAGGATCAGGTCAGAAGAAGGCAGTAAATTTTATTTGAATTTTCTAATTTTTTTAGGCTCATCGCAGCCGGGTAACCCGCAAGTGTGCGGCGGAGGTCGCTGTGAGAACGCAAGCAAGCCAGAGATTTATAAAGGATTAAGAGGCTTTCCCCAAACTGATCAAAATCCCCTAAGCATACCCGATAAAATCCCTGTTACATATTTTTGTTTTAATCGGAGGAGCTATAAACCACCGATCTTCGTGTCATGACTTCATAAACTTGTAGGCACACGACATGGGCCTCCTAATCAATTATTCAACGGTCCGCATACTAATCGACTTTAAGCAGGACTGGAATATTATTTTACACTTATCTAATGGCCAAATAACTCAAATTCATATACAGGAATACCATATCAATCGCAGCAACACGTGGAGTTCAGCTATATACTACCTTAATGACCGGACCACTCAATGGTGTTGAGGTCAATGCCCTCCTGGACCATCTCCCAAAGAGGAGACAGTTCTCTCAAGAAACCCACTCTCTCAGTCATAGCCTTGATCACATAATCAATCTCCTCCTCGGTGGTGAATCTACCGATGCCGAATCTGATGGAAGAATGGGCAAGGGCATCATCAGCACCCAAGGCATGCAACACGTAACTTGGCTCCAGAGAGGCAGAAGTACACGCAGAGCCAGAAGACAAAGCCACGTCCTTCAGTGCCATCAAAAGAGACTCTCCCTCAACATATGCAAACGACACATTGACACATCCGGGGTATCTGTGAGTAGCTGATCCATTCAGCTGGGTGTGTTCGATAGACAGCAATCCATTCATAAGTCTGTCTGAAAGTTTGGTAATGTGTGCAATATCCGCGTCTTTCTCCTGGGTCATGAGTCTAGCAGCCTCGCCAAATCCAGACACCAGAGGCGCAGCCAATGTTCCGGACCTCAAACCTCTCTCCTGGCCACCTCCGGTGATCAAAGGCTCCAATCTGACACGGGGTCTTCTGCGAACATATAAGGCACCAATTCCCATTGGTCCGTATATCTTGTGGGCAGAGATAGACATCAAGTCGATGTTGTATTTGTTCACGTCCAGAGGAATCTTGCCGAATCCCTGTGCGGCGTCGGTGTGAAAGAACACCTTGTGCTTCCTGCAAAGCTTTCCAATCTCTTCAAGGGGCTGAATCACACCAATCTCGTTATTCACAGACATGATAGACACAATGGAAGTGTCTGGCCTGATGGCTTGTTCAAGCTGTTCCAAATCAATAAGTCCATCCTCTCCCACAGGCAGATACGTCACCTCAAACCCTTCGTCCTGTAGATGTCTGGCTGAGTCCAAAACACACTTGTGTTCTGTCTGCGAGGTAATGATGTGCTTCTTTGTTTTTGCGTAGAATCTTGCCACACCCTTCAAAGCTAAATTATTACACTCTGTAGCTCCGGAAGTGAAGATTATTTCCTTGGGATCGGCTCCAATTACTCTCGCAATGTGTTCTCTGGCTTTCTCCACCTCCGTCTCAGTTTCCCAACCATACGAATGCGTGGACGAGTGAGGGTTTCCGTACAGTCCCGTGTAAAATTGCATCATTTTGTCCAGAACTCTTGGATCCACCGGTGTGGTAGCCTGCAGATCCAGATATATGGGCCTTGTGCCATACAATGACGAGTCCCTTCCTGCATCCTTCAACGAAATTGGTGACCCACTGGGTGGTTCCAGCGTGGAAGCACTGTTTACCGAGGTGGCGGCCGTTTTCAAGCCTGGAAAGCTGGATAGACTACGAGCAGCCACTGTGGGCGCTCTCTTCATAAAAAGACTGGTAACGAGCAATCTCTGCATTATCAATGAATCAGGATTCCAACAAGTACCAAACAGCAAAATATCAGAATGAAATCCGGTTTGATCCAGGAAAACAGAAGAAAATTAAGTGAGGAAGGATGACAAGGCCTAGAGATGGAAGCCAGGCAAATTGAATTGTAAGCAAGGGTTACCCGGCCACGCCCGAAAGTCGTGTCCACTATGACTACTTCAGGAAATCTCGGCCGATAAGCTTCTCGAAACCCACAAGTTGGCGAGTTAATTGGCGAGACCTTGTTTTGTGGTAAAAAATGGACCAGCAGACGTTTTTCATCTCTCTGGTGGTGAGTGTGGTGTGGTCAATTGCGTGAAAATCCCGAGGAACTAACGATTTTTCAGAGTGGAGGAGCTGCCGGCACAGCGACCGATCTGGCCTTCTTCCCGATAGACACAATGAAGACCAGATTGCAGGCAAAAGGAGGTTTTTTCCGCAATGGAGGATGGAGCGGTATATATAGAGGACTTGGCTCAGCTGTTATTGCATCAGCACCTTCGGCATCGTTGTTCTTCGTGACCTATGATACGTCCAAAAAGTACCTTCGCCAGACGTTAGGCAGGCACATCAAGAGCGAGAACACGGTGCTGAACTTGAGTCACATGCTAGGAGCTTCAATGGGAGAAATCGCGGCTTGTATGGTGAGGGTTCCTGCTGAAGTGATCAAACAGAGGACACAGACTTCGCGATTCAACAGCTCATTGGACTCTCTCAGGTTCATCCTCAGGAACGAGACTGGAGAAGGTGTTCTGAGAGGGCTTTATCGTGGCTGGTCAACCACGATCATTCGCGAGATCCCCTTTACGATGATTCAGTTCCCTTTGTACGAATACTTGAAAGCTAAGGTTGCCAAGCTGGAGAATAAAGAAAAGGCTTCTCCTTTGCAGGGTGCTCTGTGTGGATCTGTGGCCGGTGGCTTTGCGGCTGCCTCGACTACACCTCTGGATGTGATTAAGACGCGAATCATGCTCAGTGAATCTAAGGTGAGAGTCTCGCAGTTGGTCAAGACCATGGTGGCAGAAGAGGGCACCAAGGTGTTCTGGTCTGGTGTTGGTCCAAGGACAATGTGGATCAGTGCTGGAGGGGCTATCTTTTTAGGTGTTTACGAGACTGTGAGCAGTTTCATGCTTTCGGCTAAGCCCAAAAAGTTTGAATGAAGTCATGATATGTAATGATTAAAATGGAAGATTTGTCAGAATAAAGGACGTAGGAAGAATCCAGTCTTTGACATGGACCTCCATTCGGGTTTTCTGTGAAAATTGTACTGATCATTGGGAGCCCACTAGTCTTCCTCTTCATCGCCAAATCCAAAACTAAATCCCGTCGAAGCACCTTCAACGAGACTATCCCAAACCTCGTTTCTCTTCACCTCTTTTGGCTCGTTTTTCCTGGATTCCTTCTCTAAAACTGCCAGTTCCAATTGGGCTTTGGTGAGAGCCGCTTCCAACCCGTTGGCTATGAGAAGTTCTTCAAACAACTCCAGCACGGGTAAAGAGAAATCAGTCAGAACTCCGCAATCCTCGTTATTGTCACTGGTCTTCGATTCCAAGAAGTTTTCAAAAGTTCTGCGTTTGTTCTCGGCAATTTCTCTCGTATCCAGCAGATGTCTCACACTCTTACGAACGTCTGCTCCGTGAAAGCCTGACACCTGTTGCGGTTTGTTCTTCAAAAAATTCAACGCATGTGCCAACTTTGGGGTCGGCACAAAGTTCTGTGTGAGTGCCACACTGTCGTCCAGATTTATCACGCTGTGCCACCATCCTGCAGGAACGTACATGCATTCCCCCGGAAAGGTAATTCCGATCTGGCACAGACCCTTCTCGCATAGCTTTACACAGTCGTTGAAAAAACCACCGACGACCCATTCTGCTAGTCCAATGGGTGAAGTCACTTCATTCTCTTCTCTATCTGTGGAAACACCTGGAGGGACCACATCGTGCGGAAGCATGTGCCAGAGTTTGCGGCCTGTAAGTGCGGCGTTCCATGCACTCGTATGGTTTGGATCTTTGTGGAAGGTGGAGCCGGAACCAGCAGGTCCAATAATGATCCACGCATAATCTGGTCTGCACTCAATGCCCTGTTTGTTGAATACCTCAAAGAGATCGTCCTGAGAGAACCTGGGTACGGCGTACTCCTTACGTAGCACCTTCATAGCTTCACTCGAACAATCAAAAAGATAGAGCGGAGACTCATCTGCATTTTTCCGACAATATTGAGCATACACTGCCAAAGGCCATTTGGCAGATTCTTGGCGGAATTTCACATCTGGAAACCGATTTTTCAGGTAATCAAGATCCCAGTTGGGCCAGTCAAAGGATGGACAGATGAACGGAGTATCGTGGAATTCTGCGGCAAAAAGCGTCGGGCTCATATCTTTAACTCGTGTTATCCTTCCCTTCTGTATGCTCACATGTTCATCGGTCAGTCTGAAAAGTTCCCGGTCCTGTGTCTGTTCGGCTATCAGACTTTGAAAAATCTCCGCATAGCTCACCTGGGAACATTGAAATGGCCTATACAACACATCTGAACAAACTAAATTTTGGCCACAGAGTATGGTCACTTCTTCTTCGGCGTCGATACCCAAAATCGTCTTTCTCCAGCTCCCTTTCCACTCTTGAAGCTCCCATGGATTCCGCGAATACATGTTTCTCCAGAGCTCCTCCGTGTAAGTGTAGGCATATAGGATTCTGGAGGCGTGGCCTAACCGCATAAGATCCAGCGGATCTTCCACCATCCCCAGAATATTCATTATGATTTCATCTGGCAAGAGATGCCACAATCCCATCAGTTCAATCCTCTTTTTCTGGATGCTGGGGTCCAGAGAAGCCGCCAGACTGTTACCCAATGGTCTCACTCCCAGCGGGTGTGAGTACATCGTGAACCGTGAAGTGGTCACAGCTGATGCCTTCCCCACTTTCCTTCTCTTTACCTGAGTCATATATGTGTTGTGTTGCTGAGAAGCAGTGGATACTACTCAGCACCTGTTCATGCCACAAAAAAATTCTTAGATCGTACGTTAGTAGTGTGAGTATTGATTTGTTGTGCGGCTTAAATATGTATAGCGTTGAGTAGAAAATAACTAGATAAGTTATGGAAATCCGTATGAGGCCTAAAAGTTTTTGGGCTGTCCACTAAAGTACTATGAGGTGTAGCATTTTCAGTTCTGCAGGCCAAGTAGCTTTGGTGGAAGTCCATGACAAGGTTTGGTGTTTTCAAAGTGCAGGCCAACTCTGAGACCTATTTGTGAATGCGCCTGGTAAATTGTCGGAATAGCAGAACAACATGATCGGGACAGCAGCCTTTGTTGTTTTTGTTCAGCATGCGATGCGAGGTCTAATCGTAGTCATGCAAGCCGGCGCCTGCTTTGCATGAAAAACTGGAGAAGTACAGATAAGTGGGCTGACAAGCGCAAGTGGACTAGCAGGTGGACTAGCAGGTGGGCTAGCAGGTGGGCTAGCAGGTGGGCTAAAATGTTCAGGAAGGTATTGGTACAAACAACTGGGCTAAAAATCATTCCAATGCAGCATTTACTCTCCAAATGAATTATCGGTACCGGCCTTCTCATTGGGCGTCCTTGGCCTTCTGCTTGGTCTTCTTTCCCTTCTTCTTTTTCTTAGGCTTTTCCTGGTGTTCAAGTCTCTCGATCTGTTGGTATTGGAACAAGGGTTTTCTAAAAGCTTTTTGCTTGGTGAAAGTAGACACGAGATTGGCGTACTTCTCCTTCATTTCGGCGTCCATCTTTGGGGTATGTGGGCTTCCCACTGCCTTTTCACGCTCATGTAACATCGTGACATCATGGGTGAGATAAAACTCCTTGAAAATTCCTTCATCATCAAGCAATTGCAAGACCTGGGCATCGCTTAGGTTCTCAATCTCGTCGATCATCGCATCCACGTTGACCTTAGTTACGTCTCCTTCCCTTGTGAGCAACTCGTCTTTCTTGTCTTCCAATAAAGACAGCAATTTCGCCTCACGGATCCAAAGACGAAGATGCTTCACATAGAAATGGCCGTCATAATAGGGGTAATCAACAGCCTTTTTAGAATACTCAATCTCCATCGTTCCCTTGACATCGCGAGGAATAAGCATTGGTACTCCCTCATAAAGAGAGTATCTCAGAGGAGAAATCTCACTGATGTGGTAGAACTGGGGCTCACGACAATTGTAGATCTCTTTTGCGTCAAGGGCTTTGATGGATGTCTTCGACTCCTTTCCCAAAAGAGGTAAATATCTTTTTGGCTTAGGCTCTTTGGTTTTGGCCAATCCGGTGATGTCAATGTAAAGACCGGTATCCACGTCAATGAATCTAGCGTCGATATTGTTCATCTTGTTGCCAGCTTCTCTGATTGGAACAAAGGTGTTGACATCAATAAAGAATCTTCCGAATCCCTCGTTCAGATCCTCCACCACAAGCGTCTGGTTATAGTTCTTTGCAAATCTAATGAGCTCCTGGACAGGCATCTGCACATCCTGGTCGATGTCATAGGGGAAAGACATTCCACCCCAGTACCATGCAAGCAAGCCTCCGTGGGTCAACCAGGAAACAATTCCACGCTGATATTGGAAACGGAACCAGTTCCTGACCAGTCTATGGAGCACGATCTTCTCTCGTTCTCTCATTTCTTCCAAGGTGAATCCCTCTTTTGCGTACTTGAGTCTTCCGTCGAAAAACCTCCATTCGTAGTGCCAGCCAGTGTCATCTGGGTTCTCCTTCGTCTTATGAGTGAGCCTGGCCAAATGGAAGTAGCGAGGCATGGTCTGTGCGTTGAACTTCTTGGAATGCAGGAGAGCCTCGTAGTAGCTATATTCGTGAACTGAGAGAGAGAGCTCTTTGAACTTGGAGTTTTCCACATATCCCTGCGAACTCAACTTCCTAATGTCAGACATACGTCCTTGGTACACCTCCACCTCGTTGTCAAAATCCTTTTGGGAGACGTGGAAAGTCTTGGGGTCCAGACTGAATTCGTAGCCGTTGTTCTGGAGCATGTGGTCGAAGTCCACACCATCAGTGTTCAACCGGGGCGGTCTTGGGTAAACGCTGTCCAACAATTTTTGAAACTCCTTTGCTGGATCCAGAGTTATCTCTGTGTCTTCAGTCACCTTGATTTTGTTGTCTGACGCATATTTGATCAGAAAAGACGTCAAAGCCTCTCTCCTTCTTTGGGCGTTGACATTGACTTCATATGAGCCGTTTGGAGCGAGGAATATCACATTGAACGGTCTTGGAGAGAATGTCAGCAAGTGGCTCTTTCCCATGATCAATCTGGCTTCCTCGGTAAAGGGCTCGTCCATTCCGTCTATTACAGTAAGTCCAGGGAGCTCTTCCAAAGTCGAAACACCGATACGCTTGAGACTGGTCAGTGGTATGTCTTTCGAATCGACACAGTAATCGGTTCTCGATACACGGCCATTCCATGCCTGGGAGTTGAGCCACTCACAGGTTGGTTTTTGGGCTTCTGGGAGCGCTATGTAGCGATTGAGATAAGTGAGGTCGACCCAGTCGCTCCAGGTAAAAGGAACAGAAATGGCTACCTTCTCTGATTTAGGAACATTTGTAGGGTTCTTCTTCTCGAACTCAGTCCGGATATAATGAAGATAGAGGGCCAGTGTAACCCTAATGTCGAACTTCAACGGCTTAGGCGAGGAAACCTCGTCTACTCTGGTGGCCGCTCTCTTGAGAAGAGCTGGTTTTCCATCAACTGCGACTTCCAGTTTTTTATCTTCAGCTGGCTTTGTGTCCTCGGACTGCTTGGAGTCCCCTCCCATGCCAAGGTGATCAAGCTTTGGGGGCGTCTTGCCTTTTGGAATAGCAGGCTTACCTTTGCCGTTCTTCTTATCGCGAAACTCAACGTAATCGCCAAATTTGACCTTCACCTCCGTCTGCTTCACGTCTGTATCTAACAGCCAGTTCTGGCCCTTGGTAAAATCCACAGTTTGCAATTTCTTTACCAATTCTTTTTCAAGAGAGGTCTTGATCAACGTGATCTGTCCAGCCTCACCATACTTGACGGAGGCATTTTCGCCTGTGATTAGTGAAATGAGCGGCTTTGCAATATGCTTTTGTGCTCCCAAGACAACGTCCTCAATCTCCGTGCCAGAGTACTGAAACATCAAAAATATCACAAACGAAACGTTGCAGATGACTGAGGCATACAGGATGAGACGCGTATGTTTGGCCCCAATGGATGCCATCCATTGCGCAATTCCACCTGAAAGCAGCTTCATGTTTCAGTCAAAGCTCGAAGCCAGTCAAATGCAAAAAGTGCAAGAAAAAAACGAGTGCAAGTGGGTACAGGGGGGCTTGTTCAAGTCCTCAGGATGCTGCTAAACGAAACTGATACCTGAAATGCCCTGAAAAGAAAATGAACCACGTGACTCCAGTGGAATAATAAACGTCCGTATGATAGCTCTCCTCTAAGTCTCCTACTGAACAAAGAAACCAAAGGCGAAAGAACAGATCGTTGGCCAAAAACCTGAGTTGCGCTTAGTTTTAAAACTTTAGAGCAGTTGTCGATCCATGTGTCGTGTGCCAAACCAAACTGATGCGGCTGGGGAATTGAGAATGAAAAGTTGTTAGCACATGAGTTCAAAATGGTTAAATTGATTGATGAAAATGATTTAGCCATGATATTAAGGTTTTGGAATAGTGACGACAGTTTTTTGGAGGTTTTTGGTGTTTTTGGGGTGATCAAAATCAGACCAATAGGGTAGACCGTTAACTATGTAGTCAGCACCAAGTAGAACTGGAATATTGTTGTTAATTTCTACGGCGACTGATTGCGACGACTGATTATTGTTGGCGGGATAATGAATCTGTCACAGTTAGGAACCCAGAATACCTGAGTCTATTTAGCCCCTTTTTTACGAAAATCTCAAATTTTTCAAGTTTTTAGCTCATTCACTTAGAACCATTACACTTTCCTAAAACATTTATAATCATCCTAGACTATACGCTTTTAGCCATATATATACAGGTTGTTCAGAATTCTGCTCCGAGTTACCATCTCAGAGCCCCACTTATTCAACTGGGAGCGTTTTTGGGCGTCTCAACAAATACTCCTTCTTCCTCAGCTTCTCCTGCTCAGAGCTCTCCAACTTGCCTGGATAAAGCACCTTCTCATCAAGTGGATTAGCAAAATCCTCGACATATTGCTCACCCTCCTTCTTAGCAGCCTCGTCTTTCCAATATCTCCTGATCTGGCCGACACAGTGCATACATAGGGCGTGAGAGCGTTTGTAGTTTCCACAGGCAGGGCATCTGTTCAAGTGATGGAGCAGTTTGATCTGCTTGCTTCCGGGGGCATAAAGCCTCTGTCTTCTCTTCATGTGCGATGTCTTCTTTTTTGGCGCAGCCAAAAGGATCCCGTTGTCGTGGAAGAAGGAAGGTTCCACTCCATTCAATGAGACGTCTTGGGCCGGCATAGCCACTGGCAGACCGATGTGTATTGAAGGGATTCGAGCTAGCGCCTCGCCCAGCGTGCCTAGCAGCTGAGCCAGAGGGTGCCTCGCGTTTATGCTAAGAGATGCCATTTTTTGTGCCAGATTTGAGGTGCTGTGGTTGCATGTAAAGCATCTCCAGTCTTCCATCGAAATTTTGTCTAGAGAGGCCGAAGCAAAGACGGCACCAGGATCGTGGACGGAATGATGCATATGCTTTTGGTAAGGGCACGTCAACGCGTCTGAAGAATCGAAAAGATAGTGCGCTAGCTAACTTCACGAGACGCCAAATCATTCTCCCATTTCACAATAAAACACACGTCTCTTCTTCTCGATCAAACAAGACAAACGCACCACAAACGCAATTTTCAAGCGCCAAATTCAAAAATGTCTGCCACGTTCGAGCCCAGAAATTACGTTGGTTTTGACACGATTACCACCCAAATCGAAACGCGTTTGCTGAAGCGCGGCTTCCAGTTCAACGTGATGTGTGTTGGTCACTCCGGATTGGGAAAGACCACCCTTGTTAACACCCTTTTCGCCTCGCATCTGGCAGAATCTAGTGGTCGCAAGACAATTTATGACCCGATCGAAAAGACGCCGGAGATCAAGATCACCAGTCACACCCTTCTAGAAAACAACGTCAAGCTCAACCTCAACATCATCGACACTCCCGGCTTTGGAGACCAGGTCAACAACGAACGGTGCTGGGAGCCACTGGTGAAGTACATAAAGGAGCAGCATTCTCAATACTTGCGCCGGGAGCTGACAGCTCAGCGTGAGCGGTTCATCCAGGACACGAGAGTGCACTGTATCCTGTACTTCATCCAGCCAAACGGCCTGGGATTGCGCCCATTGGACGTTCAGGTGCTCAAGAGACTTACCGAGATTGCAAATGTTGTTCCGATCATTGCAAAGGCCGATTCGCTGACCATGGAGGAGCGCACAAAGTTCAAGAAGGTGCTTCAGGACGAATTCGCCTACCACCAGTTCAAGATGTTTCCCTATGACGATGAATCGCTTACTGAGGAGGAGCAACAGTTGAATGACGATATTCGCTCTCTACTGCCTTTTGCAGTTGTTGGCTCTGAGAAGGAGCTGACAGTCAACGGAGAGACGATCCGCGGCCGCAGAACCAGATGGGGAACTATCAACATCGAGGACATCACCCAGTGCGAGTTTGTGTACTTGCGCGACTTCCTGACGAGGACACATCTTCATGACCTGATTGAAACTACCTCATTGGTCCACTATGAGTCGTACAGGTCCAAGCAGCTGATTGCTTTGAAGGAGAATGCGGCCAATGGCGCCAGAGCCTCGACGGTTTCCCAGACGAATGGATATCGTTGATTGGGTTTCTAGTTTTCTCTTGCTCTTAACAACAACTATACTGTGATGAGGATGTAGACGAATTGTAGGACATGACTGGTGACAGGTGTGTTAAGGTACACAGACTTGGCCATATTACATTTGGTTTATAGCTCTGAGTCATGGTTGCAACCTAATGGACTTAACTTCTAGTCTTGAATGATAGTATTAAATCCTAGTCTATATTCATGGTCTCTGATTCTAACCTCATATCATAGGTCTCCTGGTCCGATTTTACCGTCTGACCTCACTACTGTTACATCTTGGTGAGTCTCAACGGTCCTCCGGGAAATATCTGGTAGCTGGAACTTTGTGCGCATCCCATGGAAACTGTTTCTCTGGCTCTACCTTATCATCGTTTACCTCGTACGCTTCAACCAATTCTTTGGGAGGGTTCAATTCAAGAACACCAGGAGTATAACCACTGGTCTCTTCACGATCCCACTCATTCACATGCTTGTCAAGACTCAAATTCCAGGCCTCTCCTAGCGTTTTGTCGACCGTAGTAGTTAACAGTCCCTCTGGCAACTCCGTATCCACACCCGAAGAAGCAGTAAAAACCGCGGCCGCCCGCTCACCGAAATAATGCGTATCAAACGTATCCCACCACGCCGCATAGAAAGGGCGGGAGGAGTCCGGGTACCCACACGTCTCGAACGCACGGGACTCCCATGGCTTCTGACTGCCTATAAAGTGAAAAGCCCGCACCTTGGAGGCATTTGCCAATAATGCAGGTAAATATTCATATTGGGATGAAGCCTGCTGTGTGACATTGTAGCAGAAACTGAGTCGATTCCAGTCGGGGAAAACCGTGTTGAAAAGTCCCTGATCTCCACCATCGAAAGACGAACCTTCTTTGGCTGCTTCGTTGATGAGCTCGTCATAAGTGGCTGCGTGCGGCTTCAACACCAAGACGCCAGAATTGAAATAATCTGGCCATCCCGAGTCAGGCGCCGCAAGAACATCCCCAGGCCCCAACTCTTCCTCAAACAGCAAGTCCAGCGATTGGACTGGAACCACGTCGGCGTCCAGATAAACAACCTTGCTGAAGGGCAAGTTCCAGAGATGACACTTGGTTAGCGTATCTTCGAGATCGGGCCGCCCCAAAAGGTGCAGATTGGGTATATCTTTGGATATAATTCGTGGCACTAACACAACACTGTCATAGACTTCTGCAAGCAGTTGGCGACTGCTTTTGGAGACGTTATCAGATACCAGTACCACGAGGCTGCACGGGGCTGAGGACAGAAGTGCAAGTCTGCGCCCCAGCACCAGTGCACCTGGGAGATACGAGTCTGACGTAAGCAATGTGGCGTATGCGTTGGCGCTCATTGCGGTATATGCTTTTATTATAACAAAGCAAGAAAGAATTGGGTACAGAGAAAGCTACGAGGAACACATGAAACGAAACATGGGGATGCAGTATCGGAGTGCACATGCCAAAAAAAGGCGGTGCCTAAATCGATTTCGAGCCGTTTGCACACATATTCTACGTGCCCAGATCAAAGCATCTGCAGTCACGTGACATCATACACCCTATTGTCTCGGATAAGACTTTTCATTGGGGTTGAGATCGTGATCTCTGATCTGCCAGGGTTGGTAGCGGTGTGCGGGGTATGAGAAGCGTTCCTCGAGCTCTAAAAACCGAGGCTGAGGAGGGATTTGTTGAGGAGGCTGTTGCAGAGGTTGTTGGGGCTGCTGTAGCACCGAAGACTGTGACCGACTACTAGCATCGTTCGGATCCTTACCATTCAGCCTAAGCAGCTCACGATAGTACCTCTCGTCAACTCCGAAGGTCTCAGGGTTGGTAGAAAACAGTCGCGCTACCGTGGCACGTAGATATCTCTCATCGAAGGCCTTATCCGTTCGCTTATTGAGTTCCTTGGTCAGATACTCCCATTTGGCAGACTCGCCATGGTCTAGCAAAGACTGTAACACCAATATGTCTTGGGTAGAGTAATCCGAATTGGTTCCACCCTGTTGGCCAATCAGCACCTGATAACGGTTTCGAGCAGTTAAGTAGTTTCCAACACCTGTAGCCTCTGCAATTTCAACCCACGAATGGCCTTCCTGCTTGAGACGCACTATCAGTTCATCTTGCTCCCTCGAGAACTTTGACCGCCTGCGCGACCGCTTGAGGGGCACAGGGTCTAATGCTCGAGGATTAGGCGACTGATAGGCCAACGGCGGCTGCACCACCTCCTTGTGGATTTTCTCGGCCAAACTCGATCGTTCGGGGAAATGTGGTTGCAGACCTTGCGGAAGGCCTTGGACAGGTTGCGATTGCGGTAGCAGCTGGGACTGCATGATCGGAGGCTGTTGGAATTGTTGATGCAATTGTTGATGCAATTGTTGCGGCTGGTGCAGCAGCTGTTGCTGTTGTTGATGTTGTTGCTGTTGTTGCTGTTGTTGCTGTTGTTGTTGTGGTTGATGCTGCTGGTGCTGCTGGTGCTGCTGGTGCTGCGGGTAGTACCCCAACGCGTGGTTCTGGGAATTAGAGTACATCGGCAGTCCGATCTGAGCCGGCGTCGGCAGCAATCTTTTTTGTTTGTCAAGCCCGTCTGATGCCATCAAAAGGTAGAAGGTGATGAAAAAACGGGTGAGTGAAGCAGAGAGAAAGCGAAAAGAAAATGGAAAGAGAAGCAGAAGCAGAAAGCAGAAAAGCAGCAAGCGAGCCAAGGGATAATATCACAATCACCGGCAATCACTAGTAACAAATTGGTGGCGCGGAATCTCAGAAAGCTCCTCGAAAACAGCTATGAAAACAGCCCTTAGATCGGTTTTCCAATAACTTCCGAATACCAACGACCAAAGGGGCACCTAGAGACTGAAAGAACAAGCGTTCCCAATCGATCAAAAAAAACCCGTAAAATGAGAGCAGATGAAACCAGCAAAACCAAAAATCGCAGAATAAACTGGAAAAGTTATCGGGCAAAGTTTACTGAGGAAGAGAGGAATCCTCAAAAACTCCGCAAGGGATACTGCGAAAGGCAAATTCACCAGCAAAACGCCAAAGTCCGAGAACGAAGCAACGCACGCACAGGATCAAATATGCAAAGAAGTACGTAGTCGGGAGTCTCCGCAAATCTGGCAAATATTCGCAGTTTCCGCCGTGCTCGCACAGATTCGGCACGTCTGTCTGGAACAAATTCCTCGTTAATGCAAAAGGTGCGACGCACATTGTTCAGCGAGTTAGCAGCCCGGAAGCGGGTTCTGGCGTGACGTTGGCGCACATCGATCGAGGGTTTATTGAGCTTTTCGGCTAAGGACACCCTGAGACACGGAACTACTTGTATAATATTCGGGGTCAGCCGTTCTATTTCTCTAAAGTGGCGTTATTATTCTTTATTGGTCAATCCAAAAAAAAGCTTTAATTCTTGCTTATTTGTAGACCTTATTGGCCCACCTTCTATATCCTTTCCGCCCGTAAAATGCCAACTGCACGTGGGGAGTCACACCACTCACCTGCTGTTGAGTAACGTTTTGACTATGCCCAGTTTTGGATACTATTTGGACCAGCCTGCGGCATTTGTCACCTCGACTGCAGCGCGCGGCAGCGTCGCCGTGGATTTAGCGCTGCAAAGACAGGTGGGTGCGCCACTACCCAGAAGTCTTCGCAGCACAGCTCGCCACATCATCGTCAGTTTGTCGGTGTAACAGCGTGCACTGCAGAAAAGGGTTCAGAAGGGTTCCAAGCCGGAGAATAGTTTACGGCCGAGAAATTTGGGGTTTGGGATAGATCTTACATTCCGAGTCCCTTGTGGTGCTGACAGTCTTGAATGCTTCTTGTGCCTCTTCTCCTCTACCAGTTCCACCGGCTCTCCCGCGGTGTTTTTAGCGGTCTTTAACGCTCCCTGATCTAGACTTTTATATCCGAATATCGCCGCTGCCAAAACTCAACGGCCACGCACGTCTCCCCTCTTTCTACCGAGCCACGTGACCGCGGCCGTTTGCCGTGCCCAAAACAGATTCTTCCACTTCCTCGAAAAAGCCCGGGCATATCAAGGGAATTTTACCGGGAAGTCTGATTGGGCTTAGTGCTCTTCCTCCAGCAGAGATGTCAGACGATCGAAAACGTACTAAAAGAGCTTGTGACCTGTGCAATCAGAAGCGTGTCAAATGTGATGGCGAGCTGCCTGTTTGCCGCCAATGCCAGCGCTCCGGGTCTATATGCTCGTACAACCGTGAGGAGAAGAAGCGAGGTAGGGCCAGTGCCCGCTACCCAAAGACTATTATCCGTCGCAAACCTACTAAGCGTGAACTTCAGTTGCGGCTGCGACCAGTTACAAACAGCATAGAATTGCCCGATTTATCGGAATGCCGGTACCGTCTTCTCGGGCCTTTCTTATCGGAAATCACAGCATTGGGGATCTCTGTTCGATTGGCTTGCGATCTCTACGAGCATTACTTCTCACAGCCTCCATTGTATTCAATAGGTCCAATTTTGAGACCACGGAGATGGCTTGTGCCAATGGGCGAAACCGGCCCAACTGCAAAACCAGACCCTGATCCACGCTACGGAGGCACTACTTTACAATTGATTCTCGCCATTTTGTTGACTAGCCTATGTGATATTGGCCATCCTTTTTTCCTTGGGGCTATCAAGAGAGACATGCTTTCGGCTTGCTACCAACGCATTCTGGAACTGCTGCCAGTGGAACAGAGCTTGTCGCACACGACAGCCAAATCCGACCAATTTGACGATGTCGTTGTCTTCGCAATGCTAAGCGGTACGGCTCCATTGATCACTCGTCCGCACGATTCACTGGAGTGGGCCGAGCTTGGATGCCGTACCGCACTTCGCTTGAGGATCAACCACGAATTGCCTCAGCTAGAATCCATTTCAGAGGAAGACCGTGAAGAACGCAGACGCGCATGGTGGTGCCTGGTCGTCACAGCGAACTATCTCGGCGGAGTTTTCAATACCCGTCCTGCTGTAGACGAATCCCAATCGACTCAGCTCTACCGTCCATGCGCCCAGGATCTTTGGATTGATTCCAAAGCCGCATTAATACCGGCATCACTTGATCCAAAGCGTTTGCGTGGGTTAGACCTGGCCATTCAAGACGGGGTCTACGGCTGGCTGTTGCCGTTTGCAATTGTCCTCGGCAGAATTGACTGTTTAGCAGCCGATCGCTTTGAGAACCCTGACACTCTGGTGGATCCGATGGCCCAGTCGCGCTGCATCCAGCAGCTGGCGATTCTCGAGTCCACATTGATTGCTGCTCATGATTCCGGCAGGGTTTGTGAGATGGACTATTTGATGTGCCAACTCTACACCACCATCACCTACAATGCTGCGCGTCGTTCAAGACTCTGGGACCCACAGGAGGTTTTTGAACACCCTTTCCCAATAGACGAACTTGACGACAAGAGCTGGTTGTTTGCTGCTATTGATATTCTCAATAAGATTTACACAGCGAACCCCACAATGCGCGAGCAGTCGCTGACGCGCGGCTTTTTCCTCTTCATGTTAGGCATTGAGCTTCTTGCCTGTGTGGATTCGGTAGCGTCTGTTGCGCTTGCCAAGACGGAGCGTGTTACTCGACTGCGTTTTGCTGCGAACCTCGCGATGCGCACAATGGAGAGTCTCAACGCGTACATCACCACCGATTATCTGCGTCTTTTAGTGACATATATGCGAGACTCGTTGCGTGATCTCGACAACCTTGTACTCCTGAACGACTACGATGAGGAGTTGGCCAAAAACCGCGCGCGTCGCAAGCATGGCATCAGTGTCTTTTCGTGGCGTGAAGGCGGCACAGGTATTTCCATCTGAAAAGGTGACGCCCAAAGCAGTGCAAGATGTGATGGGCTATAAGATGCATTTTTCTCACAAAGGGAAACTCTCAAGGCGATTAGTTTCCGACCGCCTGTTCTCGCTGGACAATTAGGTTTACCTTTCCATTTCTTCAAAAGTACCACGTGCTTATTGCTAATCACTTACGCAATCTTTCATGTTCAACCCTTGCTATCTATTATGTCGATGTGGATCGACTATTTGTATCTTCAACAAAATAATTTCGAACGATGATGGCTGCATTCTGGTAGAACCAACCACTGGCTGAAGTCAATGGAATGATCTAGCCAGCAGAAGAATGAGCCTTTTCAACCTATTTTTCCATCCAGGCATCCATCAACCTTCCACCCAGTCTCCTCTTTTTGCAACTGTCTGACTTTTCCGATCAATCGGTAGTCTTCACAGTTGTCTTTATGATCTTGTCCTTTCCCTCAATAATTTCTTCGTTTTGCTTCTCCACCTTAGTAGTACTCTCGTCATTGTTCGCTTCAGTCTTGCTGATATTTTCGTGATCAGTCTCGCAATCTTCCTCTTCTCCGTTCTCCCCCTCCCCACTCTCCTCATCACTCTCATACGATATTGAATCTAGCCCCATATAAACCAACATCAGTTTTTTGTCGCTATCGCTCTGAAACAAACTCGCCTGTCTCTCAGAATCCATATCGTTGCACAATTCGCGTGCCTTGTCTCGACACCTCTCGAAGTTAAAAGCGGGTCCCAAATCCGAGCTGATCCGCTTCCACCGCGTGTCCCAGTCACGCTTAATCATATAAACAAGCCGTGCTTCGTCAGCCGGAGTCCAAACCTCATTCCTGGGTTTGTGGGTACGCAGATACCGCATCTGCACAGCCTGCCACGAGTGCGTTTTTCCAATCAAACGCGCAATGTACTTCCACGAGAAGTTGAGCTCTTCTTTATAGTGCACAAGTAGTTCATCTTCTTCGGGGGTCCAAGTGGAAAGACCCGTCCTGCGGTATCGTGGCATCCGCGACCAATTTTCGTGCACAGAGGGAGCCTTTTCATCCTCCGTGAGTACAGGTTCTCCTTCTGGGTTCGGGTCTTTAACAGGTTTACTGTGCTTGGTAATTTTCGTCTCTTTAGCAGATCTGGTGGTTTTGGCCCTGCTCGTCTCTTTGACGTCCTTCTTTTTGGGCTTGGGCCCCGGCTTCTTCCGTTTACGCGGAGATTCATCGTCCTCTTGCAAATCTAACTTCGCAGGCATCTTGCGAGCTCGAGTCTGGAAATGCTCATCCAAATCAGCATCCTGGCCCATTGAAGATGGCACCTGGCTTTTGCTCGGCGAAGGAAGAGGCGGAAGGGGTAATTCTGGTGGTCTCGGCGCCACAAGCATCGATTTCGATCTAGCCATTGCTTGTAGTGTGTTGTAGGAGGGTTCTGCAGAAGCGGGAATTTCAGTGTGCACGATATATTCACGTAGTCCCAGCAAATTGGACAGCTTCCAAAAAGGAACAGGACGAACAGATTGTTTGTGGAGAAAAACAAGAAGGAGTATACGAGATGGACGAAACACAACACCACAAGGCAGGTGTTGTATCGAGAGGGAAGATGGGTTACCCGGACGTCAAAGGAGGGTACACAATTACGCATGTCCTGCGGCATTTGAACTCTGTATGGAGAATAAAGTACCTTATAAACTGTTATTATGATTTTGTTGATCAATTATACGACATTAAAGACATGACACATACACGTAGAATATGCGGGCCATATGTAGTTACTCTGTGGGATGTCGCACGGTGAATTGGTGCCACATACGCTGCTGCCTTTGTGGTGCGCCGTCTGGTCCATGCCATCATAAAATCGACACCCTGTATATTTGTATCGCCGGTATCATGTATCACGTATCACATAGCCTCTATCCTCCTCTCTCCCTCAAGTCCTCCTCGCAATCCGCGCAGATTGTCCAGAACGCATCTTCTCCATCATCCGTGAGTTAGCACTCGGCTGCCTTCCCGGAGTGGAACCTGTCGGTCTGGTGGAAATGTTGAGATGGCCCATCGATTGAGCAATTGATATTGGTGGCCGGCGCTGAACGGGCTCAGTGTTGGTAGCGCTGGCTGAACGGCCGGCTTGCGGCTGCTCATATTTCTGCGTGGGTTGAGGCGCTTGTTGGTAGGATTGTTGCTGAGAATTTTGCGATCGAGATGGTGATTGTGTTTGCGATTGCAAATGCGCTTGATGTTGGTGAGCTCTGCGAGGAGCCAACCACTCTGGAGGCATCTGACCATGCTCTTCATAGTACCTTAACATGGCCTTATGGACAGCAGTAGACTGTTCCGAATCGCCATCCTCCTCCGAGGACGACATTATTTTCGTCGCATTCTTGACTTTCCCCCACACTCTGTCCATTTTAACCGGTGGATTCGCTGGCTTCGAGTTGAAAGGAAGACTCAGAGGACTACTGTACGCACACAAGTTGGAATGTATGTTGGAGTTAGCAATCTCCATTGGTTGGTACACTAAGATAACACTCAGATTTGCGGCGGACGAAAAGCTCAAATTGAGATCAAAATGGTTATTGAATTTCAAGCAATATTGTTCCGAATAAGCAGTTTATGAAATCATGATAATATAAACACCTCTAGTCACCACGAGTTGTGCCTGAAGGCATCTTATGGTGCACTAGCACAACCCATGTGTTTCTCCTCAACGGGACTGCTTTTGGCCAAGTCGGCCTTGAAATACATATTTCTACAATTCAGACAAAGAACGATAATTTCAATCGCTCGATCTCATAACCTGCCACCAAATCACCACCAAAACCAGCAATCTGGGGCCGTCATGGAGCTCGAACATCATATCTCTTAGCGGCTTATATAATCACAACTGGTTGTAACACGATCATTCCAGTTTCCACAAAACATGTTTAGGCTTCAAGCTTGTCTTGTTCACTTGCTCAATCACCACTTATCACAGAAATAGGTCGAAGTCTTTGCACCTGCAAACACACAATCGCATGCTATGGATTTTACGATTCCGCAAGGCGCGGACCGACATCTGGAAGAACAAGTCATCCAACTGATCAAGGACTATCAAGATGGGTACCTTACAGAGAAGGGCTATGTGAGCAAACGCTCTTCACTGTTGACGTTGGCGCATTCAGCTCCCTACAACCTTGCACCTGTTGTATCCAGTCGATCATTGGCTGTGGTTGGTTCTGCCCAATCTGACGACTTTGGCATGGCTTCTCCATCCAGGACAGATACAAACCTGGCGGACTATCCGACTTCAATGGTTTCAGCACCAAATTACCAGGATTTTGGAGCTCTCAATGGAACACCGCATCTTTCACACACTAGCGACAACTACCTATCCAAAACCAGCTCCCAACAGGGTCGTCTTCAGGAGCTGCAAAGACCTCTAGAGGCCCGTCAGCTACAGGATCTCAACCCCAACGACTCATTTGGCAATCTGCCGTCAATTCTGAGACATAGAGGAGTGACATATGCACGAGAAGTTGCCATAGCGCTTGTTGATGCACGCGGAAAAGAGATTCAGAGCATTACGTGGGAGAAGTTATATCTCAAGAGTGAGAAGATAGCCCAGCAAATTCGCGACAAATCAGGTCTTTATCGCGGAGATCGAGTTTGTTTGGTGTATCAGAACCACGAGGTTTCAGAGTTTGTTGTTGCTTTATTTGGCTGTTTCTTGGCTGGTGTTGTGGCTGTTCCCATGAGCTCTGGGCTTCCCGTGAAAGACCTAATCAAGATCATGAACGATACCCAAGCACATCTATGTTTGATGTCTGAATCCGTTCAAAAACATTTTGATAAGTACTCCAGCAATACTAACTCGAAGATCGTTTGGCCGAAAGGCGTTGAAATGTGGAAAACCACCGACATGGGAACTTATCAGCCGGCAAAAAACGCGGACCCGCCCGCACTCCAGGTCCCCGATTTGGCCTATATCGAATACTCAAAATCACCAACTGGCGACTTGCGAGGCGTTGTTCTTTCACACAAGACGCTAATGCACCAAATGGGAATGTTCACATCCATTCTCGGTTCCATGCCTGGCTACACCGGGAAGTCCATTAAACGGTCTGATATCTCATACACAAAAGCCAGAAACATTCTTCTTTCAACGCTAGACACGCGACAGAGTATTGGGCTTATTGTGGGTGTTCTATTCACCATTTTTTCTGGAAATTTGCTGATCTGGACTCCCCAACAGACCATGGAGGTTCCAGGCTTGTATGCCCATATCATCACTCGCTACAAAGTGTCAATGCTGCTGTCTGACTATCTTGGAATGAAACAGGTTATCTACAACTACCAGTCATTTCCACAGCTTACACGGACCTACAGCAAGAAGATCAAGGTGGATCTTTCGTGTGTGAGGTGGTGCCTAATCAACGCCGTAACTGTGGATTGTACTTTCCACGAGATGCTGACTGAAAGATGGTTTAAGCCTCTTGGATGTCTCAACTCTAAGTCCATTGTGTGCCCGATGTTGACCCTGAGTGAATTCGGAGGAATGGTGATTTCTATGCGTGATTGGCTAGGAGGAGAGGATAAACTCGGATGTGTGTTCAACAAGTCTTTAACCGAAGAGAGAGATGATGACGAACAGCCCAAAAGTGACGACAGCTATCTCAGCGAAGTTCTGATAGATAGGGCGTCTCTGACCACGAATACCGTCAAGGTTGTTAGTGATAAACCTCCTCCTTCCGGTGACAATGAGGACGGTTCCAAGTACGTTAGGTGCGGTGCTTTTGGATATCCTCTTCCAGACGCGACGTTGGCCATTGTGAATCCAGACACCAATATTCTAAGTCCAGCAATGGAGGTGGGTGAAATTTGGGTCGACACAGATTGCCTGAGTGGTGGTTTTTGGGGACTCAAGAAAGATACCGAGATTGTGTTCCATGCTCGATGCTACGACCATGCCGAAGAAATCGACCGCGATTTTCTAAGAACGGGGCTCTTGGGGTTCATTTATAACGGCAAGGTGTATGTTTTAGGCCCTTATGAAGACAGGCTAAGACAGAAACTGATATTGGATTCCCAGTCACCAAAAGAGACGCTTTTTGCAGAACAGTACCATTTCCATTACGCTTCACATCTGGTGAAGACGCTAGCCAGAAACATCCCTGAAGTCACGGACGCTGCTTTCTTCGATATTGTATTGAACCATGAGTGTGTTCCCATCGCTGTGATAGAATCTACAGCTGGAAAGCCCTCACCTTTGGCAGGCAATTCACAGTCTTTGCAATTGGACCGTGCTGCACTGGATAGAATAGCAGCAAAGGCAATTGATGCCATAGAAGGAGTGCATAATGTGAGGCTTTATTGTGTGATGGTGACTGCCCCAGATGTTTTACCGAGAACGATCCGTTCTGGAAGACTGGAGATTGCGAACACACTTTGCAAGAAGAAGTTCACGGAAGGAACATTGAGTTCTGTGTTTGTGAAATTCAACATGTTGAAATCGCTCTCGCAAATCCAGCAAGGTGATGATATCAAAGGGGGAATATGGTCCCCATATGCCTCCAATCTCAGATCCTCTTCTTTGAGCTATGCCGAGAAGCAATATTCTGGTTTGGACCACAGAGATACGTGCATTGACTCCAGAACCTCGATTCCATTGACTGATTTCAAGAGTCTTCCCGATATACTCAAGTGGAGAGCAAAGCAACAGTCTGACGAACTGGCATTTGCCAGACTGGATAAGATCAACTCCAGAGAACAGAAGCCTTTGAGTTGGAAGAAGCTGGAACAGAGGATCTTCACTGTGGCTTCCTATCTGATGGAGAAGAGACTCGCCAGGACTGGCGACTATGTCATTCTCATGTATTCTCTCTCCGAAGAATATGTGGTGGCATTCTATGCATGCCTGTTTCTGAACATTATTCCAATTCCGATGGGTGCTTTGGATATTCAAAGGCTGGACGAGGATGTTGTTTCATTTGTGGGGGTCTTGAAAGATTACGACGTGAGGATGATTCTTTGCAATGACGAGGTTGAAAACACATTCAAGGTGAAGCAGGTTTCGAATGAGATGAAAAAACGAGCCACGCAGTCGCGTATTACGATTCCAAAGACAAAAAACACCACCAAGCTGAAGAAAAATGCACAATCCGCAAGCGTTATGTATCCCAAAATGGCCAAGTTCAAGGAGTTCTCCCGGAGGAAGACAAATGTTGCAATGATATGGCTGCAATGGACGGCTGATTACTACCAGGTTGGAGTAGAACTCACCAACGAGACGATCATGGGAATGTGCAAGGTTTTGAAAGAAACTTGTCAAATGTCATCTACAATTCCTCTCATTGGATGCGTTCGCCATACATCTGGATTGGGAATGCTGCAGTCTACAATGATGGGCATATTCCTCGGGTGTTCAACCTTTCTGATTGCTCCTTACGACTATTTTACAAGTCCAGGATCTTTCTATCTTGCACTTTCAAGATACAAAGTCAAGGACACATTTGTGACTGACAAGATGTTACAGCATGCTTTCAAGTCTTTCAAGCCCAAGAACTTTGATCTTCCAGATCTGAAAAATCTCATGGTTGGTTGGGACGGAAGACCTGATGCAGAGCTGATGAAAAACTTGAAACCTCACTTTGCCCGAACCAATCTCAGTTCTTTCGCCATGTCGAATCTGTATTACCATGAGTTTAATCCTATGGTGACGACGAGATCGTATCTTGCTTTTGACCCGATCGACCTTTGGCTGGATCCCATGAGCCTTTCTCAGGGATATGTGTCATTGGTTAACCCCAAAGATAATCCTTTGGCTATTCATATCCAGGACTCGGGAATGGTTCCAGTTTGCACTCAGATCGCCATCGTGAACCCTCAAACTTGCCATTTCTGCAAAATAGGCGAGTTTGGTGAGATATGGATCTGTTCAGAGGCTACAGTCTCGGGTTTCACTAACGGCCCCAAGGGCCCCACAGACAAGTTTGTTGCTGCTCAATTCCAGGGAAAAATAAAGGATGGAAACCCTGAGCTTACCTATCTACGAACTGGCGATCTTGGCTTTTTGCACAATATCCAAGGTTCGGTCGCAAATGATGGAACTGTGATGGAATTGCAGCCGCTTTTTGTGCTGGGAAGAATAGCAGATACCATCGAAGTGATGGGATTGCACTATTTTGCCCTTGATATAGAGAGAGCAATAGAGAAGATGGTTCATGACATCCACAAAGAGAGAGTGTGTCTGTTCAGAGCGGGAGATTATACAGTGTTGATTGCCGAGCCACGCAGAACCTCGTCTTTGGCGTCTTTGGTTCCTCTCATTGTGAATACGGTTTTGGGCAAATACGGGTTAATCATTGATATAGTTGGATTCACTGCGCCTGGCAAATTCCCACTTTCAAGACTTGCTACCAAACAGCGTGCGAGGATTGTGGATAGTTGGTTGAAGGGAAATTTGAAAATGGCCGCCGAGTTTGGTGTTAATTATGGTGAGTCCAGTCTCGTGAAGTTGGTGGACAGGATGAAGCAGAAGATGTGAGGTAAAGAAGGTGAAGATTATCAGACAGAATGTATAGCTATAACCGTCTGATTGCGAGTACGATTGCTATCCTAAAACAACTCGAGAAACAATAAGTTGATTCTGGTCTATTATGTAAGTAGCATGACCTAGTAACCGAAACTGGAATTGTCCTGTCCTGTTGGAGGCATCCACTTCATCTCCTCCTAGGACGAATCTGGGCGATTCTCCGTTTTGCAATTGGATTAGCGGGACTTGGAGCTGCATCACCGGCTGGGGCTGCGAATATGGCCGAGGGATCAACGTTAGATGAGCCTGCAAAGTTGAAGTTTGGCGTGGCAGAACGTGAAGGGTTGAACCCTGGAGTGGCTGGCTGCGTGGATTGTACACTGGCAAAGGCACTTCCGTTTGGATTACCAAATAAGCCAGCAGGCTGTGAAGTCTGGGCTCCAAAGTTGAATGCAGATGGCTGGGTTGGGGCAGGAGCAGGAGCAGGAGCAGAGGCAGAAGCAGCCCCAAAGGAAAACCCTGTAGTTGGAGTTTTTGATTCCGTCTTTGAGAAGTTGAACTGATCTGGAGCCCCGAAACTGAACACGGGCTTTGGTGCCTCTGGTTCTGGAGTGGGGCTGGGTTTAGCCGTGGTGGAGTTGCTCACAGAGCCGAACGAGAACGGAGAGGCAGACTTTTCAGGTGCTTTTGCACTCCCAAACCCCGCGAATGGCTGAGAAGTAGCCGTTGATGCTGTTTGTGCTGTTTGTGCGGCTGGCTGTCCGAAGCTGAAAGAAGGAGCTGGATTAGCCCCGAATAAAGACTGCTTTGCAGTATCTGCTTGGGTGGTAACGTCATGGGAGGAACCAAATTTCAAACCTCCAAATCCTTTGGCTTCTGGTGCAGGTAAGCTGGCTGTAGACCCGAAACTGAAGGGTTTTGGTTCTGGTTGCGTCTCTGGCTTTGATGCTTCAGTAGACGTACCGAATTTGAATGGTTTCGGAGCTTCAGCCGGTTTCGAAGAATTTGATGAAAAAAGCGAGGGTTTGTCAGCTTCTTTGGTTGGGGCAGAAGCTCCAAAGACAAACGGCTTTGAGGCTTCAGCAGCAGGCTGAGCAGTATTTGCACCAAAAGTAAACTTGGGTTTCTCACCAGCGTCTTGTCCATTTACCAAAGCAACACTTTTGGGTTCGGAGTTCCCCAAAGCTGCAGGCTGTGAACCAAACGTGAATGGTTTTGTTGTCTCGGCAGGTGTGGCATTATCTTCAGCCGATTTGGCTCCACCGAACACAAGTGAAGATGGCTTCACCTCAGAGTTGCTTGGGGCTCCAAATGAAAACTTTGGTGTGACAGCACCAGTCTCTGGGGTTTTAGTCTCCGGAGCCTTGATCTCTGGAGCTTTGGAGCCAAAAACAAATGGCTTGGAAGCCTCGCTGACGATTGGTTTTTCGGTTTCCTGTGGTTGAGTGGAGTTTAGCAACGAAGGCACAATTGAAGGCGGTGTCTTCGAAGACAGAGCAGGAGCACCAAACGAGAACTTCGGCTTTTTGCTGGGTGCATCGTTTTCTTCTTCCTGGCCATCGGAGACCGCAGAAACAACTGAAGGAGAGCTCTTCGCACCAAAGCTAAAGCTAGCCGGAGCAGCCACTTTCTCCTCGGAAAGTGCTGGCTGACCAAATCCGAATGAAGGAATCGATGATGCAGCTGGTGCCTTTGGCTGGGTTTCTGAATTAGTTGACCCAAAGTTGAACGTGGGAGTAGAACGTTTGGGTTCTTCCTCATCAGCACCATTATTTCTCTTTTGGGTAGTAGTAGTGTTTGAAGAGCCACCGAAACTAAATGAAACAGGCTTATCTTCTGCCTTAGTGAGATCCGTTTGAGTGGTTGCTTCATCAGGAACAGGCGATTTGACTTGTGACTTCACAAAGTCGAACCCCACACTTGGTCCAGCAGACTCAGTAGTCTTTTCCAACGAGTCACCAGCTGTAGTCTTAGAAGGCTTTGTTCTCGGAATATTTGGATTCAGAACATCCAGACGAGTATCAACAGCTCCGGGGAATTTGACCTTGGAGATGGCCGGCTGGTAGGATGCTTTGATAGAGTCGACTGCCAGCTCTGCAGTCGGAACATCGTCTTCTTCATCACTATAAGAAAACTCCCCAGAATAGAATCCCGTCTGCTTCTTGCGCTCTTCGGTAACAGGCTTGGGCTTGGACTCAAACTTGTCAGCAGTTTTGAGAGCTGGTAGGCCTTTCACTGGCGAATGTATGATGTTGGTTTGCTGTAGACTTCTCAATCTATCGCGCTTTTTGAGGTAATCCTGCACTTTTTTTTGCTCTTTAAGTCTCACTAGAAGTGCCCTGTTCATCACGTTGAAGCTGAGAAGCGTTCTTTTGTACTCCTCTTTGACCTTTTGCGGACTTGAATCAAGCGCACTCTTTTTTCTTCTCTTTGGGGCGTTGTCTTCTTCGCCATTCACTTTGACGATCTCAAGAGCTTTACCCGTACCATTTTCGGTCTTCAGATCACCACCAAATTCGACCTCCGCGGCCACTTTTGCCTCACTAGCTTCATTTATCGCACTTTCCAGCACCCTGTTCTGGTCCTTCAAGGCCTTGGCATACGCCTCTAAAACGTCTAAATTCGTCCGAAACTCCGAGGGTTTCGCAATTGCAGTCCCTGCATCAGCGAAAACTTTCTGCTCGATTTTTGGCACTAAAGCAACACTTTTGGATACTATCGGAGTGCTCTGTGCAGGCTCGGGGTCTCTGTGAACTCTCTTATGAGTCGGCAAGAGGGGCTCAACTTTTGCCGGGCTAGCGGGAGTTTTCAGAAAAAAGCCAAAAAGCGTATTCGCCAGCTTTGAGAGCTTCGAAGGTTTCTGGGGCTCGATGGAACCGGATGACAATCTTCTCTTGGTAGACGTCATGATGCGACACTCCAGATTGGATCAAACCACAGATTGTTTGGTATCAACTGAAACACCAAGACGTATCAGTTTCTATGACTCAAGCTATCAGAATAGGAACTCTCTCTTGAATATATGTGGAAATCTCCAGGACAACCGAACCTTGCTTGGTTTCAGTCTTGTTTCTAAAGATGCTTTTTTCAGCACGATTCAAGGTAAACATCTCATCGGTCCGGGTAACTTTTGGGATTCTAAGACTTTGTCTGACGAGTTTGAGACGAGTGTGAAATAGACTACTTTTATAATTATTTTTGGGTATATCGGGTGCGTTTGTGAAATAAAATGCAGCTGATAACTGAAATTCAGTCTCACAAGTCTCAAAAGCCCGAGGACTGGCTGAATGCATTGATTGTGCCGAACATAGAGTGGGTCTGGTCAGAGGATGATTTCTCTAAAACAAAGCCTCAGTATGTTGAGCAGCTACGCTTCAAACAGGGAGCGGAGCTGGTGTTGGAGACTTTGCAAGACTTAGAAAGGGTTGATGATGAATCTAAATTGGAGATTTTGTTGGCTTTGAGCAAATTCAGCAATGCCAACGTTCCATGGTCTTCGAGGGCTCTGCAGGCATTGTCAGCCAGAGTGCTGAAAAATCTGGAATTGGACAATCGGACTGATCTGAATGACCAGCTACTCAAAACTATCATCCAGTCGAAGCTGAGAGCCTTGTCATCCTTGAAATCCGAGTCACGAGTGAGTGCTACTGGTTATAGAAGACAGCAGATCAAGGATGACCTGTTCAAGGGAGTCAAGCCGGTTTTACAAAACCAGTTTTCGTCATCGTTGAACGAGCTTGATCGCTGGAAAATAGAGAACATGTCGTTGCTTTCAACTCTTTATTATGTTTCGCTGGCCGAAAATAAAGAGCTGTTGGTATCCAATTGGGGCATCATACTTCCATTGCTACTGAACTATTTTGATGAGATTGAAGGTCTGGTAAAAGCCGAGTGCTGTCGTATTTTGGGAAATATCATGGTCTGTCTGGACTCAGGCTTGAAGGAAGAGGTCAATTCGAAGGAATACTTCAAAAAAAAAACCAGAAATCATATTATGCAGACTGGTGTTTCAGAAGTCTTTGACGAGTGTCTGCGCCCATGTCTGCTGCAACTTCCAAAGCTGACTCCCCCGGAAAAATCCTACAAGATTCTGTCCGTAGCATATCCAACGCTGTTCATGTTGCTCAAGACTTCATCCTCAAGTTACAAAGAGTTCTGCGAGAAGGTTACGGAGATTATCAATCTGTACTGTCTGGTATCGCTGGACTCTGTGAAGAGCCATTATCGATTGATGGTTTTTCTCATTGACGAACTCAAAAACGAGCTGATTCCTTCTATTGGATCATATGTTCTTCTAAGCATGAGCAAGCTCGTGAGGATGCTACTGGATGTGGTTGATGATCCATTTACTCTGTTCACACCTAACCTACTGCTTGATGCTCTTGATACCCTCCGTCTCATTCTGGAACAGGCACCTCAAAGAGCAGCACATTATAGGTACGATCTTCTTGGAGGACTCATAAAGTTGTGGAGACATCTTGCAAAAGAAGAGCACAATTCACACTCCGACCACATCAGTGTGGGACTACATCTGGTCAAGGTGAAACTTTTGGAGCTTGTAGCGCAAATCGAGCTTTTGTGTGAGAAAGCCCCCGAGTTCGGAAAAGATGTTGAGAATTTGGTTAAGCTTGATCCTTCGCTGAAGATTTTATTGCAGCAATAATAAAATAGGGCAGTTTTTGTCCTTTGCTAGTCAGTTGATCTATGACTTAGTATGACTCGATAATGAATGAAATGAAAGAATTATGAACTCTTCGTATGCCTCACATAAATCCCGCAAGTTCACCTTAACTGGCCAATAGAAACACTTCGAGCCATTAAGCTTTCACGCATTTTGCCCTTCTTGTTTCCTCCCGTACATATATACATATATATGCATATATATTCCCATAATCCACCTAATACCAATGGTAGTGTACCATGCCAAAATCCAACATTACGTCACCGCTGTACTAAAGACATCCACACTCATGTGCCGCAAAGACGCTTCCTACTTTTTCCCATGGATACCGGACAGAATTCCATGAACCGTCTGGTGAAGAAGAACTGGACGTCGGGAGGAGTGAGACGAGGTCATATTCCGAGCAACATTGAGATAAAGGGCCCCGAGGACGTGTCTTCATCCGCGTGCGATTCGGCGTCTGATCCACATCACGCGCGCAAAATGCCACGGTTCGTTACACAAAGCATAGGTGGTAAGTGGGAAAGCGAATGTTGCCGCAAGATATTTAAGATGTGCTAACAAATTTACAGCCTTGGAAACCAAGTATAATCTCATAAACCGTGAGGAGAGACAGAAGCTACGCGAAGCGTCTAGTGAGCCAGGTTCGGAATATTCCTCGGTGATCTCGAGATTGAAGGAGAATTCAAAAAAGAACCGGTATTCAGTAAGTTGATAATCTGGATCTTTTTTTTTATGACAGGAATACTAACTCTTTCAGGACGTGTTGCCCTACGACAGAAACAGAGTCAAATTAGATGTATCACAAGGCCACAGCGATTACATCAATGCCAGCCACGTTAAGGTTGAAACGGACCAAACTGAGGTGAAATCCTATATAGCCTCTCAGGGACCACTTGCTTCTACAATGGCCGCTTTCTGGCAAATGTGCTATAGTGAAACCAAGTCGGACACCATTGTGATAGTGATGGTGACTCCGATTAGCGAGGGTGGTTCTGAAAAGTGCTATAAATACTGGAACGACCAAGGATCGCTAGAAATACCTGCAAATGGAGGTTTTCGTTCATCGCTGCAAATTAACCACGTTTCTTCGCAAAACGTGGAAAACCATTTCATTCTCACCGAACTAGAAGTGGTTCCGGATGATAGGACAATGTCTCCCAAGAGATGCTTTCATCTATACTACTACAATTGGGCTGATTTTTCGGCTCCTTCTTCGTTTGGACCGATAGTCCTTCTTTCGAATATGGCATCTGACCTAAGAAACAGGTCTGATAGAACAGATCCCATTGTCACGCATTGTTCTGCTGGAGTGGGTAGAACTGGGACGTTCATCACATTGGACTACTTGCTTACCAACGGCTCAGGGCTATTGAGCAACTCAATGCAACTGTTTCAAGACGAAGAAAGAAGCAATCTCACGACTCCCAGTCAGGATCAGGATCCTGACCCCATTTTTCAGATCGTTAGACAATTGCGTTCTCAACGTTTAATGATGGTTCAGAGATTCGAGCAGTTCGTGTTTCTATATAAGAGCAGTTTGAGATACTATTTAGATGTGGTCGTGGGCGACAAAGAAGTGTGCCCATGATTGATGAAATAAAACGAGTTTTACAACACTTTTGTCTTGTTTAGTTGGAACTGCCACATTAATAGCGTTGCAGTTGTGGGGGGACCACGACAAAGTTGCACAAAGCCAATTCTAGACTTATTTTCTTTCGAGTTGACGAAACAGGCACAAACCGCTAGTCCTTAATTTGAATGTATCAAGCCTTTCTGGTTGAGACTAAAAATGATTTTGAACCTTCTGGGAGTGTGGAGTTAGAAGAGTTTTACGTTGTCACCAATTACAACAAAGCTTTGGAATTTGTTGACGGCCTTCGTGCTGATTCAAATATGCTTATTAGAGATATAGAGCCTCAGGATCGGCCTCAAAAGGCGAGGGTGTTTTTGATTCTGGAGTCTACATGTGATTTGAGCACTGATTGTCTTGTTAGAGTGTATTCCAACAGTAGTTGGTTGTCAGAGGAGGTATGTGAACGGCAAGCTTTACTGCAATATATACTGCCAGTTGCGCGGTTTTAATATAGTGAAGAGAACTATAACTAACTTTTTACTGAAGCTTTTGAAACGAATTGTTACCGTCAGCAAAACTGGTCAATATTCACTGAAGTTCCTTGTTCAAAGGGGAAAGTTCTACTCGCTGCGAGGGGATTCCTCAATCTCTTTTAAAAAATCTCCACCAATCCCTGGAATCTCAGGAGTTGCTTGTCATGTCCAAAGCACTTGTTTTCAAAGCATCCAAGACTTTGTCAGATTCGCTGGGACGTCTCCATTTTTAGAGCCCCTGGAGAAGATGATCCAACTACAGGCGCCGCACCGAACGCGATATGAGCTCCACCGGCCAAAATCGCCCACAGAAGACTTGATACCAAACCCCCCTGATGAGCAGATCATACACAAGACCGTTGAGCTGTCCATGCCTGCAATTACTAGAATCATTGGAATTAAAGGCAAAAACATCAACTTTATACGCAAGAGCAGTCAGGCCCACGTTAAAGTGTGCAACATCGAGCGTGCTATCAGACTGGCACTTCCACGAGCAGTCATCACTCAACAATTGCTTCTAACAGGTACTCAGCCACAGGTTAAAATGGCCGAAAAACATATCTTCAAGATTCTCAATTCGTATCGCTCAGGCTCTCAACTTCGCTAATGATTGATAGGATTCTGCCAAATAACTGGTGGTCACCGTACCTCTGAGACCGCCTGCGTTGTTTTCAGCATCTCCAAAAACTTTTCAACCCGAAGCGGTGGATTAGATGCGACCAGATTTTTTTTGAAAATTTTCATATTTGCGTTCTCCTTCCTCCTCTTCAGCTTCCAACAACTATACATTTCACACTACAAAAATGGCTGACGGAGTCTTCCCAGGTGCTATCGGTATCGATTTAGGTACTACCTACTCATGTGTCGCTACTTACGACAACGCCGTTGAAATCATTGCCAACGAACAAGGTAACCGTGTTACTCCATCGTTCGTTGCCTTCACCTCTGAGGAGAGATTGATCGGTGATGCTGCCAAGAACCAGGCCGCTTTGAACCCAAAGAACACTGTCTTTGATGCCAAGCGTCTGATTGGTCGTGCTTTTGACGACGAATCCGTCCAGAAGGACATCAAGACCTGGCCATTCAAGGTCATCAACTCGAACGGTAACCCACTGATTGAGGTTGACTACTTGGACGAGACCAAGACCTTCTCCCCTCAAGAGATTTCCTCCATGGTGTTGACCAAGATGAAGGAGATTGCTGAGGCTAAGATTGGCCAAAAGGTTGAGAAGGCTGTTATCACTGTTCCAGCCTACTTCAACGATGCTCAGCGTCAAGCTACCAAGGACGCCGGTGCCATTGCCGGTTTGAACGTCTTGCGTATCATCAACGAGCCAACTGCCGCCGCTATTGCTTACGGTTTGGGTGCTGGTAAGTCCGACAAGGAGAGACACATCTTGATCTTTGACTTGGGTGGAGGAACCTTCGATGTTTCCCTCTTGCATTTGGCTGGTGGTGTCTTCACCGTCAAGGCCACTGCTGGTGACACTCACTTGGGTGGTCAAGATTTCGACACCAACCTGTTGGAGCACTTCAAGGCCGAGTTCAAGAAGAAGACCGGTTTGGACATCTCTGAGGATGCCCGTGCTTTGAGAAGATTGAGAACTGCTTGTGAACGTGCCAAGCGTACCCTTTCTTCTGTTACCCAGACCACCGTTGAGGTTGACTCTCTGTTCGAGGGTGAGGACTTCTCCGCTAACATCACCAGAGCTAGATTCGAGGACATCAACGCTCCGCTCTTCAAGTCCACTTTGGACCCAGTTGAGCAGGTGTTGAAGGACTCCAAGATCGGAAAGACCTCCATTGATGAGGTTGTCTTGGTTGGTGGTTCTACCAGAATCCCAAGAGTCCAGAAGCTTTTGTCTGACTTCTTTGATGGTAAGCAATTGGAGAAATCCATCAACCCAGATGAGGCCGTTGCCTACGGTGCCGCTGTCCAGGGTGCTATCTTGACCGGTCAATCCACTTCTGAGGACACCAAGGACTTGTTGTTGTTGGATGTTATTCCATTGTCTCTCGGTGTTGCCATGCAAGGTAATGTTTTCGCCCCAGTTGTGCCAAGAAACACCACTGTGCCAACCATCAAGCGTAGAACTTTCACCACTGTCGAGGACCACCAGACCACCGTTCAATTCCCAGTCTACCAGGGTGAGCGTGTCAACTGTGTTGAGAACACTCTTTTGGGTGAGTTTGACCTCAAGAACATCCCACCAATGCAAGCCGGTGAGCCAGTCTTGGAGGCCATCTTCGAGGTTGACGCCAACGGAATCTTGAAGGTTACCGCCGTCGAGAAGTCCACCGGACGTTCCGCCAACATTACCATCTCTAACTCTATCGGTCGTCTTTCGAGCTCCGAGATCGAGCAGATGATCAACGATGCCGACAAGTTCAAGAAGACCGACGAGGAATTCTCCAAGAAGCACGAGGCTAAGCAGAGATTGGAATCTTACGTCTCCTCCGTTGAGGCTTCCGTCACTGACCCAGTTTTGTCTGCCAAGATAAAGCGTGGATCTAAGGACAGAATTGAGAACGCTCTGTCTGAGGCTTTGGCCGCTCTTGAGATTGAAGATGCTTCCGCTGACGACTTGAGAAAGGCTGAGTTGAGTCTTAAGCGTGTTGTCACCAAGGCCATGGCCACCCGTTAAGCTGTTTATTGTATCGAAATAAAATCTTTTTGGCTTCATAAAATAATGCTTATATGTTAGTGAACAGTAGTGAAGAGGAAAGATGATCTTTATTTTCATATCTTTAGCACACTTATTTTGCTAGACTATTCTGCTAATATGTAGTTCCCCAGCTTATCCATCTTCAGGTCCGTTACACCAGCCGAAAGGGCCTCGATGATCCTTTCATTCTCCTCCTCGTGATCTTCTTCTTCTTCTTCTTCTTCCTCGCTTTCACTGAGATCTTCTTCGTCGTCGTAATCCTCGTCGCTTTCTTCCTCGTCAAATTCCAGATCACCTTCATTGTCTGCATTTCTCATACCACTGAGAGCACTTTCCAGTTCGTCATCGTTCTTCTTTCCCTTTCTGTACCCCGAAGCTTTCACCTCCACGTCGAGTTCGGCCTCTCTCTTGACATCTCTTTCAAACTCTGGATATCCATATCTGAAACCATCACCATATCCGTCCGTGTCAAGCATCGATTTGTCCAGTTCGGGCGCATAGTTGAACACCTTCTTGAAAAATTTTCTTATACACTCCACATCACGTTTGAAGTAAAAGGCTGCATCTGTATGGTTGATGGAAACACACTGAGGAAAATCGATAACCACAAACCCGTCATCAGTCTTAGGATCATAAGAGTCTCTCTCCTTGATCATGATGTTGAACTCGTTGAAATCACAGTGGATCAATCCGTGGTTGGCCAGCTTAACTATGAACTTCATGAGGTCAGAGTAGAGCTTCTTATACTGGTAATGGTCTTTCAGCTGCCTCATCGTAAAACCTTCAATTCTTTCCATCATAATGCAGTGGCGCGAATAGTCGTAAGGAATTGGCACAGCAAATCCGTTGGAATACAGAATGTTCATGAACTCGTACTCTTTCTCCGCTGCCAAACGGGAAAGGTACATCCAACTGGATGTCTGCTTGTTCTTGAGATAATCTCTGTTATTCCTCACTGTTCTAAACGAAGTTCTTCCTAAACGGTGAATCTTTAGCACACGTGAGTCCTTGACCTTCGGACTGGTACAGGAGTAGATATCGGACTCTTTACCTACGCCTATCTGGGTGTTGAGAGTGCGGAGGGTCTTCTTCATGTACATTGCATTGAGCGCCAGGTAATCGTAGCCATTGTACGTTATCCTGTAGCCGTCATAGCTGGCATTTCTTAGTTTCGAGATCAAACTGAGCTTTGCAAGATCAGCAATACATCTGTTGGTTGTGGAGGCAGAGCGAAGGCCTCCAATTGAGTGGATGATTTTGGTGGGAACCAGCTCATGATTTTTCGATCCTATCTCTACCGCATTCAGTACCCGAAAGTCGTCTGCGGTAAGGTACCGCATATGTGTAGTATCAAGCTTCATTTGGAAATATGTTTGTGGGAATTCTTGGAAGAGAACTGGATTTTAATGTCGTAGTATGCAATGTAATAAATATTTCTCACCTAAAAAAATTTTGGTCGTGTGCATGCCTATTTTCGGCTAAAGTTTCCATCAATAAGCAAATGTTAATACTCATACACTATCAAATCTGTACAATACTAGGTCATATTTCATAAAAAAAGAATAACTCGGTTGGACATATGTTGCCTTTCCTTGGTGTTTTTTCTTTGGGGTCACCGCCGCAAACAGTCACACTATTGGTCTATTGACTTTCTCTGCTTCGATTCGAACAGGATCAAGTCTGCTTTTTCAAACTCTCTTCTGCTTCGTAGACTCTAAAATCGTCTTTTCCTTCGACCTGAGTTCTAATCTGGTCCATCTTCGCAGCCTGCTTCTCCCACGTCTTCTTGTCCTTCTTAGCCTTGCTGTCGAACAGCTCGCGGTCGGGTTCCTTGTAAGAGCCACACATTCTGTCCCATAAAGTGGTGAATTGGCCGTAGTTGTAATTAAAGTACAAATGGTGGATCGTATGGCACGCGGCTCCGTTGATGATTGGGTCGTTGGACATGTACTCACCATCGTGGATCATCACAGTCCAGAAGTTCACGAATGTGAACAGCACGAGATATGACACCTTGTGCAATGGGAAAAGGAATGGGTACCAATGATAAGGCAGCGACTGGGCATAGCCATCAAACGGATGGAAGGCATGGCTGGCAAATGGAGTGCAAACAATCCATTTATGGTGAGGCTTGTGGTATGTCTTGTAAATGGAAGGCCAATGAAGAGCACGATGAATGAAATAAATCCAACAATCGGTGAACATTATGAAACATGGCAATTGGTACACTAAAGCCCAATAGCCCCCATTGCTCTCGTTGACTTCCCAGTACAATTTGGAGTAACCTCTTAACTCTAACAAAAACCAAGGCACAGTAAAAATCACCATCACGGGAATGGACGACATGGCATGCTTGATTTCCAGCGATATCTGGTTTTTCAAGTATCTTGGATGATTGAAGTTTGCCTTATCGTACACAAACACATATGATAGCGAGGCCACAGACAGATACAAGAGCCAGCCGAAGATGGTCATGATGGTGAACAGCGTGAGCGACTGCCTCAGCATATTTGCCCGACCAAGCAGCGAGGCATGAGTCCAGGGAGTCTCTTCAAATAAATGGAGCGGCGCGTCGACTCCGTAGATTTTGACATCGTTGGGCGATAAGTACTTCAACACATACTGTCCGTATGGGTGTTGGGATACGGTATCCCACAATGCGCTGGTGCTAGCGGTGGCATTTTTGAACGAGCCAATCTGAGGTTCAAGGTAGTTTGACAGACTTGCAGGAAGAATCTTAGCATAAAGTATGTCAAACGCGAACGTGTCCGCGATCTCGAGTCCAATGTCCATGTTGAAATTTATGTTCTGTCCGTGTGAAAAGCTTCTCTAGCAAGTAACGTTGGGGAAGCAAAATCAGAACAAGTCCGTTAGAAACTGAAGAGTGCTTCAAAGCAACGGGTAATGGAGGAGAAAACGTATATCAACGTATATAAATGAGGTAAACCAGAGACAGAGTCGTAAGTTTTATTTACATAAAGCGAAAGTCTACTGATCCCATCGTTCCCATCGTTTCGGTCGTGTTCGTGAACGAGGCATCGGTCTGAGAACTTACGAAAACGAGGCCAGGGCTCATATCTTCCTTGTTCTTAGGAAATAGTCAGTCACACGGTCTGACTTGTCGAAATAGGTAGATTGAGCCTTCTCCGAGACTTCGGACCACTTGGGCCTTGTCTTATCGTCTGTTCTTTCACCCCTGGCTTCCAGGTCCTCGTGGAGCCACTCCAGGGCGAGGGGATGGAAGCTATCCGTTTTTTCGACTTCCAAGTTCGAAACGGGGATTTCGCTCTTCTTGTTCACAAACTTGACATCTTGCAAAGAATAGTGCTTCCTTTGAACGCCTCCGCTGAGATGCTCTATTTCAGTTGGCCAGGTTCCCAATCCGTCAAAAATGTGTGTCGCATATACCACTGTAGCACTTCTGGTCTCACACTCGAGCCTCAAGAAGTCCATGAGTCTGCTTCTGACCAATACATCCAGATCAATAGTAACCTCATCCAGAAGTAAAAGGTTCCAGGGCTTCAAAAGCCCCATGAGTAGTTGGACTCTCCTTCGTTCTCCATCGCTGATCTGGTTCATCCTCCACGTGATGTCGATATCTAGCAAATTAATCAGTTCATCTCTTCTCTCTGGATATATCTCACCACCAATGCTATTTACCAGCAAAATTACGGGAATGTCTCTCTTTGTGATCTCGTTGTTGGCCCATTCAGTTCCAAGGTACGTCACCACGAACTGGTTGTGTGCATCCCTCGCAGCCTGGGTCTTGGATAGCTCAAAAGGATTCACACCATCAAGCAGAATCGTTCCCATATTGATCAACTTTTGGCCGGCCAAGATCTTCAGTAAAGTAGATTTTCCAGCCCCATTCGGTCCCACCAGCAGCAGACGAGAACCCTTCTTCAGGTGGATGTTGATATCATACAATCCCACTCGGTCATTGTTGGGAAACTTGTATGATAGGCCCTCTGTGATAATAGCATATTCACTTGGCATGGTAACGGGTAGTTGGGTAATAGATTTAATCTATGTCGTCTGTTTGTAAATCGACAGCGTTTTGACTCAAAGGCTGAGACGAGGCTTGTCGCCGTTTTGGGACTGGGCATCGCATGCGCTTCATGCGGCTTCAAATGACGCCACGCTGGAGTTCTTTTGCTATTTCTTGAGGCCCTTTGATCCCGACCAAACCGTGCAATTGACTAATAAATCGAGTTGGCTTATTATATTATAGCAATCGCAAGATTGTGCAGACTTGTGTCGAAACTACAAATGAGAGGGAACTATATGGCTGCTCACTAATCAATCGGACTTCTTTCTGGGAAACGCAGTCAGCAAACATTGCAAGACATGTAGAGGACGTAACTCCCAACTTTCAAGATCTTATTCAACTTTACAGGAATTTGTAATTTTTGCGAACAGTTTCAACCTTCCATAGCTAGTATGATGCTTTCCAGTAATCGCTATTGAGTAGATTGAAATCTTGCATATCACTGGATTTCTTTTTATGCAGCAAGACACTTCCAGTCCTACTGATCAATGGTACTGTTCAGGATAAGCGTATAACTCAATTGTTGGATTGTTATGGTCTCCGTTGATTGATTATTTACAGAGTGATAAACAGTTTTATTTACAATGGCTTATAATAGAGCCCAGTCGCTCCACTGCCGGCAACAACGGACTGCTCGTACTTCTTCCACGACTTCAAGGTCAGTCTGTTGTTCACATTTTCCAGCTTTCTCAAAGTAACATTTTTGTCCTGAGGCTCCACCAGAGCAGGGGGGTTGAAAGGAGCAGCACTTCTCACGCGCTTTCCATTTCCAAGTTGGCCATACTCGTTGTCACCCCAAGCATAGACATCCCCACTATCAAGGGTTATCAAAACATGAGATTCTCCGACAGACCAGGACTTGATCTTGGTAGACTCTAATCTGTGATTCTCCTCGTTGTAATCTTTCAAACTGTTCAAGATCTTCATCTTGGCAGGCTCTGGTTGCGAGTGGGTGAAATGGCTGGTTCCCAACTCGCCCTTCAAACCCTTACCCCACGAAAGGTGGAGTTGCGAATCGGATTCTGTCTGGGTGAGATCTGAAAAATCAGTGCGTTTCTTTCCTTTCAACGATTCTTCAAACAGTTTGTAGATATTCGAAGAAACAAACGTGGCAAACGAGGTGAATCCTCCAGCGGCGATGTTGACACATTGCGGAAAATCGTCCTTCTTGAAATGGGCAGAAAACAGTTCCACTTTAGATGGGTATGGGATAATCTCAGTGTTGTATGCCACATGCTTGCCCAAAGAACCGTAAACATTATGTCCAAACGACCAAACATATCCAAGGTTGTCGAGTGCCAGCGTGTGAAACTTTCCTGCAGCTATCTGAGTTATCAAGCGAGGTTTATACTCACCTGTCTTGTCATCTTTGAATCTGTTCAGAAGCGAAACCTCAATAGGAACATTTGGAAGAGGGGGGGTATCGAACTGGGTCATTTTGGTTGACCCAAATTGCCCGTTTGACTTTTCAATGTTTTTGAAACCAGTAGCCATGGTGAAAACTTTGCCGGTAGAAGAAAGCATTACCAGATGCTGGTCTCCAGCAGCAATATCCTTAGCCTTCTCGAGTTTCAATTTTTGGTAATGTTTGGTAGATTTAATTCCAATAGCATTGCGACTCTCAACTTTGAATTGCTTCTGTTCCTCGCTCGATTCCGGGAAATAATACACACTGCCGTCCTTGGCAAGCGCGTACACAGCTCCATTGGAAATCTCACACTTCACCAACCCTAGACCCTTTACTGAGATCCTGGGTTCTACCCCTTTTGGATCAAAATTCTTCCCCCATTGGAATAGATTTCCCTTAGAGTCAATTGCACAAGCAGACTGGTCGCCCAACTTCACATCTCTCAGCAACATGCCATCGAAGAATGGTACTCTCTTCAATATCGTCTGAAATTTCACCTTCTTATCCGCTGAAATGATCCCGTACTCATTTGATCCACATACATACAATCCGGGAACAGTTGAGTCATTTGGATCAGTGATTGCCAGTTGTTGCTTCAGCTCTTGCTTCTTTTTCAGGTCGTACCTAGCTTTTGCTTCTTGGTCAGCCATTTCCGATTGGAAACCTGAATGACCAGTTATCTTAGCCCTAACCCAGCCATAATTGTTGTAAACTTGAAAAGCCCCAATAGCTCCACCAAATGCAGCAATTCCCAATAAAACTGCTTTGTACCGTTGCTGAGACTCGTACTTCTGTTGTTGGTCCTTAGGCACCTCGTGGTGTGCGGCCGGGTCAAACTTGTACTCCTTAGGTGGGCCACCGGAGTTGAACCGGAGCCCTAAGCAAGCTACAGATCTCGGGGTACGCCTCGTGATCACCTTGAGCATTTGTATGGTACTACGTGTAGTCTTGGAGGCAAACAGCGTCTTGAAAAAGCTAGACAATATTTTACTTGCAGTCGCCTGAAAAGCACTTTGTCGTGGCCGGGCTAAACTCATATATGGGTGAGACACGCTTTCTCCGCCTCAAGTTCACTCCACGTAAAGCATTCTCTAAGCCGTTGTAACTCTTTTTATACCACACGATTAAGCTCAATATGTACACTTCTTCTTTCAAGTTTGGGGCCCAGGCCTGCAGATTCTCCCGCCAATTTTCTACAACGGTGCCGAAATTCGTTTCTCCCAAGTTCGACTCACGGAAATTCGTTCAACTGCTGCAGAACAGCGGGTTCTCGCAACCTCAATCGGAAACCGCAGTCAAGATTTTTAGCAGTGCCATTAACGATGCCATTTCACTGTATGGATCCAACCTGATCACCAAAGAGACCATGTCCAAGATGTCATACCAGCAAAAGGTCGACTTTGCTAAACTCAAGGGCGAGCTCCAGATGATTGACAAGTCAGACTTCAACAACCTTTTGTCGCAGCATGAAAGACTACGCAATGACCTTGAGAAGGTGAGACAGAAACTACGCGAAGAGATAAACCGCAGTTTGAGTTCGGTGCGGTTGGATCTGAATCTCGAAAAGGGAAGAATAAGAGAAGAATCGTCCATCTACGACCTTAAGATCAAAGAGACGGATACCAGGATCGATGAGGAAATCAGTAACATCAAGGTCCAGATAGAGAGCGTCAAGACCCAGGTGATACAATGGTTGATTGGTGTTTGTACAGGTACATTTGCGTTGGTTCTGGCCTACGTAAGGTTGATGACGTAATTTTACGTAATATTAATGAATCTGGCATCTAGGTTTAAAAAGTGGATAAGCTGCAGTGAGGTTTGCACAGCATGTAGTTGCAACGGCTTCAAAGAACGAAAAACTCCATTTAAAGGTCAAACAATTCCTTCAGGATCTTAGCGGTGTCATCTGGAGAGTTGACGGCATGGCCAATGGTTCTGGAATCCTCGTAGATCTCGTAGTCGTTACCACCCTTGTAGGACTTGTCACCGAAGAAATGAATCTCTTCGAAACCTTCCTTCTCAACGTGTTGCAAACAGTAGGTCTTATCCCAACCAGTTGGGAATACGTCAAAAGAAATCTGACCACCAATGGAGTAGGTCAATGCCAAGTCTGAGAACTCGGCCTTGAGGGCCTCGACCATCTTGGCTCTGACCTTGTGCTCAAGGTCAAACTTCTCGTAGATGTTTCTCTCCTCAGTAGAGGCATTTCTACCAACTGGAGAAACATTGATCATTCCGTTTCTGAACTCAATGAAAGTTCCACGTCTGAATGGAAGATCGAGATCGGCAAAGTATCTGAGGATGAACTTGACCAATTCGTTGTACTTGGCCTCGCCGATCCATTCAATGAAAGACTGCGATGCAAGCTTGTTGCCAAGCTTGTAAGCGGTCAAACCGTTCTCCGAGAAGCAGAAGTCAAACTTCTCCAAAACATCGTCGCCAAGTTGCTCGACTTGCTTGCTCAGGTCGGAACCACCGACAAAACCAATGACCACCTTCTTTCTGAGGTCCTTGAGCAGCTGGTCCATCTCCGAAGAGATCTCCAGTCTAGCTGGCGTCAGGGTGCCGTCCACGTCGAAGAGGACAAGTTTCTTTGGGTAAGTTCTATCAGCGAAATCAGACATTGTTAAAAGGTTGGGTTTTTTTTAATTCAGCGAAAAGAAGAGAAAACAAGGATGTTCGTCTTGACTGCTGGCGTGTCCTCTGTACAAATTTGGCAAGATCGACGCGGCCTGAAATTTTTGGCAGACAGTTTCCGATTTGGGACCGGGCCACAGGGTCATGGGATTAAAGCAGGATGCAGTGGGATTTTGAGGTTTTGAAAGAGACCAGCAGGTTTAGCCATGTGTACTATATATGAAATAATTCCGAAAGTTGGCTTTCAATGGTTTTCGGAGAAGGTGAATGAGGTCTGATTCCAGCTCCCAGTAAGCTTTTTGGTGACTGCAGGAGATAGAGATGCGGCTGTATAAAATACTGGCTTGCCTGGATAAGGCAGTTTTTAATCCAGAGTATCTGCAGCTTGAGTTCTTGGGTTATGATCAGCAAATATTGTTGCCTTCTGGGTTATACTTTGTATTTTTGGAATAGTGTTAGGGTTTGGGTGTCACTTCAAGCTCAAGATGGATGTTGGTACTAGTTGCGCTTCCAAAAGGGGACGAGTTTTCATCAGTACCCTAACTCTGGTCAAGGTCAGGAAAATTGGAAACAGCCAGACCCTGAACAAGGTCTGCCTTACATTTTGCTTTTCGATAGACTACCTATCACTTTTGACTGCTCTACAATAATTCCAATCGAAAGACCTTACTTTTTATACACCTAAAACTTAAGCAAAGAAAGCTGGGAACTCTTTCAAGTTGTTGGCCAAAGGACCCTTGGTGGTCAAAAACTTGACGTAAGCACCGTCGTCCTTGACCTCACCGTTCTCACGCTTGGTCAAGTACTCGTCACGGTTCAGGTTGGTGAAACCCCACTTCTTGGAAATGATGATTCTCTGTTGACCTGGGAACTTGTATCTGGCTCTTCTGAGACCCTCGATAACAACAGCCTTGTTGGACTCCTTGGTTCTAACGGACATCAAGACCTGACCAATGTCAACTCTGGCGGCCAAACCGTGGGGCTTACCCCAGGCTCCTCTCATACCTTGTTGCAATCTATCGGCACCGGCACACGACAACATCTTGTTGATACGCAAAACGTGGAATGGGTGGACTCTGATTCTCAAGTGGAAAGCATCTCTTCCGGAGATCTTGGTGATGTACTTGTTGGCACAGATACGGGCGGCTTCAAGGGCCTCCGAGGACAGCTGCTCCAACTCGTTGGAAACCAAGTGGACACAGAGAGGGAACTCGTCAACGGCAGCCTTCTTACGACCAAGATCATAGATTCTGATCTTGGCGTCTGGAACACCACGGTTGTATCTAGACTTTGGGAAAGGTTTGTTCTTACAGTATCTGTAACAACGAGCTGGTCTTCTAGCCATTTTGAAAACTGGTAAAGCGGTTAGTAAAATGTAATTTGGAAATCCGAGAACCGACTGAGAGTGGAGCAAGGGCTTAGGCTTTGTTTCTCACAAATCGCCATCTTCTATAAGTGAGATAGATCCAGCGTGGCGAGTCGCTTCTTCAAGGAGACTTTTCTCTCGATTTGTAATCAACGTCTCTTTGCGAGACACCCAGGAGCAGAAAAGACGCCGATTAAATACCTTGAACGCCTAGCCCAATAAATTCCCCTCAACAGTCGTATTCTTCTCGTCATAATATCATGGTTTAACATACAATTTGTCTGTGGATATAGGATGAAGGTATTGGAACGGGTGGTGAAAGAGAAAGTTGGCCTTCATTACAAATGAGGTCCTGGAGATGGGAAGTGTAGCTTAACCATTACCTGTTTGGGGAAATTTTTCTGTGACTGCTAAAAATGCGCACCGCCACTCTAATAAGGTATTGCACGACCGAAATTAGCCACATTAGTAATATATTATGTAAGCTGTGGCTGGGAATGATCTTATCAATTTCTTTAGAAATTTTTTCTGCCTAGATGCAAGTCTTCCTTACTTAGCTTGCAACTTTTCTACGCTCCAAATTTGCACACAATGGGTAGATACTCGGTGAAAAGATATAAGACAAAGAGAAGAACTAGAGATTTAGATCTCATACACAATGATCTGTCTTCTGCTGCTTCCATACAAAGCTTGAAGAACCAAGCCATAGATGAGACCAAGGCCGGACTAGGACAGTACTTTTGCATTCACTGTGATAAGTATTTTCAAGACAACGCTGCACTTGCGGCTCATCTCAAGTGCAGACCTCACAAAAGAAGGGTCAAGGAGCTGAGTGTGAAGCCATACACGCAACTTGAGTCTGACGCCGCTAGTGGAACCAACCTCAACACATTCGTGAAGGTGACACAGAAATACCATGCCGACGAACCAGCGCGATTGCAGATGGAGACCGAATTGCTTTCCGGATTGGTTGAGGAAAACAAAGCCAAAGAAGCGAAGTTGGCGGCACAGCTGCAAGCGCCAGTCACTGATGAGATCGAGATGTCATCTTAGATCTTGGACATCAAATGGCAAGCCGTCTCTTATAATGACGTGACCCTTTGTTTGGCTCGAATGACCACATTGAACGTAAATGTTCTTCTCGTCGTGTGGATGGAACCCCTTTTTGTTGCAGTTTGCAATAGTGGGAATTCCTGGTGGATCCGTAAGTCGGTAGATGCCCATCTGGTCAAACTTGGGTGCACAGACTATGGCAATGGCCTCGTTCAACATCACCTGGTATGAATGGTGCGTGTGAAGATCAACGGATGACATGAAACAGGACTGTGTTGGATGGGTGTGTATCCATCCTAGCACAAAAATTCCCAGCGAATCAACTACCCCAAACACTTTGTCCTCGTTCTTGGTGGTGCAAGTGTTGGGCGTGCAGTCTTGATCAGGTATTATTAGATGCGTGACAAAATAAGCATTCCGAGAAAGTTTTCCACATAGCATACCACACGTTTCTAATTTGCGAGAGGTGTTCTTTTTGGCTAGTTTGAGAAAGGTTGATTGGAGAGAAGAGGGAAGGAAAATGGTTCTCATTGGTGATCCTCCCTCCGTGAAATTTGTTGTTTTATGCTGAAGTTCATCTTGAGATGTAAAATCTATCGTCTTCGGTTCATCCAGTTTCTCCTTTGGTGGAAGCTCTGGAGCTGATGGTTTCGCTGTTGGCAGATCATACATAAACCTTTCATCGGGCCGATGTTCGGTGTATGACGGTATGACTGGGTAGGTGGGTAGAGTTTGTATATTAGCAGTTGCATTGTTGAAAGAATTTTTATCGTTGAAACCAAGCTCTCTGAGGCTTTTGAGTAGTTTTTGATCGTTATCCGAGGGGCTCTTGAAGGAAGGAGATACTGATTGAGGCTTAGTTGATGATGATTGAAGATCCCATTGCCGCTGCCTCTGCTCCTGCTGTTGTTGTGCTGCCCTTTTCGCCTCCAATTCCCTCTCTGAAAGATGCTTCAAGTAAGCTTCGTGCTTCTCGTTGATAATGGCTTTGAAATTCTCGCACTCCTTCATTATCTCTGGGATCTTGGCCTTCAGCCGTAGATAGTCACCATAGACTTTCCCATCCTTGGATGTCTTATCCACCGAAAATGCATTTTTATAGATACCTATCTCCGGATGCGAGTAAAGATGTGTCAGCATTAGATTGAGAAATCGCACGTACAGCTTATACGCCTCCTCGTAGTACTTCTGTACTGCATAGGAGTGGGCATGGTGTAGCATTCTAGAGGAGGTGATCACCCACATCTGGAATGGCGTATGCGAGGAGTAATCATAATTACTAGCATCCTGAGCCAGTTCTTTGGTGGACCTGGGAAGAGACATGAACAAAATATGATCAGAAGATGGTTGTCAATTGCCTTCAAACGTTTAGGTTACTAACAAGTGATATATAGACCTTGATATCGAAGCCACCCAAACTCCTGTCACGTGAGTGTGGCCATATATTGGTTTGAGCACGATCAATCTTCTTAGGGGCGTTATCTGTTTCTCTACGTTTCAGATAACCGCCAAAACAGAGTAACCATTGAAGTGTTCGATATGAGAATAAAGCTAAAAACTGGAGGGAGCCAAGCTATTGTATCTTTGGCTGATGATGCCACTTTGAAAGATCTGTTTTCTGAGATATCTGGTATTCCACAAGTAATCAAGTTTGGGTATCCTCCCCGGACTCTGGACACTTCTGATGTGTCTGCAAAACTTTCAGTTTTGGGAATCAAGAATGGTGAGATGCTAATTGTGAGTTTGGACACAGAGACAAAGGATGTAGAGCCCGTGGCGGCACCGGTGAAGCCGAGTGCGAAACCTGTGGATGCTTCAGATGACACACCATATATCACCCTAGGCCCCTCTTTGTTCGTGTTGCTCCGGAAGATTCCCGATGACAATTCGTGCCTTTTCAATTCAATCGTATATCTTGTGTTTGGGGCATCATCTGTGGATGATCCTTTCAATGCTGCAAATCTGAGATCGGTGGTTGCGTCTACGGTGATAGAGAACTCACTGGGACTATATGATAAGGCTACACTGGACGGGAAGTCTACTCATGAGTACGGAAGTTGGATCAAGCAGCCGACTTCGTGGGGTGGTGCCATTGAACTTCAAATACTGGGCGACTATCTTGGGGTTTCTATTCTCACTGTTGATGTGGAGACCGGTAATCAGTATTGGTTCAACGAGTCTGCGTCCAACTTCATTGCGGTTCTCTATTCCGGTATCCACTACGATGCAATCACGTTTCAAACTCAGGGAGAAGAAGTCCACACTTTTGTGAAGAATTCTGATGCTGGCAATCAGATGATTGAGGGGGTTTCCAAACTGAGTTCCAGTCTGAAGCAACAGGGCTACTTTACCAATACGTCCAGCTTCAAGATCCAGTGCGTGGTATGCGGAGAGAAATTAAAAGGTGATAAAGATGTGTCTAAACATGCAAAACTGACCGGACATTACGAATTTGACGAAACTAAATAGTGCCATAATCAACGGTTTTCTGGTCTCCTCTGTACTTTTTTAACTGCTCAGCACCTACTCACTCCAACCAAGAGATGTCAACTCAGCTCTGACCTTTGGCTCCGTCTCGATCTTCAAAACCTGGGTGTCTTCTAGATGTTCCCCGTCGATCTGCTTCGCTTTCAGCTGCTCAATGGCCCTCAGCTTTTTCAACAAGGACCGGATCTTCTTATCCTCTAAAGACGAGACACCACCAATAACGAGAGTGTCAAGTTGAGGAACTTCTGGTGCACTCTCAACTTCTGGAGAAGCGGTAGATTCCTTTTCTTTCTTAGCCAGTCTCTTCTTTCTGTTCTTCAATGCTGCCTTGGATTCAATGGGCAATCCCGGTGGTAGAACTGGCTTAGCACCTGGGATGACTTTCTGCCTGGGCTGGGATGCCAGTTGAGATGAAGTCATTGGTTGAGGCTGACTAGCATCGTTCATTAGTTTTTCCTTCTGCCATAACGTCGTGGACTGGGCTGGAGCAGCAGAGTTTCTTGCATGGGGAGGTCTGTATGCTCCACTTGGTTTGGCTACTCCAGACGCATTTCCTGAGCTCTTGTTCCTCTTAGCCAAATATTCAACAGCCGATTGGTGAGGCTCGCATGCAATCTCTGTCTTCTTAATGCCAGGGAAAAGAGCCAGATCTTGGGGCAGCCAGTTCACACTCACTAGCTCGGTGTGTTCTTTGACGTAGCATAGCTTCCCGGAGGCATGCCAGATCTTAACACCGTTGTCAACCCTGAGCCTTGGGGAAGTGGTAGCAGTCAAGATGTAGCGTCCATCCGGAGACCACTTGCAAACCGAAGTGTTGGAGGCCTGGAACGATGTGATCTTGGCAAACTTGTCCTGACGGTCGTAGATGTCAACAGTACCTTGGAGGTTGCCGAACCCGGCCACCAACACGTATTTGGCATGAGGAGAGAAGAGGATGGTATTTCTCGAATCCTCGGGAAAGGAGAATATCGAGTCACCTCTGGAGTCAAAAAATGTAGTCTTTGCGGGCATGTAGCCATAGACCACACCAAATTCTCTTCCGGTAGGACTCCAAGCAAGGTCGTGAATTGGACCTTCTTTATTCAGGGTGATTCTTTGGTCAAAAGAGCCAGCAATTCCCAGCAAATAAAGGGTTGTCTCACCGTAGTAAGACTTGTTAGATGAGTCCACATCAGTGGAAACGAGAGCCAAAAGAGAGGTTCCCAGGGCATTCCATGTGAACTGGCACCTTTCTCCCTTGAAGAATTGTTTCTGGGAAACAGGCTTCTTGAAGTTTGTCACAGAGTAGACACGAATACTAGCAGGTTGTCCCTTCTGTTCTGGGATGAAAATCGCAACCGAAGGGTTCTTCCCCGGTGAAACGTTGAACGACTGAATTTTTCCAATTTCTTTCACCGATAGAGTATCAACAGGTTTGTCCAGCTTAATAGTGTCAGCTCCAAGCTTGTAGAAACCAATCTCTGATTGGTTCAAAACCTTCGTCATCAAGGTTTCTTCGCCCGTGAATTGTGGTGACCAGCCGGTCTGATTCTTGGAACTGTACTCAGTGATCAGTTTCACATCCGTAGGGTCTTCTTTTGGGATTCTCCAGATCTTGACGTTATCATTCCAGTTACCAAACTCGTTCTTAATAGGTTTGGACCAAGTGCACAGGTAAGAACCAAGCGGCGAGAATAGGAGGTCGAAAACGTCCTGTACCTCGATCTTTTTCACAATCGCACCCGTGTTGACATCCACCAAAACCACAGACTGGGGCTCGGAAAATGCAAATATCTTCCCACTGGGGGAATACTGGGATGCCTTGCAATCTGGCTTTTCAGTGGTGGTCTCGAACTTCGAGTCAAACTGAGGTTGGCCGTTTATCAGCTCTATCGACTTTGGTTGTCGGCCTGGGAGGTTGGGTTAGCATTTGGGGCTTCGGCTTGAAGGCGATTCCTTGGGAAGTAACATACAATAAAACTGTGTGGTTGCCATATTGGATTTTTCAAAATCGGGATCAAAGACCGGGCGGGTGTGTTGGACAAGCCTGGGTTCTTAACTGGACGAGTATCCACACCGACGACTGGAAGAAACACCAAAATCGGTTTAAGAATAGGCACGTGACTTCTTTTTTGTAGTGTGGGAACTAATAACTGTTTTCAGTCGTGTAGAGCTCGAACATCTCTCAGAATCTTGTCTGATTAACTGAACAGTCTACAATTTAACACAGTGAACTCAAGCTGAAATTTGTTAGAAGCTAGATTCTATGCATCTATACAAAGATGTGCAAAGCACCAATTCTAGTTATAACTTGCTAGCAAGTTATTCGTAGATCCAGCTGTACAGGGTTGGCTTGTAGTCAACCAACTCCTCCTTCTTGAACCAAAGAGCAATCTCCTTCTCAGCGGTCTCAACAGAGTCGGAACCGTGGATGATGTTTCTGCCCATGTCGACGGCAAAATCGCCTCTGATGGTGCCTGGAGCGGAAGCCAATGGGTTGGTAGCACCCAACAAGATACGGCCCTGCTTGACAACATCCTTACCTTCCCAGACGGTGGCCAAAACTGGACCAGACAACATGTAAGACAACAAGGATGGGAAAAATGGCTTGCTCTGCAAGTCAGCGTAGTGCTCTCTCAGCAATGGCTCGTTGGCCATGGTGAGCTTGATGGCAACCAATTTGTAACCCTTGTTGAAAAATCTGGAGAGGATTTCTGGGAACAAACCTCTCTGGACACCATCTGGCTTGACGGCAATGAAAGTTCTCTCGGTGTTAGACATTTTTAGAAAGTTTTGTGGTGGGGTCCAAACTTGACTTGATGATCTGGCCAATAAAGAGAAGAAAATTTCCCACGTCGACCTCTTGAAAATCTCTTGGTAGTGCACACGTCAATGCGATTTCCGGTTCGGGCAATTCGACTGAAATGCAGATTGTTTGCGGCGGGTAATCTGTGAGACACTACCTGTCTCTGATTGGACCGGAAGGGCCGCTCGCGATCAAGCTGGTCCATTTGGCGAACACATGTACTTACAAATTCAGCCAAGAGACGAAACAGATTTTTCCAACCTTTTTTTGTTTGTGTTTAGTCTCTCAATATCAAGCCAAAATACTTCTGAGCCTTGCGGCTGATTCGGGTGTCGTCGCCTCACGTTCTCTCTGATCCTGAAATGACTTCAAACCATCGGCCCTTGACTTCGGAGAACCTTCAAAAGAACAACAATTCTCTTACTACCGCGGATGGTTCGGCTCAGACCACCATTTACAGCGCAGAATCAGGGTCCACAATCGTTGCTCCTTCCACCCCCGAAAACTTCAACAGCAAATCCACGGTGAGATATGCCCGGCTGAATTGGTCTTCTGAGGAAGACTTGCTATTGCTGCAGAACGTGATATCCAACCGTGAAAAGCTGAACGAAAATGGGTCTAGAACAGGAAAGTTTTGGGAGTTAATAGCAAGCGAGTTCAGTATGTCCAGATCTCTGAGCAGATCTGACAGGCAATGCAAAGACCGCTTTTACGTGCTATTTCGTCGGCCATATTATACTCACAAGGGAAAGCATCTGAGGCCTATAGATGTGCAGATCGAACAGCATTTGGCCGAAGCTAGGAATCTTTTTGCAGTTGATGATGGAATCAAGATCTTGACAAAAGGAGCGTCTCTTTCTGGCCAATCATCGGAAACCTCGGTGATGGGAATGGGTGAGCCGTTGGTTCCTCCCAATTCGGCCTCATATTCTGGGGAAGGCAGCGACAGCAGCAATGCTAAAAGAAGCGCTGATTTCGAAATGCCATTAGAGCCGCTACCAACCAGAAGGAAATTGAATAGCAGCCTGGACATGAGCGATGATTCGTCGTTTGAAGACAGGCATTTGGATGCGGATTCTGCGTTGAGGAGGGGACCTCCTAGAAGACTGTCTCCGCTGTCCGAGTTTGCCAGATCTGTTAGGGATGCTTCCGATCAGCTTCAGCGTGAATTTAACAGGAAGGATATTGACTCGAAACAGGCGATTTCCTTGATTGGTCCTATTGCCGAGTCGTTGTCTTCCATTGGAGCAGATGTAGAGGACATGAAGGAGCAAGCATCAGATGTCAATGCAAGAATTGATGCAGTGAAACAGACTATGCTAGATTCTTTAGAAGATCTGAGACGTGAGCTTGAGGAACGTGATCAGAGGATATTTGAGGAGCTCAAGGCCATAAAACAGAAAATGGCATTATACGCAGGCTCCGGATCTGCTCTTCCGCCTCCTTCCAGGTCTTCCTCCGTCTCTTTGAGTATACAAAAGATGGACAGCAACTTTGGAAACTTTCCAATATTGCCCGGTGCTGCTGAAGGCTTTCAACAACAACAGCAGCAGCAGCATTTATATGGGCAACTTCAACCCAACGCTTTTTCGTCGTCCTCGAGGAACATAGGTCCTAGTGGGACAATGGGGCCCTTGGACGGGGATGGGGGTAATAATGCTGGGTAAATCAGATTATTTTCAGATATCAAGGCTGATTGAGAATTTTGCAGCTTTCTTACAGGTCTCACTCTGCTTTTAGCGAACCTTGTGCTGTTTTTAAGATGCTCGCCGTTGGAGGCATATTGTTCATGTGGTTTAAAAAGTGGCCTCCACAAAGGGTTTGGTGTTTGGTTTTTGCGTCTTTCATAAACGATTGATATTCTAGTTTCTATGGTCGAGCCTTTGTATGAGGCATAGGTGTATATTCGTTTGAAATTGTCGTAGTGTCGTAAATGCTGCATCGAGAAGAGGAGGACGTGAGAGAGATGATGATGATGGAAGGAGGACATGAGAATGTGATGAAAAGAGTAAGAGAGGTTCATTAAAAGTAACCAACAAGGTATTTACAACAAAGATTCAAAAAAGGAGAAAAGGGAGATGACTAAAAGATTTATGACAAAGTAATAGAGATAATGAGAAGAGACTTGGGATAAAGTGAGAGAGAAAGAGAGAGGGAAATGAGCAGAATCATAGATACAACCTTTGGAAAAACCTTGGATTCAGCTCAGCAGAACCTTAGGCCTGCCTCAAAGTGATAATTGCTTTCTTTGCTGTTCTTTGGCCCATCTTGCGGTATCCTTTGTAGCCTGGGAGAACATTGGGTGGTTCTTGGTCTTTTTGATGAAATCAGAGACCCATTCCTGAGCGTACACCTCTTTTATTTCACCATTTGGATACATTGCAGCCAGGTCACCAATCAGTCCCACAGCTGATTTGCAAACACCATCTGAACTGGACATCTGAGGATCAGAGTAAACCGTCATCAGGAAAGTGAAGATCTGGGAAATGAAAGGAAGAATAGCCTGAGGATACTCTCCCAAGCCGGAGATTATCCCGACATAGGTATCCAAAACAGATTCCTTGACTTGCAAAACATAGTCTTCCGTTTCGATCGATCCATCATCTGGTTGTATACTCTGTGCCTGTGAACAGATGGCCATCACTGCCTCCAGGTATTGAATGAAGTTGGAACCAACAGAGGAAGCAATGTCACCAATTGCAGAAAGCACCAATGGTCTGAGCTCACGTCTGATATTTGTCTTTGAGAATATATTTCCCAAAATGCTCATCAGACCCTGACAGTATTTGTTGATGTCTTCTCCCAAAGAATGGGAAACATCCACAATCAGTCCAATGGCAGCGTCGCAAACAGGAGAATCCGTGTTTTCCAGAGCCTTGGTGAGGAATGGAAGAAAGGATGGCATGTACTTGTCGAAGTGTTGGTCGATCTGAGAGGCTATTGCACTGATTGTGATGAAGATATCCTCTTCGATGACAGAATTTGGTTCCTGAGAAGCAGCCAGTCTCAGCAATTTGTCCATCAGATCGTCTGAAGCTCCGAGAACATCGCCTCTCACTCTTCTAATGATATTTGTCAAAAGACTTAAGATATTGGCCTGTTCTTCTTGCAACGTTGCTTTTTCCTCGTTTGTGGTAGCCTGTGGCTGCAGTCCAATGGTAGTCCCGAGTCTCTCCATCACGATTGAGGCAACTTCGTTCACGAATTGCATCACATCGTTTGGGGCAAGTAGCACCATGGCCGAAAGCGCCTCGTACGCAGATGTTTTGGCTGAATACTCGTTGTCGCTTCTTCCAGATACGGTCACAAGTGCTGGGACCAGTAAATGGTAGTACTGAGACATTGGAGTGGTTTCGGGAGCAGGTTGCTGACCACATAGCTGCTCTACGAGATTGATGAGAGTCCAACAGCAGTTTGTAGAGACCTTGGGGTGGTCTTGAAGCCCCTGTAAAATGGCCTCAATTACCTGTGGCAAAGCCGCGTTGATATCAATCGCGTCGATCACCAAATCGGCGATACGCCCAAGACACCACGCCACGGTCTCCTTGACCTGAAGAGTTGGGTCCTTCATCAGGTTCAAAATCGGGGCCAAAGCCTGGGCAATCAACCCCTTGAGCTGCGTTCTATCTGGGCCGTCCAATATGGAGCCAAAAGCCATCACCGCTGCCTCACGCTTCCTCCAGTCAGACTCAGAAAGATTCTGTTCAACAAACTGAAGAGTAGGCTGAACAACATAGTTCTCGGTGTTCTGCGCAAATAACTGGAGACAAGCACCAGCAGCCATTGCAACTGACCAATCATCATCCTCGGGATCCTCATTTTGCCTAGTTAACAGAGTCAGCAAAGTGGGGAGAACATCCTGGATTGCCACAAGAGCAAAATTGTAAGACGACAGTTCGTCAGCAGAAGCAGGGTCATATTCCTTTTGGGCAGCGATCTCAAGTTCTTCTTCGCAGACAGTGGACCAAAACTCGACAGCCATACAGGCCACCTTCTCGTCCTGGCTCTGCATCCCCGAGACTGTGAGACCGTAGAGAGCTTTCTCCATGTAGACGCTCATGTATTGGTAGTACAAACTCATTATCTTTGCAAGAGCACCAAAAGCACTGGCCTGGAGTTCTGTGTCCTCGGCCTGAGTAGCCTCACACACAACTTGCATGATGTAGTTGCGTTCTCCCTCACGCTGGAAATTGTTCCCAATGAACTCGAGCGAGTCCACAAGTGCCTTGATAGCAGTCAGTCTAACAACAGTAGAAGGCTCAGAAGACTGGGCGCCTTGAACAATTGCAATGAGAATCCCGTTGGCTTGGGCAGCAACACCAGCGTTGTTGGGGTCAGCAGTCTCACAGATGTAACCAATGGTTAGCAGAGAGGCTCTTTTCACGTTTACTGGCTGGCCAGCTTTTGTGTTTTCAACAATTATGTGCATCAACTCCGACCATTCTGAGCGCGGCAATTCGATATCCGCAATGGCAGCCACCAGTTGGGCCGCTGAATTCGCCACACGATCATCCTGTGAAAGCAACGACTGCAATGCGGTCTCCTTGATCTGGGCCTTGGCCTGTGAATCCAGCGAAATCCAGCGCTGGGCCTGTTCTAGCTTTTTGGTGGAGTCCTTAGCAGCCAGTTGGTTCTTCAGGGCGATTCCGGCCAGCATCCGAACCTCAGTTTTCTGGTTGGCGTCGGCCAGTGCCTGTGTCAAAAGCCCCAAGTAACCAACAAAGTTGTGGGTGGCAGCATTTTCTAGCTGACGCTCAGCCTCAGATCTGATTGCCGGGTCAGGACTGAGAATGGCATTCTCAAGCACTTGTCCGATGTCCATAATTCGTGCTGTGCAAAGTTGTGGGTGGTTAAGGTAAAGCTTTGGTGATTTGGCACAATTAGGCGAGTCGGTAGCCAGGTGAAATTTCTTGTGGTATTAGGATTAAAAGCAGTGTAACAGTACACACTTTTCGGGATCCAACGGGCTTCCAAAAGTACGATCTGTGCAAAGGTATAGACAGTGATGGCCGTATGCTGAAGAAGACCTTGCCAACCACAACAAACAATGTTCACGGAGAAAAGATTTTGTTAGTCGTGTGTATACTTATTGGTATTTGCACGAAAAATGAACATCTTTCTCCAGATTGTCCGATCCAGATCAATTTGGTAGTGGAACCATCCTAATTGTAGCCGCAAAAAGCTGAGAGTGAGGCGATTGTTAATTGTGGCTAATTGGCGGGTAGATAGGAGTAGTCTCCAATGGTTTTATGTAGCGTACGAGGTTACCCAAGGTTGCAAAAGCGATGATGTTTTTTCTAAATTCACTGGCTTTAAGTATGTATAATGGTGTATTAAATTTCACTCTCTTGGGCGTTACCGATTTCCCACCCTTCTTCTGGCTGACCGGAATCTTTCTAGCTGTGGAGTAAGTCTGTTAATCAGGTTTTCCAGCTACCCATCTTTTATTCACAATCACGTAAATCAGTCATGTCATCTTTTTTTGCCAAGCGGAGTGTAGTTCTGCACCAAGTAGTTATTTCCCTCCATAGCCTTGTTTCAACATCGGACTGCTTTCGGAATAACGAGGACGGCAAGATCCTTTAGCATGCACTTCCTACTTACACAGCCTTTATTTTCAAATCACTGAAATATTTTACAAGCACTGAATCATATCAGAAAATCCTCTCGACTGATCGGATTTACCTTACTCAGACACCGGAAGCACAATAACCACCCTAACAGTTTCCCTCTCAATCGTCCATTGCTAGTTTGACTCCCTAATTGAAGCAGCGGCGGTCCAGACAGCAAAGACATAGTGTGGATAGAAAGAATGCAATGGTTAGGGAGCAACTGTGTGCAATAAGGGCTCCACAAAATTTAATGGGGCTCAAGTTGATTGCCGGTGTGAAGCAATCATATTTCAGACCTGAAAAACTTGGAAATCCCACATTTTCTAGATTTATCTAAAAGCCCGGAATTGTGGATCAAGTAACCACTTATCTACCTGGAGAGAAAACACAATATGTCGTGGTGGCTTATGGGATATTGGTACTTTTGCAAGGTTTGAGTACAAATTTCGTGCCCAGTCCCTCAGGCCATCCGAATTGCCAAGTAGTTCAGCTATCAATCAAATCCTCTCTTCATATATATATATGCCAAGGGTTCTTCTTTTTTTACGATAAGCTGAAGCGCCCGTGCACTCTTGGCAGACTAAAATCAGCATAGCCTCGATGGGTCTTGCATGCCAAGGGTTTTTTTCCCCGGTGCACACTAAGCAAGCCGTACGCCATATAGATAAAGGGTCCTCTCGCAAATTTCATCAGTCTCACACAATTCTTAGCAAAACTAGTGCAAAACTAGTTCGAAACTAGTGCAGAGAATTGTACTGACGTATTGTGACTCCTGTGTGTCAATCTGCTGCTTCTATAAGATAGGTCAAACAACCTTCATCTTTTAGAGATCTGTGTGAGATCTCAAACCAAGCATCTACGCAAAACAGATATGGATCCAACAACATCCACCGCTGGTGGCCATGCTAGCCGATTTTCACTATCGCCTGCCGATCTTTCGGGTGTTTTAGACCCAAAGTCCATCAGGGCTTTACTCAAATTGGGCGGTATCGAAGGTCTGGTGGCTAAACTCGCTACAGACAGAAGCAAGGGTTTGAGCGCGTCAGAGGACTTGAGTCTGCGCAAATCGCAATATGGTGAGAATTTCTTACCACCAAAAGTGTCTAGATCGTTTCTGGGGCTTTGCTATGATGCCATGAAGGACAAGATCTTGATTATGCTTTCGGTTGCGGCTGTGGTGTCACTGGCTCTTGGATTATACGAGACTTTTGGCCAGCCCGCAGAAATCGACTCAGAGGGAAAGAAAGAGCCAAAAGTCGAGTGGGTCGAAGGTGTTGCCATTATCGTTGCAATTGTGATTGTAGTGGTGGTTGGTGCCGTCAATGACTACAATAAAGAACGTCAGTTTGCCAAACTGAACTCGAAGAAGGAGGACAGAACTGTGGTTGTAATCCGCGACTCCAGCAAAGTCGTTATTAGCATCAAAGACGTTGTTGTTGGAGATCTTCTTGTTTTGGAAGTTGGTGATGTCATTCCGGCTGACGGTATTCTGGTAGATGGTACTTGCGAGTGTGATGAGTCTTCTCTTACAGGTGAAACCAACACGATTATCAAAGTCCCTGCTGATGTTGCTGAAAATTGGATTCACAACCAAACAGACGATAGCCTTGATCTCGGAATCAAGGGTTGTCCTGATCCAATGGTGATCTCTGGATCCAAGTTGTTATCTGGCCAAGCCACTGCTCTTGTTGTCAGTGTTGGTGAACACTCCCTTCACGGGAAGATAATGAGCTCGCTTCAAATCGAAACTGAAGAAACGCCTTTACAGGTGAGATTGAATGGGCTTGCTGATGGCATTGCTAAGTTCGGTCTGATTGCTGCATTGATCCTGTTCATTGTGCTCTTCATCAAGTTTTGTGTCAGTTTGAACGGCGAGTACAAGAACTTCACTGGTCCTGAGAAGGGCACCAAGTTCTTGAATATTCTGATCACAGCTATCACGATTGTTGTTGTTGCAGTTCCAGAAGGTCTTCCTTTGGCAGTGACATTAGCACTTGCTTTTGCTACCACCCGAATGGCCAAAGATGGTAATCTTGTCCGTGTTTTGAAAAGTTGTGAGGTAATGGGCGGTGCCACAGCTGTTTGCTCTGATAAGACGGGAACTCTGACTGAGAACAAAATGAAGGTTGTAAAGGGACTCGTTGGCACTGCCAGCTTCGATGATACTCACAACAATAGCTCCATCGCTAACTCCCCAGCAGTCATTCAAGAGACGAGCAATGATCTGATTAACTCCTTAAAGGATAATATACTTCTGAACTCAACGGCATTTGAGACTGTTGAAGAAGTCGAGGACGAGGTCGCTGCTCCCACTGGGTTGTTTTCCAAATTCAAAAAGCCCACTGAGGAGAGAAAAACTGAAAAAACTCCTTACGTGGGGTCCAAAACCGAGTCTGCTTTGTTGATTTTTTCCCAGAACTTTCATGATTATTCTAAGCAGAGTCTGAGTGAGTTTAGAAGGGTTAACTCGGACAGGATAGTCCAGGTCATCCCATTCGAAAGTTCTAGAAAATGGGGAGGAATAGTGGTAAAGACTTCCTGGGGTTTCAGACTCTACATTAAAGGAGCCGCAGAACTGGTTTTTGACCGTTGTAAGTCAAGAATTGCGGAAGGCGGAGAGGTGAAGGCGATAACGAGCGACTCTAAAGCTAAGATTGACTCCACGATCAACTCGTATGCGGAGGGAGCTCTGAGAACGTTAACGCTGGCCCATAGAGATTTCAAAGGTGTATCTGATTGGCCACCCAGAGAACTTAGACAAAGTGGTCTGAATATTGAGGCTAAGCCGATTGCAGATCCTGAACTTTTATTTGGTGAAGTCACGGAGAGGGAAACCTTAGATACTAACGAATCACGGGAGCAGGGTGTCCCAATGATCTTTGTTGGAAACGAAGTAGACTCTGCCACCGAGTCAAATGATGGCCTGATTTTGGATGCCATTGTTGGTATTCAGGACCCTTTGAGACCGGGAGTCAAAAGTGCCATTTCCAAGTGTGCTCAAGCTGGGGTGAGAGTGCGTATGGTCACTGGTGACAGTGTGGTTACTGCTCGTGCCATTTCTATGGAGTGTGGTATACTCGACGAAGAAAATGTTTCTGTTCCAGAATCATGCATGGAAGGTCCAAAATTTAGGGCTCTTTCAGAACGGGACCGTATTGAAATTGTTCCTAGGCTTTGTGTTTTAGCCAGATCAAGTCCCGAGGATAAGAGAGTTTTGGTGGACACTTTGAGAAAGTTGGGCGAAGTGGTTGCCGTTACCGGAGATGGAACAAACGATGCACCTGCTCTGAAGCTTGCTGATGTCGGGTTTTCCATGGGGATTGCAGGGACCGAAGTGGCCAGAGAAGCTTCTGATATTATTCTGATGACTGATGATTTCAGTGCCATTGTCGATGCCATCAAATGGGGCAGAACTGTTAGCTGCTCCATAAGAAAGTTTGTCCAATTTCAGTTGACTGTTAACGTCACAGCCGTGGTTTTGACTTTTGTTTCTGCTGTCGCAGACTCCGAAGGTCGTTCAGTGCTGACCGCTGTACAGCTTTTATGGGTCAACTTGATCATGGATACCCTTGCAGCATTAGCTCTCGCAACCGACAAGCCAGACGACTCGCTGTTGAATAGAAAACCCGCTGGAAGAACTGCTCCATTGATCAGTGTCTCGATGTGGAAGATGATTTTTGGACAAAGTTTCGTTCAACTTATCATCACCTTCGTTCTGCATTTTGCCGGAGGCAGTATCTTTTTTGGCTCAGATGTGTCTGATCATCAAAAGGAGCAAATTTCAGCGCTGACCTTCAACGCATTTGTTTGGTTGCAGTTCTTTAACCTGTTCTTGACAAGAAAGCTAGACGAAGGCGACGGACTGACGAAGATCAAGGAACGCATCACCATGGACAATTTGAATTTTACTTCTCATCTGTTCCGTAATTGGTACTTCATCAGTATCGCTGTTATCATTGGTGGTTTCCAAATCCTTATCATGTTCGTGGGAGGTGCTGCATTCAGTATCGCACATCAAACAGGTGGCATGTGGGGTACTGCAATCATCTGCGGTATTCTGTCGTTGCCATGGGGCGTTGTGATCCGTATTATTCCTGATGTGTGGGCTTCCAAAGTTTTCCCTACGAGAGCGTATTTGCTCGTCTCAAAGCTGTGGACCAGACGGAAGAAGGTTAAAGATGTTGAGAAGCAGGACTCAGAGGCAGGAAATGCATCAGATCCTGTGTATAAGGCAAAGGAGTATTTGACCGTCAATCCACCTGCAAAGGGTGGCTCTTTGAGAGACTGGTGGAGTAACAGGTCGAGGACTTCAAGCGAGTCCACCCTATATGGAGGACAGAGTTCCTCAGTTTCCTTCCAGACAGATGACGCATCATCTGCTGTCCCGTCAACTGTGGTCGCATCCATCATACCGTCTGTGGTCGGAGGGTCAGTAGCTGGATGGCACACGTCGGAACAAAAAACTTGAGATCTATAGTTATGCCTGTATTATAAACTTATTTCTTCCGCAGTTAAAATCCCATTTTCTCAATACACACCATCTTGCTCTGAAGTGGAGCACTCCATTTTGTACCAAAATTTGAGTAGAGTTCCGGCACTACTAAGGAACTGATCTTTCTCAGGACCCTCATATGGACAGAACACAAAAACAGCACTGAGAAAAACTCCACCTGACAATCGGAACTAAAAATGCCACTGGATAACAATCAAATAGAATCCAAAAAAAGGGTGCCAATCCCGGTTCGAAGACAAAGGCTGCCATGAGATAACCAGAATACTCAGGCAGTATGGAAGAGCTTCCTCATGGGGCTATCATCAAAAATATCCAAACATAGTTTGAAAAGCCAGAAACAAGAAGCCTCATCATATTAGTTTGAATTCAAAAAACTTACGCATTCACAATCCAGCCAACTCACAACTGGCAAACCCTCAAATACAGAGCATCAGGGATGGCTTATAAGAACTCAGAATATAGTTTATGCAACACGGCCTTTCCGACAGATGTTCAATGCAAATTATTAAAAAAATCATCTCCCCCACCAACCCAATCAAACTTACACAACTCCTACGGACACCACACAAATCATCGAAGCCGACGAAGATATGAAAAGCCTAGACGACTTCTTTGCGTAATTTTTACTCAAGGCCTGGACTTTCAAAAATCTTCTTATTGAATTATAATGCAAACATCAATCCACTTAACGTGAAACTGAAAATCAACACCACCATTTCAAATTGGTGTAGCATTATTAGTAGCCACCTAAATTACAAATAAAAAATGCTCAAGATAAAGTAATATGAATGAGAGAGACTACTGTCAACATAGACTTAAATAAATTTTAAGAATCATCAAAATAATGTTTTGCCTTCATCTACTTGATGATTTCCTATCATGATGAGTACGGTTAATGAGAATCTATTCAGGAGTCCCTGCATCAAGAATTGTATAGATGACACTCAGCATTTAAAACACGGCCAAGACTCAATATCCAACAGGATAACAGATGTCAGAGAATTCATAAATGAACGCCGAGATCAACGATATCACTGGTCTTCAATGTCCTATTACTGACCCTTCCGAAGGGGACAATAGCAGTGTCCTTCAACTATTTTAACAAACAAGATTACGTCTTGTTGAAACCGATTAACATACTTTGCACAATCGTCAATTACATAAAATCCATCCAGACATCAGCCTTCGAATCCTCACTCCTACAGATGTGCCCAAGCGCTTTTGAACCAAGTGGTGTTCAATATCCCACCAAAGGCGTTATTCCTGAGGCAAACAATAGCAGTTCTGATATCAGATCACCCAGATGCTCTCTCAAAATAGAGTCCAAGACACCTGACCAAATACATCTCCGGAGAAAACATGAATCATTGAGATAGCCAGAATCAACTCTTGAATGGTTACTATTACATTCATTAAGTCAGCGTTTCGATCTAGCGGTATATACGCTACCGCAGTGTACCAAATTTTCACAACCTCAACGCCTAGATTTCATCAGCGTTATCTGCGAAGCAAAACCTGTCGTAGACAAAAAAATCGAAAACGGTATAAGCCTTCTGACTGGGAGTAGCATAATACTTATCCATGCTCAGTGTCATTTGCTCAAAATAGAATGTCTACAATCTTCCCAACCTGATCGAGACTTGAAGCCTTGATGCAGAAAACTTCAAATATTCATAGAGTGTGAATAATTTTCGAACAGTTCGAATAACATGAAATTCAATTCCTATACTTACATCAGCAGAGACAGGTGGTTAATGTTGAAATCGAGTAAACATTTCAGTCTTGAATCTAATGCTACCGAGCGATCGGCCAATATGATCACTTGTTGTCGAAGTATTCACGTTTAATGTTCAACAATCACTACATTTGCTACCATCAGTCGAAAACTTAGAGTTTATCACCGCAATAAAGTGCCTTCGTTATCCGAGATTGAATCTTCATAAAGAATTCAGACGGCTCATTTTCAACATTAATCAAGATGATTACTGATTAGTTATGACCAACAAGAACCCAGCCATCAATTTAAACAATCATATGTTCACAAGTGAGTATTTTGCACATTCGTAAATCTTGACAGTATTATAAGCAATTTACTCTGCTTAGATTTGAAGAGAGTCTTGAAGAGCATGCTCAAAACCTCTTCTGTTAGCTATGTTTCCGTGCTATCCAAACAAAGTCCAAGCTGTCTCTGGAGTATTAGCATTATATTTCAGTATCTGCAATAACATAGTTATATTGTCGGATTGATAGCAAGCAATATGTAAGACAGAATTCCTACAAGAAAGTATCTCGATCAGGTTGACTGTTCAACGAGTATTAGCCAGTCTCAACAAGGCGGCTCTCGGTGTAAGACGCCCGATTGCCTCGATTTGCTAGATTGCTCTCCTGATTCTGTGAATGGTGGGAGCCTTTGAGATTTTCGAATAACTTGTTCGTGGAGTCTTTGTGAATTGGCGCGATCGGGGTTGACTTGTGATCGCCTGACTTGGAGATATAATTCTATATTGGAGACTATCATACATCAGAAAGAGGGCGCCGGCTTGTAAGAAACGTTTTGAGCTTGGATTCAATTTTGCAGGACTCATGCTTGAATTTTATTCTGTTTATTCAGGAAATTGGTGATCCTAAGGATTTATGAGCGTTGAATTGATGGGGACCCTAAGATAGCTGTAAGCTCTGAGGAATCGAGAAATTATATGTCTTTATGGTGTGGTATGCTTATTTGGGTCGTATGCTAAATTATTCCGTGTTAGTTCTACTGATCTACTTATATTTATGTGTTTATTCTTTAACACGATCATGAAATGACATGATAATCTGTTTGAAAGTTCCTATTTGTTTTGTGCTTTTCTGCGTCTTTGAAGATGACGATCCAAAATGAATTGAATGGATTACTTTGTGTCAAGATTCATGCGTTCGTCAATGTATTAGGTAGCAAGATTGCTCTCTGATTGCCGTTTGATTTGTTTTTTGATTGAATGACATCACGCTTTTGACGGTCTTGTTGACGAGGATCTTTCGGTTTCTCTCTCCCAAGGAGTTGAAGTCTAATTATAAATACTCAATCGGTGTTTGCCTTCGTCATGGACGGGTACACAAAGAAGAGATAATGGGAATGCTCCGTTATTTCTCTCCTTCTTGCAAGAGACTTTCAAAGGCTTTAAGTGACCTGTTCCCTTTCTGAGATTCACTTTTGAATATCTGAATTTTGTATAGTGAGGCTTTGCTTTGAGGGGAAAGCTTTATTAGTATTGGCTAGTGTTGGATGTGGGGCTTGTGTTTTAATGCCTTGCCAGTGGGATGGGAAGCCTGTTTTTTATTATTGTACTTTGTCTTTTTTGGATTATTTGGAAGCCATGCTTTTAACACTCTTCATTTGCCGATTCTTTTGTCAGAGTGGTAATTTCCTGGCGTGTACTTTCGTTTAACCAGTTATTTGTCGGTCGCTTTTTTGTATTTGTTCTTTATTACTCATTCCAATTGTTTCCTCAATTTCGCAAGCTTTCTAGATTTTCCTTGCCATGATGAACCAAGTCCTTGTTAAATAGTTGCAGTTTCATGCAGATTGGTTCCGTCTCGCATCTTTTTTAGAAGATTCAATGGTTAGCTATCTAAAGTATAGCTTTTTATCTTGGTTGACCTCATTTACTGTAATCTCAGCCCTTCTCATTATAAGAGGCCACAGACTTTGTTGATATCAAGTGAGAGTTGAGGAAGTGGAAGAATCTGTGTGAGAGATTCGCAGGATCTTGCATAAAAAGCATTTATTTATGCCCATATTACTGGCCATGCCTTCTCTTCTTGTGCGCTTCCCATAAACCAAGGGCCAGCGCATCAAGGCTGTAGAGAGCGCCATTAACACCGGAGATGTAATATCCAGCCGTGATTTTTGGCATTTTGGAGGTTTTATACCAAATGTTGTTGGCAATAACTTCTGCCGCAAAACTGCCGATATCAATACCACCAGTGGTAATCGCCCGCATCTTCAAATTATCGACGAAGAATTCCTGAGCCCAAGCCCAGTAAAGACCCGCAGTCGCCAAACTCCAAGTGGTGTTCAAGTAAAGGAAAAACCGGAAAGCCCTATTTTCAGGGTAAACTGGGGTCGACCCAAGAATAATACAGACAACAAAGGTAACCGTTCCCGCAACTACGATAGGAGGCCAACGCCTACCCCTGCAAAGAGTGTCTGAGATCCATCCACTTGAAAGGGCGATCACAGTTTGTACAGCATACAGAATGGAGCCGTAGTGGTCGATTTGACTGTAGGTATAACTCCCCGGCTTAATTTTGTTCCAAGCTTTCAGCCACAGCAGATAGGCACTGGAGTCTAAACTTGCGAGATCTTGAAAGATACCAAATCCCCAAAAGGCCCATACTTCCAAGCTGAAAGCTGCAGTGAAAAAGTCTTTCAGCGTGAAGTGGTACTTATCTTCTTTCTGATCAGGTTTTCTCTCCTTGAGGTATGCTATGTCAGCCGCACTCATGATCAAATCAGGCTTTCTGTTCGACAGTCTATCTGCAAAAAACAAAATCTGGGGAACAATAATACCCAAGGAAATCACACCATCTATGATAAAAACCCATCGCCAACCTGCTCTTCCGTTGACTCCATTTAAACCGGTATATGTACCGCTGGCAACGTACCCACCAAAAAAAGATCCAATAGAAGTTGACGACTGTAAAATGACGTTTCTTCTTGCCAATTCTCCTGATGTGTAGTAAGTACCAAGGATGAAACTAAGAGCCGGATAATGTGCACTCTCAAACGCTCCTACCAGCGTTCTAAGAGCCACCATCTGGGTTGGAGTTTTGACTGCTGAGAAAGAAAACGTCAGGATAATCCAGAAAAGCTCAACCATAACGACAAACCATTTTGAGTTCATCTTGACCATTAGAATTGCCCATGGGAATCCGAATACCATACCAGCGATACTGTAACCAGTGTTTGCATAGTTCAATTGGTTACCGACAATCCCTAAATCTTCTTTCATACCGTTGACATAGGCATAACTGAGGTTAATTCTGTCTAAATATCGAATAAAAGTAGAAATAGAACTCAACGCCAACAGAGTAATGTCCAGCTTGAAGATTACCTTGACATGTCTTTTGTCAGGGTGTCCCCAGGTATCCCAGATATGGCGTTTCCAACTGGTATTCTCCAAGATAACCGGTGCTTCTTCTTCTTCAGAGTCACCCTCGATTGAGGGGAGAACCTCCTCAGAAATCTGGGTCGCATCAACCTTAGCGGGGAAATCAACATCAACTTTAGTTGTCCTATCTCTGAATCTCGGGAACGGCATAATTCCTCAGCAAGATTTTTATTCAAAAAGAAAACAGTCAGCACTTTCCAAGAGAGTCTCTTGACACTGGGAAGGAACTGGGCTTTATAACGGAGGTTTTTGCATGCACCGATCTAAACAGATTACACGCATAACGACATTACATCGTGATATACAGATATGCATCATGCAATTGCGGCTTCAAAGATGTATCAAACCATGGCGCTAATGTGCAGAGAGGTGATATTTTATTATAGAATCCATCATCTGGCACAGGTAAAGTCGAACTGAGCACGGAAATACCTTGAAATGTCTAGCGTTCATTGAAATTGAGCTTGCTTTTTTAGTTACAATTTGTTGTTTCATCTTTCCATTGAGGCCTGCATCTTTTTCGGGGTGTTTTCTGTTTTTACCGTAGCCTTTTTATCAAATTGACCGTGGTTCAGAGCACGCGGGGTCGAGCAGCCGCACTACTTTCGTCATACGGCTTTACTAAGCAGGTACAATATGCAGCACGTAACTTTTCACAGACCGTGGAGGTGTGGAGGTGTGGTTCTATCATTTGAGCCTCAGTATTGATGACGCAGAACGTTTACTAGCAATTCAGAGCCCTATGCAGAGAAGGCAGGGTTCACCTTAGGAAAAGTATGCTGCCTCTTTTAAGATACAAGGTGCGACGTTACTGTATGTACCTCGCATTTTCTCTAGTATGAGCGTTACACAATTGAGGCTAACTATTTTCAGATGTCAGCTGTCATTACCCCAGTCAGTAACTATCTACAACATTATGGTGTAACGTTAGCTTCTTTGAATTGATAATCTCCGCTGAATTTTCAACTGGGCTAATCCCACAATCAGCTACTTGCTACTAAATTTTGTATTGATAATAAATAAAACTTCGAGAATAGGTCTTATCGTCTAAGCCAAATTTGTTATCTGAGCAAGATGAGTTTCCCAAAATATCTACAATTTTGCAAAATGTCATGATCCTCTATGAAATGTCCAAGATGATACAATCCAGTAGTCAGATTCATTCTCAGAAATAGGATCTTCCTCAAAATTTATAATCAAGATTAGTATCCTATCCGTAGAATTCCACAACGGTAGGCAAACTACGGTTCATTACCTGAGGCCAGGTCAAGCTTAAATTTTGACTTGTCTACTGTATATATGCCTCGCCAACGAGCCGCTTTTGAACACCTGCAAGTTTTAAAAAAAAGGATATTTCATAAAATAGACAGATGTATTATCGCCGAAAATCTTGTTGATTACTCTATTGGGCGAAATCCGTTCTACTGTGGTGATCATTGATAAAAAAGTCCGAGTTACGAGCACTCCTCCCCCACCAGATTTGATTCTGAGGAGGCTAAAACAATCTCCCACTTCAATCCAATAAAAAAGCCACGCAACCACAAAACAGATACTATCTTCAATAATGGTTAAGCTCAATTGTCTTGCTGATGTTTGCTTGATTCCTGTACGTGTCTGCTTGATATCCTTATAGCTCTGTTTACTAACTAAACCAGATTGGAACCCCAACACCATCTGTGTCCGACTATGTCGTAGCTGTTGAAAAGCTCGTCCGTGAAAGCGGTCTAGACAGCACCCTTCACAGTGCTGGAACTACGATTGGTAAGTACGAGCCCGCAGATCTCTAGGATTCAATTCTAACTTCGAGCAGAGGGACCATGGGATGAAGTTATGGCTCTCATTGGAAAGATGCACGAAGAGGTGCACTCCATGGGTATCTTCAGAGTCCAAAGCGACATCAGAGTCGGCACTAGGTAAGTTTATTGAATGCAACATGTGATGTTTGGTTTGACACTAATCATTTTCGAATCCAGGACTGATAAAAAACAGACCGCTGAGGACAAAGTCAGAGTTGTGGAGGAAAAGCTACTCAAAGCTAAGAACTGAATTAGGCTTCTTGTGCGCCATTGGCGTAATTTAATGCCTCTTCGAATGGCCGAGAATAATAGACCAGGTTATACTTAATTACATAGCGTACGATCGTACATACTGCAATTCAAACCATGGCCACGTATAAAGCCACACTTTCCACAGGGTGTACTGGCCTACCAATAAAATAAGAAGTTGTTCGTTTACACTTGAACCACATTTATTCCTAATATACAATTAAATACCGCAACAATAAAGGAAGACCTAATCAAACAATCGAACCAAGAACTTAAGCGGAAGCACTCGAAGTGTACTTGGTGACGGCACGGGTACCTTCAGAAACGGCGTGCTTAGCCAATTCACCTGGCAAGATCAATCTAACGGCAGTTTGGATCTCTCTGGCGGAGATGGTGGACTTCTTGTTGTAAGCAGCCAACTTGGAGGCCTCAGAGGCGATTCTCTCGAAGATGTCGTTGACGAAAGAGTTCATGATCGACATAGCCTTCTGGGAGATACCAGTGTCTGGGTGGGTTTGCTTCAACACCTTGTAGATGTAAGAAGAGTAAGTCTCCTTTCTGGTCTTTGTTCTCTTCTTAGCATCGGTAGAAGCAGCGGTCTTCTTACCAGCAGCTGGCTTCTTCTCAGCAGGGGCCTTAGAGGCAGGTTTCTTCTCAGCTTTTGGTGCCATTTTAAACGATTTGGATAGATATTTCAAGAAGAAAGAAGAAAGAGTAGAAAAACTCAGATGTTTCCATACTGCGATACTTTGGGCATTATATACCTGAATCTTGACTCCAATGGCATTTGTTACGTGTATCACTTTTGTAAACAAATAACTAGGAGCGCGCATATGTGATACAATATACACAGTGGGGAGAACATCTCAGACCTTTCAAATACAAGTACTCAAATATTCCCCAGACCATGTACATCTGAGCATGAAATATCATGATAATCGCCTATAAACAAAAACATAAACATACGCGGTCAGAAAATATTCATACATCCAAAGAATATAAAGTCTATCCTCAATCCCTCGGGTTGTATTTTGCATAAAGCCCCTCCTCTTTTTTCTTCCTTCTAGTTTCGAATCATATATCCAACTATATTATAACAAAAA